CATTTCATCGCGGGTTTCCCAGTAATATTAATGAGATGAATCATTCCTGGAACTTCGCGGTTCGCGGGTTTCTGAGGAAGTCGATCGGCAGATTCAAACAATCCACGGAAATCAATCGGCAGTAAGAGTGTGGTGGAAAGACTTTTAAAAACATTTAAAACAATAGAAATTCATAAAATATTACAATAAATACCTAAATACGTACTATGAGTCGATCGAGGATGTCACCTATCGCAACCGAGGTCTGAAACGTTTCAAGTACGCGAGTCGAGTGGGAGATTACTGTATGTAGTTAATTTACAATGGAGAAACTATTATTGGTTTCCAACCCGATTGTAAATTCAATCGATAAATATTTTAAATTAACATAATCGAATAAATGCCCGCTTCAGTGGGGTGCTTGAAGATTAGAAAGGTGGTATCAACATGGCTAATGTAGAAAATGACCAATTAAGATCACTAGCTGTTACCGTTGGCAAACATTGAAGCCCTTTGAAAGCACACAAAATTATTGGCAAGTGTAGGATCAAGAGGGAGGCCCATGCCCAAATCATTGATTGGTTTATGAAACTTTCTAGCAAATGCGATAAATGAATTTAAACTGATAATCCTGGAAGCTGTTATATAGGCTGCGATTCAGAGCTATGATTGCAGGATTCCAAATAAGTAATAACCTAGTCGAAATTTTTGGTTAAGGGCTTCACTAGTTTTCAATATTTTTCATGTAAACTTTGTCTGAACTTGTGATGGAGCTAGCCTTCAAAATATTCTCGACAGAAAAAATGGTGAATCTACCCGGCGCTTCCTTTGTTATATTCTTTGTTAAAGTGTGATTTGAGCAAACCAATCATATGTGGACATTACATGATTAAATTAATCTAACGAAAACAGCGTTTAAAGATTCTCTATTATCATTAGACAGAAAAGTTTAGATGGAAGGATAATTTTGTCGTTCAACTTCGTCGCAAACCATGATATTACAATGGAAGTTATCGATTTGTCAGATATATTTTTGAATGAAGTTAATGAGCGCCATTTATCACGAACCAAGTATCGTCCAATACTTCAAAATCTGTGGCTACTTCAGCGTGAAATTTTTTTGTCAATCTGCAATATTCTTCTTCGTAATCCTTCAAGTTTTTACTTGCTGGATCAACGAAAATCTTGCACTCCATCGAGGTAAGCTGCTTGTCCATCTCCGATGGCATCGAGAGCTTCTCAACCTCTCCAGACTAGAAGTCAGGTAGGTAAGGTATAGTTAAATTAAAATGAGTGAAGTGAAATACATCGCAACAGCAGACTTTCTTTGGCCGAAAATTCGTCTCAAGCTTGCTTACAATTGATGCTTTCATTGGTAAACTTATAATGTAGCATCACACGCCTGAATTCTAGACATCAATACTACAAGATAATGATGCGTTGCCTCTTGTCGGGGTGGTATTCTCTCAGAATCTGGCTACGATCAGAAGTCAATTTAAAGGACAATGAACGGTGCAAAACAGCACAAAAGCTTCATCTCGTGGCAAACACTCGAGCTTTGTTTGCGTCGGGGCTTGACTGACCTCAGCTTTTGAGCAGGATTATTGTCAGGGCTTCCACACCACTCATTCAAGGAGGGTGCAGAGCACAAACATTATAGTTAAAGGAGAACTGCGTACCGTCTTCCTAGTGTATCTTCGTCAAAGTAGTCCATACCTCACTACAAAACCGCACGCTAATTTAATGTATTATATTCGTAAATTGAGTTACTTCAAATATCCTCTCATTTAATACATTAGTAATTGGTTATACAAAATATTTTACTGAGCATCACCCACAGTTATTGCCAAATATTCATCTTCATTACTATATACTATATACAAACAGAGGCTACAGAGCTCTATTGGGTTATTCTCTTATTCACTTACGGCACATTTTCATTTTTCATTTCCCTCCGAAGGTTGCTTCTGTAGATAGTTAGTAAAGAAAGATTTTAAATTTAATTCACTATTATATTTATGTATTGAACTTGGCCAGCGGTTAATTAATGCAGTTGCGATTTCACTTCAAAAATGCGTACTATTAACTTAAAGATTTTTAAATGTCGTCACATCCTGGTAAAGATAGCGCGTCCGTGAGCATGCAGGCCAGTTTATGTACTTTGAATTAAACCTGTTCAAAGCAAAATACTGTACGTATTTTTAAATATTCCTCATAGTTTGTATAACACAAATTTTAGAAATTTTTCGTTAAAAAATTTTTTATTATATTTTTAGTTCTCTGTGGGTTGAAACAATCTTGGGCATTGAAATATCACGCAACTTTTTATTCGTGTGTTTTTAATTGAAGACAAGTGTGGAGGAAAGATCGTAACCGGGTAACGATAAAATTCTATCGTGTTACAGGGTTTCGCCTTCATCGTCCCGAGTTATTCGCTGCAAGCAAGTTCGCGGGTGCGGCGAGTGACGTGCTCTTCGTTCTACCAGTATTTTTTCAAGCGACCAGCAATTTTCAGGAAAAGTCGTCGGTGGAGCAAAATCTGAGGATAGTGAGCGGAGGCTGCAAATTTAAGAGCGATAAATTGCCGCAAGAGAGTCTCCATCTTACCGGATGCTCTGCTTGACTTTGCTATCAAGCTGCTTCAATTTTCAGAAATTCGAACCGAATTCTTTCCATCCTCGTCGGGGGACCGCACAATTTTAAGTCGAAGTGAAACTTCTATGCAAAAAGTAATAAGAAAACATTATGTTAAATAAGTGAGTGAGTCAAGCAGTTTTTTTCGGATGCGTTGAAAACACAATTGTACATACCTGACATGTAAAACGTGATACTCTTTATTTCTACAATATTTACATAGGTCTATTTATTTTATTGTATTAGGCTCTCCATTATTGTGGACGATGATACCTTGAGATTAGGCTATGGCTCGTCGTTTGACTAGTGTGTTAATGAATACCTTTAGCTGATAAATACGATAATGTTTGAATCGAAAACGTACTTCAAGGCAGGCAACGAACATTGTATGACACTGGCTTTCATACAGTGGTTGGTACCATTCGGCCGATTAAAGTGACCGATTTCATAAAACTAATTTATACGCACTTTGGAACCTATAACGAAGACCCAGATTAGAAATAACATCGAGCTTGCCTTGTTATGCTCATTACACTCAATTATAGAGTCGAATTTAAGCGCAATTTTTCGAAATTTTGGTCGCAGCCTTTTCTCGTTCGCTTAACTAATGGCTTGCAGCGATACAGCGAGCTGCGGTAGGGAAGAAACAGCTTCTGTAACTGATTCTGCGTATCTGATGATCTATCAGCAAAGTTTGATGGTCTATACACACACACCCATTCCATTCAATCAACCAAGTATAATAGTTTATACCCACCCACTTCATTGAAATTTTTCATGTATAATAGTCTATGCACACTCATTCCATTCAATTTCCAAGTATAAGGGTCTAGATCCACTTATTTCATTCAAAACCTAGTATAATGGTCTATACCTACTCATAATATTATTTTATTTCTACAGAGGAGAGCACGTATCAAAATTGTAAAACTCCCTTCCATACCTTTGCTAAAAGTTTAAGATAACTGGAATTCGTCAAGTCAGAATTTTGAGAAGCATCAACTTCTGCTTCATTATATTTGAACGGCATGTCAGTACAGAGTATGATTGATAAGTGATTAGTTGCCTATTGACTTTTAAATAAAATTAGCAATAAAAGTTTTACTGATCACCAATTTAAGCATAATTAGTGAATTATAAACTTCTGGTAAAACTTAACATCAGGATTCTTTGGACTTGAAAGAATGTCAATGCGCCTTACGTGAACGCAAGAACGACGGACCGTGAACAGCCCATGTAACAATAGACCTCGGGCCGCTATAGTCGCTAAATTGGGCCCCATTAAATATTTTGAAGGGCCTCCCTGCCTACCAAAAGACTTTAACCTTCTGAAAAGATTTCCTGATACATGACGCACTCGATCTCCGAGTTTCAAGCTCTGAGATCGAGCTCTGAGCTCTTCTACATTACACAGATCTAGAAATTTCCACCGACTCTCCACCGAAGTATTTTTCGGCAGAGAAATTAATGTATTTTAGCTGGAAAATGTTTCTGAATGGTTTTAGTTGGGCATGGTGATTTAAAGGAATTTCAGGCCTTCAACTGAACAAAAACTTGAACATGTACAGCAAGTGATTAACACGAGCACAAGTTAAATTTCACAAAACAAATTTATTTCTAGCAATCATTCGAACGCCAATATTTTATCTGGATACCAAATTTCTGCTTCTCTCGGGCACGGCAAAAGTCTCGTGGGTTTTCAAATTCTTAACACTTCTTGGTGCTGAAAGTGATTTCTCACTAATCAGGAAATGAATAATACTACATTTTATAAAAAAGCGACCGGTTAAATTTTCATATTAAGTTACCATTGAAATATGCTTTTCTATGTATAAATCCCTAAACCTGTTGTAACTTCAATTATTTTAGTTTGGGGGCGTCGGTGCAAAATTTTCATATCCTCGAATATCCTCAGTCTAGTGAATGCCCGCTGAGGTCATGTAAGGCACCATCACCTGAATATGCTGAACTATAAGACCGCTGAGGTCATGTAAGGCACCATCACCTGAATATGCTGAACTATAAGACCGCTGAGGTCATATGAAGCGCATTCACCATCCTAAGAGCTGAGGCACAAGGCTGATCTTTTCACCTGTTGCGAGGGCCCGACAGTGATTGGCCATAAGACGAGTGACGTAACTCTGTTCCAAATCAGATTATCATATTTTACTAGGGGAAAAATCTCTCACCACGTGCTTCAAGTTGGCTACAGCGACGTGGATAGACCACCAACAACCGGCGCCCTCCCATTCCAAAGTTCATTTCATGATTTGAGCAAAAAATGAAGGTTTTTAAATGATTACAAAATTATTTTAATTATTGAATGTAGATAAATGTGAACCACCAAAAGCTTTTTCGTCGTTTCGAGAAAAATGAAAACAGTTAAATTGAGATCTTCCAGTTTTATTTGCCAATATTGATAAAATTAAACATAAAATTCGCAAGTATCGTGCACAAAAATTTTAAACAATTTCAATCTCAAAGAATGTCATGAAATTAACAATTTTATCAGAATACATGGCTCAATATATGCTGCCAGCAACTATACATCTTAAAATGAATTAGTAACGTACATACACACTCAATCGTATTTCTTTTAAAAGAAAATTTGATATACTTCTAATGTTCAGATTGTGCAAACTAGATAGAAGCCCATCATCTACTAATCAAAAGAACATTCGTGTATAAATAATTTTTAGAAGTTAAAATAACATAATCTATGCAAATGGTATTTGCAACTCTGTTCTAGCTTGGAGCAACACTTGTTAGGACAATGGGCAGAGTATAAGTTGCTTTGCGACATTGTATGCCTGATGATAAAGGCCGGTGTGCTGGGACATGTGCATTAATATAAAATAAAACGAAATGAAAACACTCCGCATTTATAACTACGTTACGCTGGTATTTTAAGGCACAGCATCGATATGTAAAGAATACGCTGTGTTCAAGGCGAATAGAAGTTCAATTTGCCCACTAACTTAATAAAGTTACGTAAAAGTACGCAAACTTTCAAACGATGCATTGAGTGTAAAAATCAAAGAGATTATGACTTGATAACTTTTAGGTTAGAACGTTCTGGAGAATCACGCTAGATAATATTCTACGACAGGAAACTAACTATTGAAACCAGTTGTGTCAAACTAATTAATAAAGACAAATGCATAAGGATGATTTGAACGACTATAACTGATCACAGAGCATCCGGCGTCGTGGTATGTTGGGGAGGAATCCACGAAATCTACGGCAAGTCGTTGCCAGGCTTCGGGAGTTTCTCTTCATCCTCCTTCATCTGCTCGAGCTGTGGGTGAAAATGGCCATATAAGATTTCTTGTCCACTATCTACGCATATCAATGAATTTTAATTACCATAAATGCAATATTTCAAATATTATTGCGATATCGCTAATGTTTTAAAGTTCGTAATTTTAAATATTTTGTTAATTTCGTACGCAAATGAGATATCACCTAATGAGATGTCACTCGCCCTTTCGTCAAGTAATATCTAAGCCATCAAGCATAATTATCATGATGAACAATACCCAATTTTGTAACTAATTTAAATATATTCATCGAATAAACTGATCGCTGTGATTTCATAAGCAGTCGCAGTTTCATTTAGGAATGATAGAATGCAAAATGTTTCAAAACTACTATAACGAATAGTGGCCCACCCATGACAAGCACGCCAAGCTCAAATGATAGCAAAGCCCAAGCTACTCTGCATTGCAGAACAGTGACTTATCCATAATTTTAAAATTCTATACATTTTTCACTTTAAAGAGGAAATACAGCATAAATAACGTAAGATGACAATTAATGTGTTTAACATGCAAACATATGTGGCGTGCGCCCTAGTATGTTTTAAATGATAGATGAGAAGAAACTGAACAATTTATGCAATGGATTATCTTGATGATCAATGATTTTTTGATTGAATGAAAGCGAAACTGTACAGCCAATATAATTGGAGCATCGAAATGAGCAGGTAAGTCAATCCACTGCATACTCCGCAAAGACGCCAAGTCGTCAACTATTTTATTGCAAAAATGTCCTATTTTTTCTCGCAAGCTACGTCCATACCTCGCTGACAATAACAGTAGAAGCGAGCAGGTATACAAAGGAGCGATCTACGCAAGCAGGCACCGCTATCAAGCGCGTGAAGTATTAGTTCAAAAAATCAACATTATCTAATGAAACGATCACATTACCTTTCATCTGACAATGTTTTGTCAGAAAATTATGACAACAGTGTTTTTTCTTAAGATATATCAGCAATATATTTGGGTGACAAATTATATATAACACGACTACCTCATATGGGATGAACGCGTAGACAGCAAGCCCAGGATATTTTAGCAAACACGACTACAGATATCAAAAGCAGCGGTAACTGAAATAAACACGAGGACAATCTAGAAATGCACAAATTGTAGAAGATTGTTGATTAATATACAAATGGAGCGCTAAAGCAATTTTCATACGGAAGCTTTACATGTAACTAGAACAACAAATAGCGCATCTAACTCGACGGCAAACACGTAGGCTACTTTCGAAGGGAAAATCTACAAGAACGTCGAGATGCTGAGAGACCAACCAAACCTGCAGGATATTTCTGAGCAGCGCAGGACCTGTTAATATCGGTTATATTGAGTGCCCTGCACCCAATCATGACTAACATTATAGTCTGGTCTGCCTGGCAGGTCGGCAGGTAAGCACAAACTTCGGCCATAACTTCTTCTCTCTGACGCTCCATTTGAATCCTTTGGAATGTGTGCAATGATTTCAAACAAACAGTGAATGATGATACGATGTCAAATAGAAAATGAATAATGCATTGAGTTCAGCAAGACTGTGAATGATGTCATAAAAATGTATAGGTAGTTTCCTCCCCTTTGTCTTGCTCTATATTCACGAAGAACGATTTCGTTTGAAGCTTTCAAGATGTCACACGCGGTTCACTCAAACGAGTTATTTTTATTTAATTACCTCATAAAATATTAATATAGAGGTGGATTTAGATTTAAGTTTATTGAAGAAATTATTAGCGAATAATGTAGAAAATCGTCCAACGCGTAAACACAAAAAATTTCAGTATTCAGTCTAAAAAATATTAATTACGCGCAGTCTCAACAAATACTACAGCAAACCACGACAAAATTCTCAACGTGAAGATATGATTTAATTATCTCCACAAATAAACAACAGCAGTTAAAATTAATGTTTGAACTAGCATTGCTAGATTTGGTAGCAAATCTAGTTTCAATTTTAAATTACCGTAAATACTAAATAATTGTTAACGTAATACAATAAAAAACTCCTTCGTGTTTTATTTATGGATTCATGTGTTGAGACGTTCAGTGTAAAGTAAGAAAATTTATTTGGAGATCTTGGGTGGACTGCAAGCTGAACCTTGAGCTCAGACTGTAATAAGAGGGACAGAGATACTGTGCTATTAACAACAATGGAAATGTAGGAGAAGAGCCAAGTGTGGAAACTTGATCGGATGAAATTTTGTATTACTAGTTATGATTTATACGTATTCTATAATTAAGTTACCAATAAATATGAGAATTTTGATTACGATTGCAATGTGCAGCGAGGGTTCATTCCCTTAAGAGAGCACAGCGCACTTACGATGTGTGGTGGGATGGGCCCGGAGCGGTCCAGCTCAGACGCCGTGGGGCTCTTGTACCTGAAGGGCGCCGGTACCGGGGCCTCGTCATCATCAATGACGCCGAGGCCTCCCGACCCTACAGACGAGCCTAGGCCGCTGGAGCGCATGCTGGAGGCGCTGCTCTTGCCGTGGTGCTCGATGTACAAGCCATCACCTGTGTACGCCCCGCTGGTGTCCAGGTCTCTGCAAGATGGTTACTTTGAAACCAAGAGTAATTTCATTAAGTCCCATCTACTTTCAATATAATCATCTCGAGCCTTCGTAAGTCCCTGCACACAAAGTCACTTTGTTTATAGAAATCACGGATAAGTTCACTAATCTGCCATTTGTGTTGAACTTCATGGGAGATACTGTATGTGAAATAATTACTAGACCAATACTTAGTTGCAATTATTAAGTGAGATACGAATTAGAGTAAAGTCTTAGTCGAAGTGGAAGTATAAAGCAAGAACCAAGCATATGGGCTTTATACGTCTATATATGCTAGGTCAAGTCCTCGGTACCCGGACATCTGAGTGTGATAACTTACCAAGCTTTTTCCAAACTATGAATCGACTTCTAAGGTCGACCTAAACCACGAGCGTTACTTCTTATTGGCATCGTTTGGCAACCGCGACACGAGACTCACGCGTAGTGAGGGTTGCGCTTGGCGAGCGCAGCGCCGGAGCCGTCGAGCGATTGCTCGAAGTGGATGGAGCGGTACGATGGCGGCAAGTTCCCGACTGGTGTCGACTGCAGAGGCAAACGTCAAAACTCGGTTAAATGTGTGATAAATGTGTTCCGGGTAGAAATGAAATCATTGGCCTCAATTGGTCGTAATGGTGTGTTTATCCATAGTGAACTACTTCCAATTGAACCTATTGTTTTATGTTGGAGGAAACCTGTGAATTCGTTTCTATGTTCCATGCAACTGTTCGTTCCATTTAATAAAAAGTAACGCGATCGAGGCTACAAATAGACTTCAATGAATATAAGCAACTAATTCGGAGTGTGCGTGAAAGGTGCACTATGTAAAATGAAATTGTGAAATTAGAAGACTATAAACTAATACACATTACACACGCATAAATAATACATGACCAGTTCTGAGGAATGCAAGCAACTTCGGTAAATACTTATTCTCTTGCACAGTGCAATTTCGTGTCGAAATTATAGAATTCCTCGTTTCGGTCGTCAGAGATTACTGAATAACTGCTTATGCCATCCCATTTAAGGTGGATATTTGAGTGAGGCAAGTTTAGTCTCACCTGCAGCGCGCTGACTTTATCCATGTTGTTCTTGTTCTTCCTGTAGATGGCGCAGCCGAGCACCACGATGCCGATGACCATGATTCCTCCCACCACACCCGCTATGATGATGGGTGTTCTGTTCTGCTCTGCTAGACCTAATCAGGTAGAATCCAACAAAAATGTTTTTTTTTAATACCTTTGCATTTAAAAAGACGTTGAATTTTTTCACAACCTTAGCTGGTTATTGGATTTTTTAAGGGAATAACTTTTCTAAAATTAAAACGCGCACATAAAAAGAGGCTATTAAGATAATGCTCGCTTTTCTCGAGATTATCTCTGACTAAAAAATGAAATTAAGCTATGGATGAGCAGGTGAATACTAGAATCAGGAATTACCCACAGGAAAAGTTAGCCAAACCAGGAATTATCATAAACTAATTTGACTGTATAACTACATGCCAGACATTGATGACCGTCGCCTGGAACATCAGACTCAGACATGCGTCAGCTAATTCATAAAAATAATCATATTTTTACCTTCAAAACCCTATGTATTTCAAGAAATAAATAAAATGTAACACGACGTACTGATGGCCGGAGGGCCGGAGCCGTCCAGGCTCTGAGGCAGCACAGTGAGCGCCTGCGAGGTGAAATTAAAGGACAGTTGCCCCGAGTTGATGAGATCCTGGAGCTGGCCGAACAGGATATCGACGTCCTCCATACTGGCGGCACGCAACGATCCTGTCTCTTGCATCAGTAGGAAATCCACCACGATGCTTCCTGATGGCAAAGAGTCAAGAAAGTTTCAGCATGTATCAAGTGAATTTTGTATCCATGTTGTTCATGAGAAAAAACGAGTGACCATATATTAAATCATGAATTTACACTTCCAATTCAGTTCCGATGTATATACTATATATAAAAATCCATGAATGTTTTGGTCTAACGTTGGTACTCTTTTTGATGAAGTGAAATCGTGTAGAAAACAAAAATATTTTAATTATGCTTAACATCTACTGTAAAAATCACAGAATAACTGAAATTGTGAGAAATTCTCTATGTAATACAATGAAATCCTAAAATTTTAATGAATATTCGTAGCAGAAAAAGAAAAAATAAGACAATTATCATGCACCAAATGTATGGACTAGTAGTATGTATATTTAAGACTAAAATGATCATGATTTTAACGAGATGCCCGTTGTAGTCGACATAATATTCGCCAAATGATTTTCTCACCTTTACTGACGGTGAGGTTGACAATTTGGTCAGGCGAGACCTTGAGTCTGGCAGCAGTTTGGATGGTGAGGGCTGCTTCGAACTCTTTCTTCTTTTCGCCCACTACCGCCGTGTAGTTCTCTTTTATACTGGAAGTGAACGACGTCTATACATTATTAGTCATTTTTAACTTTTACCATCTGACCAAGTATTCTGGAACACTTGAGTGGTGGTAGTTTCAGTTTACGCTGCTATCAAATTCATATATCATGTTCTTTTCAATTCGATTGATAACAACCAATGCGGTGTTTGTCAGGTTGTCTAAGGCTGGATCTCAAAGGATGGTGGAAAGCGGCGAAATGCGTTTCATAAAAGTTCATGATTTTTTGTGTAAGACCAAACACAAATTTACGATACAATATGCGTATAAACCCACGTGAAAAAAACAATGACCTAATTACAATCTGGACATTTTATTTCTTCATACAAAATAGCAGTTGAGAAAAGTATAAAAAATTTCTGTCTTGTAAGATGAACTAAATGAAAGCAGAGCCCTAAGTTTACAGATAATTTCTAGCATCAATGTATGATGAAGGCATGATATTGCAAGAACTGTTTTCACTCACATGAACTTTACACGCTTGAATTTGCGCCCGATGCTCGTAGCGTTCCAGGAGACGTTGGAGGGCTTCGGCACCGAGAAGGATCTGGAAGAGAAGGAGAGCGTCAACTCGGAAAAATTACTTCGAATAAAAAGGCAGTGAATTGGACAGAATGTCAGCGCACAATCCTGTGGACTTATCCAAAAAGAAAAAATGGAATGTAACTGTAACATAAATGCATGGATACTTTGAAATTATTTTTGATTGCTGGGATCAAAGCCCTTACGTTTTTCCGCCTTCCGACCTCACCATGAAGCCACATTGCCATCGTCTGGCGATTTGCATTTCGTTGAAATCTATCCAGAAAACTTCGCTTAACTTTTCCTTGTTTGTTTTCAACGAAGGTGGGAAAATTTATGTGAGTTGTTAGCGTATGATCCTCGAAAACAGCGCCTCGTGAGCAGAGCATACAGCAAACCCTCAAATAATTTTCATCTCTAACCTGATCGAAATATGTCATGGATAATAGATTTCACAGTCACTCCTAACAAAACTTCAAATAAACAGTGTTCATGCCTGATGTCAAGTGAGAACCAGACTTGAGAGAGAAACTCACCCCACGTATCCAGGTACGGGACAACGGCACCCGAGATACGCCACGCCTTGGTCGGAGATGATGCTCGTTGTGTTGCATTCCGTCCTATTCCACATCGAGTCGCGCCAAAATAGACACTGCGGGTAAAACATCAGATGCCCACTTAATTCAGATACTCAACAAGTTTTGTGTACCGAACTATAGTTATGTAGGGTTTGATTGAGAAGAGATGAACATCAAAAGAATGTTATAGTCTTTGGATAAAGAAGAACCAGTAAAGGTGATGACTACATGGACATAGGAGAAGGCATGGCCGTACCTTGAAGTCCCTGTCGTTACTGATGCTGGTGTTGTTGAGCTTGATGGAATACTCCGACGGTGTGGTGGTTGCCGAAGCGTTCACCTCCGCCCCGGTGACAGGGTTCAGTAACGCCGTGCGAACCATCTCGCCTCTGCAGGCATTTTAAAATATACATAAGAAATCTGTGATTTATGTGACCAAAACAATCCTCAGAGTTCAATTGTAGTGGCTAATACAATTTTTGCAGATGATTGTCAAATTTGAAATATCTGAGTTGGTGCAATATATAATTTATCAGAACTATACTTGAAGGATTTGTTCAATATAGCTTGAAAATTAATTTGTGCAATCGAAGTGCCCAATTCACATTCATTCACCCAATTAACAATAGAAATATCAAAATTGTAACTCTACGCACCTTATTTGCAAGCCACGCCCGACCCTAGCCCAGTCACTCATGCTGGGGGCGGTGATGTTGTACTGGAATTGCATGTGCACCAGGCACGCCCCGTAGCAACTGACATCGTTGCCTGTCGTCGGGTCCTTCTGCCCACACTTCCATTCCTGGAACTGCTGCACTACAGGGCCCCATACCACCTGCAGGCCATCAAAGAATAGAATTTTTCTGCATTTGTAAATTTCGAATCATTTTTACGGTCTTTAACTTTTAAATATTTAAACGAATATATTTGATAAGTTAAAAGGTGTCAGCTAAACTCTACTGAGTAAAATATAAATCACATGAAACAGCATTTGAATTACATCAACTTTGATGATATGTATGCCAAATCAGCTCTACTGGCAACATTCAGCATTGCACATAGCCGCCTTAATGGCTACTTACAATGCATTAATTGCTTTTGTGGTGCGACGAATGGCTATTTGTTAAGAATTAAAAGCAAAGAAAACATGCGAAAACAATTTCGGATATGAGAAGTAAGCGATATTTAAACTAAGCTTTTGTTTAAAAATACACAGGCACTTAGAAATTAATATAGGTAATAAAAACCAGTAGTGGACGCTAAAACTCTAAAATCACTATCGGACACCGGGACGTTGCACTGCTCGGCATGAACGTATACAGCTGAATGAGGGCAATGCGCAAGTGGCTTTCCTGTTCTATAACTCCTTCCTTTATGCTCCGCCATCCTAGTATAAAAATTGCGTGATGTCACACCGACACACGCCGATGCGCACGGCGCACAACTATAGTAATAAACTAGGGACGACCGCATAGGAACGGGGAGTGTATATTCATACTAAAAAAACGGATTTCAAAATTATTCACCAGCAATTTATAAATATTTCCATTTGGGAGGCATTTAGAGAACAAAACTTTCAACTCCTTAGTCATATTCTCCGAAGCGGGACCAAAGTAAGGAATTGAACAATAAACACTATTCCTATTGCAACTATCGGGAACAACCTTCAGATTATTGCTTAGACAAAAATTTTAAAATTAGAATATATACCAATTGCAAGGGAAACCGGGAAACCCATTTAGTGAAAAGGCACTAAGAATAAATTCAAATTCTCAGTGCATAGCATGGAAAGTAGAGCAAATACGAAAGTCGCTGTTTATAAACGTTTGAAACCCATTTAATTTGAAACGAAAAGAACAAAAATCTAAAAAGCGGATCCTAAAGCCGGGAAACGTCGATTTTCGTTAAACAAATGTCTGAAAACCGCCAGGAGGAGGGGGGGGGGGCGCCGTGCGCATCTGCGTATGTCGGTATGACATCACGCCATTTTTATACTTGGCCTACAATCCATATCCACTCGAAATTGTAAATAGATACATTTTTCTGTTCATGTTTACCTCTTTCATATTTTTTAATTTTACAATTTATTTTTTAATATCTTCAATGTGAAGCATAGTATGCTAATTGTTTGTATTTTAGTTTTGGGTTTTTGAACTGACGATAGAGCTGGACTCCGGAACGTTTTCTCGCATAAGAAATGGTGAATTTTTTGGTTGCTTTCTTTGCATCTAAATTCTTGATTAGCTTGCGATTAAAACTATCAAGTGATCGTAATTCTTATATTCGATTAAAACTTGGCCATTTTATAAGCCAAAGTGGCGACTTGCAAGAGCACCGAAACAATCACTGACATAATTAGGGTCGGTGATGAAGCTCCTGGTATTGTTCAAGTCTTTAACAAGAGGGTAGCGGTGGTCAACCTCGTCCACCAGCGTACTCCTGCTCACGCTCAAGCCCACGAGCTTCTCAGCCACGGTCTGCGTCTGGCCTACTACTGTCTGTGACAGACACAGACCCGCCGCGTACCTTCAATACGAAAACAATAATGAACATTTACCATGACAAAAATAACTTCAATCAACAGTGTCATGGAACTCAACCTGAATTGAGGAAATTTGAAGTCAGTGGTTCAGCAGGTATGTTAAAAAGGGTGACAGAAGAGAATAGTGGTGAGTGAGAGTGGAGTAAGAAGACGAGTGGCCTATCGGTATTTTTTTCAAAATCGAATCAAACCCATACAATGACCCGGTAAAAAAAGCTCTTAACAGAATCTTACATCATAGAATTGAATAAAGTTTTAAAATAGAACTGAGAAGGCTACATTCAAAAGTTGGACTATGTCTTTAAAAGATTATTAATGAAAAGCATATACTAACGAACATATCACATGTGCGTACTATACAAATAAAGGTCACATGACATCCAATAATGAGAAAACATGATCATCATATGCTAGCCGCAAAAGAAAAAACGCGTACTTCCCTAAACATGTATCATATTTCAGCTAGCATATTGAAAGATTATTCTAAAATTTGATTTACCCCTAATCCATTATTCTGTACAAGTTTTGATTTAAAGCAAAACCAAACCTAGGGATGATCCCGTGGCACAACTCACGTCTGCATGTTGCTGATCAAGCTGTCCATCGCTGTGCTTGTGGTGCCGTCAGTCGCATTTGTTGCGAAGATTATGGCCTCGGTTATTTTGATGCTCGTTCGTACCTGAAATATTACTCGAATTATCGCATGTGTGCCTTTCTCTTTCAATGAATTAACAGTAGATAACTAAGACTAAAATTTAAAAAAATTCTGCCAGCCAATATCCTTTCAAACAGAAAATTAATTGTGTGAATTATTGCATATTTTAAATTTGCTTTGCATAAATTAATTCTCACATTAAAAAATTTTTGCTCGATTAAAAATGGCTTAAATACAACCTTATAAAAATTAGAATGTCATCTCTGTAAACACCCAACCAACGGGAAACACGAACTTTTATGAGATGCTACAGAAAGAATAATCTCACTCCCTGGTGACAGTATGTCAGCGCACAATGGTTTAATATGCATACTATTTAATGTACAATTATTTCAAATGGTATGCAAATGTCACACAGTCCTACTTGTGCATCCGTCATAGGCGAGTATGCCGGCGACGCCGCAGCGTCGGTGGATCGCTTCTTGCGGCCGGAGGGCGCGCCGCCGTTCCTCAGCGCGTCGAGGTCCTCGTCAGTCTTGGGGTAGTAGATGGGGGCGCCCGACCCCGACGACGCTGAGCTTATGCGGTCGTACACTGGGGTTCAGGTTACTGAATTAATCAATCAACGGACTTGGTAATCTTTTGCTTCAAACACTTCTTTGGATTTGAATCTACCCAATATAGATTCAAATTCATAATATATAGATTCAAATGTCGAGGTGTTTGGTTTCGTTTGCTATGAGCGTTGTTTTGTAAGAATATGCCTGTAGTATTGAAATGCAATAAATAACTAGGGCTATCATCAAGACTGAAATCCGAAACATTGTGGAGGTAAGGAAATATTTGCTAATATAAGTTTGAATTTGTGCTACTACAAATTCATATTTGAGAATGGCGCTTAATTATCGGCTGTTATTGGAAGCTTTCACTATGGCCTATGGCAGTGGGCGAAAAAGTGCTTATTCGACCTTCCATGATACATGGAATCTTGTGGCAACGCAAATATCAACTTACGAGTTAACGTGTTAACCGTCCATGTTGCCATATTGTCAGTTACCACTCCAGCTACAATGACTAATCGCGTCTCACTGTCAGCCCAATAATCACAAATTAAGCAAATATATTAAAATTAATTCATTTTTTCCTTGCAAACTAATTACAATAGTTCCATATTGAGGACTATTCGGCTTCTTCAGTACTTCTGGAATCTAGACTCATTGCTGCATATAAAAAGAAAATCCTGATGTTTAATGGCAAAAAATTAATAGATGTGAGACTTGTAAACAACGAACTCAGTCACGACAGACTACATCAGCCCACTGAAATGCAATCACCAGACTATGTCAATTGGTCCGTGTGAATGGCAGCCGTTGCATATCCAACACAACAACTTTACTGAATTTAGTTACTTATAATATGAACAAGAGACGCGTCGCTCACGAGCAGATCAGCACGTAGATAATGGCTATTAACGTTGGTTTTGGTCCTGCAGTAGTGCAACACTCACTGAGCTGGTCGCTGGAAAAGTCCTGCAGTGCAACTTTCACTGAGCTGGTCGCTGGAGAAGTCCTGCAGTGCAACACTCACTGAGCAGGTCGCTGGAAAAGTCCTGCAGTGTAACACTCACTGAGCTGGTCGCTGGAAAAGTCCTGCAGTGTAACACTCACTTTGCTGGTCGCTGGAGAAGTCCTGCGCAGGCTTGCCGCTGATCACGCTCAGGAGTTTGGTGTTGAGGCTCTGCAGCTGCAGCATCAGCTCCAGCGACAAGTCCACTTCGTTCATGAGGGACAGCGAGCCGCTCAGCAAACCAAACGCAGCTGCCTGTGCCCCCGCATTGCCGTCAAGCCTGCCAGCACAACGGTGAAATTAACCCAGCCCTTGACAGGCAGTCCATTAATATACCACTGTTCAATGTTCTAATCCAACTGCCACTGGTCTTAATGAGCAACTTCACTCTCATAAACATCCATAACATTAGAACCGAATTATAGAATGCAATCACTTCTAATTATGTAACTTACTTGAAGAAAATGCTCTTCTCCAAGTATAATAATCATAATATTAGGCGACCAATCATGAGCATGAGCGTGCTCAGCGCTTCATTTTGATCGACCATCACGGCTATTACATCAGTTCAAGTAAGAAGAGAAGGAACTTCACTAACCGTCCTTCTATGTCACTGATCTTTTTCTTGGCTTGGTTCTCGACGAGGAGCCTGACGAGGTCGAGGTTGTCTGTGTCGCCCAGAGCGTTGAGGGTGGCCATGACACCAGCCGCCTGCTGAAGCGCCGCCTCCACCGAGTCGTCCGACGCCATGCTCGAGGCGATGTCCGCCGACAGCTGCCTGCTCAGGGTCCCCGTCAAGTATAATTAAAATTCATAAATTGGTCATTCGGTAAAATTTAGACATTGTATATTGATGAAGGAAACATTTATATTTTCCATTAACTATGTATCCATACTACGGGTTTTCGCCAATTAATAGTTGATATAACCAAGAGAAAAGTGAAATGGATGTTTCGCAACGGAATTTCCAGTCTGGCCCCAACAGAAAAATTCATAATTGGTGAACTTGTGCAGTCAGGATGTTTCATTTTTTCTTCAGCAGTAGCATCGAAGTACAACCCAGATGTTAGTTTACAATTTCCGATTTCATTTAAATTAATAGACACATAACTTTTCAAATTCCGGTCCCTTTCAATTTGTAATTATCTAGTTGCTAAATTATCTTTGCTTCTAACTGTTGCAACCACAATGTTTCAATTTTCCTATTATTGTCTTCCCACTTTCCCAGGTCGTCGGAAATGCACGGATCCAGGCACTATGAATTTAAAGCAATTCCAACTTCGAATTTAAAGGAATTTATTATTATTGTGTGATGTAAAAGCAGAAAATCAGTTAACAATTTATGAGATCAGAATACATTGAAGTGGCCTGTACTCACCCCAAGACTTGGGCCGACATCGCAGACGGCAGGGAGAGGGTGACGGGTTTCGATTGCTCGGTGCAGAGGCCGAGTGAGTCGCAGACACGCAGCCACACCATCGCGCCAGTCGAGCCAGACTTCACTGCAAGTTTTTGGTAATGAAATTGAAACTTTGAACCGTTCTTATGCAGAACTTCCAATGAAAAAATAAGCATGTAAGACTTTGAAAGCCTGTGAAATGTCCAAAATAGTTTCTGGATTTACTTCTCACTTATTTAAACGCTAAAAACTATATCACAGAACATCCTTTCGCATCCCTTTGTGTTTATAAAGAAATACCAAAGGATTTTTTTACGAACCGACGGGAATAGAGACATTCATGCTGAAGGCGTCGCCATGAACGGTGCTCAACCAGATCGTCTTGCCGCCGCCCAACCCACTGACGCTGTAGCCGAAGGTGAAGCTCAGTGGGTAGTCCGACTGATCGTCCGTCCATAACTCGGCCAGGAGGGCAAACTGCGTCACGAGAGCTTCACCCGAAGCCGGTTGAACCTAAAAAATTATTGAACCTTACAGCTGTTTTGGTCACTTAACTTCATGGATCACAATAATTTAAAAATCGTGTGATTAAAGCCTGTTACTACGAACATTTGACTCGCGTATTTTAAGAATATAATTTTGATCAGCTGACGTATTAATTTCACGATACCCACCTTGAAGCTTCCGTCCGTAGGAGGGGAATTAGTTCTGACGATGACGTCAGCATAACCAGCCCTGGCATCTGCCCCATGGCCGCTGGTCACCAGCAGGCGATACTTGTACCGGGAGTCGTCCTCGAAACGCTGCCCGGCGGCGGACGACGCGGGCGAGATTATCAGAGGAAACGGACGTCGGTTCGATTCTCCCTGCGCACAAAAACGAAATCAAATTGTTCCACTTCTATGAGGTCTTCACAAAACTCTTTGCTTCCGCTCAAGGCTGCATAGTTCAGTCAAATAGAATAATTAGTGCGGGGACGGAGCGAATTGGTCACGAACGATGTAAAAGGAAAATCGTGAGTGCAGTTTAGATGTTTTCTTAAGGCCTAGGAAAAATTTCGAAGTACATTTCATAACTTAACACTTAAAACGAAAATATCCTTTTGGTTCAAGGCCAGATGCGTCTTGGAAAATGCTTGATTGATAGAGCGAATAGTTAAAATCAGCCCCAAACATGAAAATAATAAAGGTGAACCACATCCATTTGATCGATGTTCAATTAAACCTAAAAAAACTCAGACGTACACCAGCTCTTCTTAAGTGAAATAATGAAACTGATCACGCTAGATGAGTGATAACTGCAAAAACTACAGGAAACATAATTTTGCGAACTGAATACAAAATTTAAACTTGAAGTCTAATCTGAACTCTTACAAAGTTTCTTATTAAAACAGAATAACCTAATTATAACAGGGAAGCGCACGCTTCGATATTTTTAATCAGATTTTTTGCTCTCCCTGCGTCTGAATTATTGGTCACAGCATCTAAGAACATAGAGTAGCAGCTCACCTCGAAGGTGGTGGGGCCCGCCCCAACAGACGCGTTGATTATTTCTTTGTACGAGAATCCTCTCTGCACGACTGGCTGCCACTGCGCCTCGGCGTCCGCGTCGGCCGTGAAGAAGGCCCTCACTACCACCTGGAAATCTCATGCGAATCAGCAAAGACTTGTTTCCTTCAATTATATATTCAAGTGACTTTCATTTGAAATGGTATGATAACTTAATTTAAATCGCACGGGAAATTGACAGAAAATATTCGGTGTTTGTTCGGAAAAAGAAATTGAAATATAAAAATAATTTATGATAAACTACGATATTGCAGGGAAAATGGTTAAAAAATGTACACAAGAACTAAGAAAGAAATGTACACTAAGAACTCCAACGAGTGAGCCCATACAGGTTGCAAGCACTTCTGCTCATAAGTACACTAAAAGGAACATATCCATGCTGCCATAAGAGGCTACATACGAACAATTCTTTACATAATATAGTATGATTTAAATGCATTCAATTGGACTGAATTAATACAATTGAGCTATTGAATAAATGTGACGCCATCATAAAAGTGAAAAATTACTACTCAATGAGCCCAAGTGTATCCAACTTGATATGCGTTTAGTGAAGCCCTGGTAAGAAATGCTCTCCTGAGAAGTACCTTTTCATTCGGAATGGCCTGGATTATAGATTCTTCCAGGGAGACCTCGGGCAGTGTGCCCGGCTGCAAGTCGAGGTTAAGAGACGCGGACGCCGTGCGAGTGTCCTTGGACACCGTCAGTGTCAGCTTATACCTGCATGAAAAAAATTGGAAATTACGCACACAGATATTTGCGCCAGCTCTGCTGGTAAAGGGTCTATAGACGAGGAGCATTAAGCGAATGTGTCTGTTAAATATGCTCATTGAATTCAACTCTTTAGATTTACACACATTAAAATTAAATCATTTGAGACAATTATCGCCACCAAGAATATTCAAATAAAATATATTCTAGCATCAAGTATAATATAAAATAAAATATATTCTAGCCTATATTCTAGCATCAAGTGACTTGATTAGATTCACTGACATGCCAGGCTGCAGGACGGAGGCCGGAATGACAAGGTTCATGTTCGTCGTGGCGTTCTTGAGCTGCACCTCTAAACGCGCCACCGTCCCGGCCGCCCCGCTGACGAAGCACCCGCTGCCATTCATCGTCTCACACGTCCACCTTTTGAGATAAATCCAATGTCTCTTCTTCGCACGTAATGGTAGGCTTAGTTAAGACATCAACTCGAATCGAAACTCCATCTTAGACCTCCTATCTATCTGACTCGTTGGCTGCAATGCGTTTTGAATCTTTGTTTCTCTATTTCTATTTCTGCAAAAATAAGCTGCCGAGCAACGGTTTTAACTGAGGGGAATTTCAATTTAAAAGAAAATACTCAAGGAATATCAGGCAACCATACATAATAAATTTAGCCAAGATGACGTGAGCTTGCATAGGTATTGTAGTGCGTCACTAAAAAGACGATTACATAACGTTGTTATTTGCTTCTCAAACCATAGTAAATTATATTGAGATGTACAAGTATCTAAAATGTTTTTTTTTCTCGGTCTTACAGAAAGGCCATATTTCCTGGCATGTTGTCGCGGTCGCGGGAACGGCTGCCGCTCACACGTATCATGTTGCCCGTGCCTGTCCTGAGGCTGGTGGTTGATACCACAGCTTCGAGGCCTAGAGACTGAGTCTTGATCAGAAGTTCTCCCTGCGAAAGTACGAGTACAATGATAATTAAACAATGAATTAGAAACATTGAACTAAAGTCATAGATTGATTGCCTAAACTTTAGGTCTTATATTTAGCAGGTGCAAAGAGATAGCAATAGAGCAACCTTCCTTATCATTGTTGAGTATAATTTAGATAATTTTTACACGGCAACCTTCATTCTCATTGGTCAGTACAGCAAAGAACTTCAAGCATTTTTGACAGAAGATTTGCATTACTCGATGTGTAGGTAACTATTTACTTTTCTTCTCCAGAAAGTGAAGCTTACCAATACGATTTCTTGCATCTATTTTTAAGAACATACTTTATAAGTCAACCCATTTTCAGAAAAGTCGGTAGCTGTTATGTCCACGAAATTTTGCTTTTTGACTTCTTCATTATCCATGGTTTCTATTTTCTGTGAGCGAAAATAAGCTATCTATCTTCTTCATCATCATCCGAAATCCCAATATATTACCCATTGTGGTTAATCACAAAATGTGCACCATTACCGTCAGATCTCACAGGCATCATTAGCGCTCACCTGCCCCATGTTCGAAGGCGCATCCACCTGCATGACAGTGACACCGATGACATGCGTCTGTCCGCCCGTGACGAGGTTCATGGGCAAGTTGACGGTGTCTCCGTTGAAGTCAGCAAACACGCTTGCGTCGCCGTCAAGTGTCCAAAAGTACTGGGGTGGTGGCAAAATAGATACAGTTGAGGGAACGTCCGAGGCGACCATAAAAGACTGTTGAGGATATTATAGTGCAACCGTCTTGAAAGGCAGACAAAGTTAGAACGTAGAACATCCTACTCATACTAGATGTCGAATGCTGCAGTGTAGAGAATACCATTATTGGGAAGCTTAGAGTTCTACAAAGTTACGATGTTGTTCATGATGGCTCATGTCAAAAACTCCTGACTGTAAGATTAAAAAATCAAAACTACCTGCCGTATGAATACTAACCCTATAAATTTCTTAGAAACACAAAAAAATTAAATCCATTCTAAAGCCAAATTCGTCTTAAATTTACGTTAACTCTTGCACCAAGCATTCCTGTTTTCTGTCATTATTATTTGATATTATGTAATAAACTTTCATTCAGGTTAAACCTTGAGCTTTGAAATGGAGGAGTCGTCGGCATTATTGCAGGCGTCGACGATGGCCTGGTATCCGTACTGGAAAGCCGGTGCGATGGACGTTGGGCCCTGGATAGTGACGCGGTACTGACTGCTCACTGGCAGCTGCTTCACTGTGATGCCCTTCGGCTCGCTTGAGTCTGACCCGTCCGTTGACTCTGCCTGAGCTATCACCAGGTATGCCAGACCTGGCTTGAACTGTTAACACAAACGTTCATCAGAGAAGAAAGAATGGTGGTGACGCTGAAAATCAACGTTGGCTCACACGCATCAAAAACGGTGACCAAAAGTGAATGGATTTTCGTCAGAGAGCGTAATATTGAGTTCGTAAAAAATAACTCGAGAATAGACAGCACATCGTGATCTTGGAAATTGAAGTGACAAATAAAATTTTTTGAAAAGTTTCTGACAACAAGCTGGAGAAGACCATTTTGTAAACTTCTGTCTTATTCGACAACGGGGTAATATAAATACACATGGCATTAAAACATTCTACGGAAATAATAATTAGTAACTTACTATGTTTCCTTGCAGAACGATGGCCTCCCCCTCATTCGTGACTTCTTTCTTCATATTATCTCTGAGTTTGTGGATGCTGTCCCAGGTGTCAAGCACGTCTTTCTGAAGCATGGACGAGCCCTTTGTATCAAAGGTGATGTTCCAAAAGACGCGCGCTTCGTCTTTGAAGAGCAAATAGCGCTCAGGCTTCGCCAGGATCCTCACTTGCGTGCCGTTACAAGCCTGATGATCACCGACCAGCTCGAAGTCCAGCGACTTTTCCTGAAAGATGGGGGTGAAGGTTGTATCACCGGAACGCCAGAAGGCAGTTGGTAGGAGAAACACGTTCCGATTCTAATTTTTTATGCAATAATTGTTTACAGAAAAATTCAATTCAATTTTTTTGCAAAATTGACTTCAAATTGTGTTCAGTGTTCGGATTTAACTGTGAACGCAAGAGTGTAGCAAGAGACCTTCGTCACAGGCTGAACGACTGTGATTTTCCCAGCAGCAGAGGGCAACGAAGCCTCGCCGACGGTGAACTGCGTGACGCTGCCGCCCGCCGACGAGAAGGAGAGCGCCGTGCCTGCTGCCACGGTAGCGTCCGATCCGAGCGAGTAGATGAGGCGGTCATCACGAACCTTGCACGTCGCGCCTGGGCCCAATACATATTTAACATAAGACTTATAAAATATTGTTAGTGATAAACTTTTACCTCAAATTAGACTTATATAATATAGGTTGGTTCAGATCAACCTACACTTCAGATTAGACTTTTGTTGAAACCATAGCTCACCGGAGCCAAAGGAATTAGTGTCTGTGAAGACCTTCAAGCAGTCGCCCTTGAGAGCAATGTTGGTGTCGAAGACGACTTCGAGCCTGCGGCCGCTGGGCGACAGAGTGGCGTTTGAGGCGTTGGGTGCGGGACCAACAATTTCCAGAGTCGCATACTGTAGCTTCACTGACCCGCTGAAACAGAATAATGAGTGACCGATTACTTAAAGTTCAGATCAGCAACATTGGAGCAATTGGATTTTTGGGTTCGATAAAAACAGCCAACTGTGAAAAGGTCTGGTTGGAATCGGCGAGGCGGCTCGTCGATTAAGCAAATTGAGATGCGCGTTCGAGACCAACAGCAAGCTGTGAAAACACAGAATCGGCGACTAGCCTAGTAGCCTAATCCTCAAATCTGGCACTGTTATTATTATCATGTGTAAAGTAACATTAATAATAAACCAACAATGAAAGCCAGATACCCTTGAAATGCAGACAGAAAACAAATCAATTAAAGGCTAACTTCATTCAGATAGCGGAGAAAATTGTTTAAAAATTCCCACTCACTCTCGAACAAAACGGAGCACGCCGGGTATGAGCAAGGCCCCGATGGAGGCAGTCCCGACAGGTGCGTTGGTGGGTACAATGCAAGTCATCCTGTTGCTGGCCGTGTCCACGCTCGTCGTCTCCAGACCCATCACCAGCTGCGGCAACGGCGCTGCAAGAATAACATTCGTCGCCATCAATGAGAATTACTAGTGCTGTCTACAGTGAAAGCATCGAAGAAGGATTAAAAAAATTCTTATCGAATTCCTTCAACTGCGATTGAGAAATTGGTCAGGTATAATGTTAATCGACGATATCGATTAATTGTGCATTAATTGTAGTTGCCACAAATCTATCGAAAAACAGTTCCGAAGTCCCATGCAGATGTTAATTATAATTTCCAATAATTCAGATCACAAGTTTCATGGTACTAAACATTATTTTTACTACGAAACCAACGTGTCTTTAACGTCTTGATGCTTCATAATAACTTCTTGTATTATCTCTCCTATTGCACCAAAAACAATGGCTGTACGAGTAACCCCACATAGTGTGGTTATTCTGTCATTTCTGTGGACTATTTGTCTTTAGAAACGGAAAGTTCTCATATCCCCCCGGCCTTGCGAACTTTACATGGTGCACTTATGTAAGATGCGTTAGAGCTTACCTCCGTACACCAGTACGCAGCGTGACTCTTCAGACAACTTTTCACTCTCTATTTTAACGGTAACCTGCCCAAGGACATGACAAAGTTACGAGCGATATTCTCGCTATGCTAGTTATTTCAGACAATTATTTTAAGCAGCATAATGGCCATGATATAAGATTAAATTTAAATTTTCAGTAGTATGAACATTATTCGAAGGAACAAATGATAGATTCATATTATGAAAAATTATCAATTAACTAAAATACCACCCTGCACTTTAATAAAATTATATTAAATAAGTAAGAAATTCATACATCGCCATCTACTTTCTTTCACTTCACTTGGGACATTCCTGGTGCCACCTACCGGGATGGGAGTCTTGTTCTCTATGCGGCTGTTCGATTCAATGCTGATCTTTGCTTTGGTTGAGTCGGCAACCGTGATCGATGAGTTCGAGCGCACCGTGATCGTCTGGAAATATGCATAAGAAACGGTATCTTTTTGAACGGTAACTATTAAAAATTCGTTCCGGGCAACCGAATAATTTCAAATAATACACGCACTAAAGGGATGGATATTCCGAGAAATAAGTAAAGCGGATAGTAACTGTCAGCTTTCAAGTCTTCTTATATTTTAGCTGCTGCAGTGAAATATCCGTGTCCATTGGGCACAGCGACCATATGGCCAACTCACCACAACGCCAACCATTCCGGCCGCAGAGTTGGAGCTTCCTTGGGTGGGAGTTGCGAGAGCGCCGCTAGTTGTCGGCAATGGAGTACTTCCTGCTGGAGGCGCTCCAGTACTTGGAGGAGGACCGTTGCCAGGGGGAGGGCTGTTGCCAGGGGGAGGGCTGTTGCCAGGGGGAGGAGGACCGTTGCCAGGAGGAGGGGGACCGTTGCCAGGGGGAGGGGGACCGTTGCCAGGAGGAGGGGGACCGTTGCCAGGGGGAGGGGGACCGTTGCCAGAAGGAGGAGGACCGTTGCCAGGTGGACCAGTACGTGTGCCAGGAGAAGGTGTTGGTAACTGAGAACCATTCTGTACAGGCGTCGATGTTGGCTGCCTAGTTGCAAAGTTACACTCCAGGTTCCAGGATCCCTCTCGTAAGGTGCCAAAGCCAAGGACGAGCACGTCATCGCGGAAGATTGTGTTACTTGCCATTATTTTCTGGAACAGAAGATAATCAACTCGTGTTAAACAATAATATCTTAGAAACATAAATTGACTCGTGAAACAAGCAGAGGTTAACTCACGGCAATCAGTTGATTTCTCAAAAAAAAATAAAGTACTGAAATAAACTTTCATATTTTTGAAAAGAGGTAACCCCTTCATCCAGTTATAACAGAATCACGACACAGGCCAGTAAAATCTTTCTGCAGAGGAAAGCAAATTAAGTATCTAGTGAAATAGACGATATAAGGGAAACCACTTTACGCATCTTTATTGGTGCATCGGTCATGCCAGCCAACGCAGTATTTAACTACGTCACCGATTAGATAAGAAATGCTAAATGCATCAATCCATTTTTAACAAACCATTCGTAGATGATAATTTTTTCCCGCTAAGTGAACCATATATCCTATATCAACGTCCATCTGGTAAAAAAATTTCCGGGTAGATATTAAAAACTTAGTGGAATAAACGATTTGTCGTAGAGCCACTCGAGCTGACGCGGGGCAGCTGAGCCACACTTGCCCCCTACCGACTTTTGGCTCTAGAGGGCGCGACTTAGGGCTTAGGCTTCTACAGTCAGCCACGAGCTGTCTATGGTGACGCTAAGGCCGTATTAGTACCCAAATTCAAAGAAAGCTTCTGGAATTTGGCCTGCCATCATTGACTCAGTTAGGAACATTCCAAATAATAGTTTGATTTGCTCATCCATCGTTACGCTTAGCGCACAGTAAATACGAGGAACATATAGAAGCTGATCGGGCGTACATCGACGATATTTCGTGTCCTGATATTACCTTCAAATTCGATCTTAGTGGGGCAATAGTAAATCATGACAAAACTGGTAAGAAGAGATGAGATCAAAATGTATTTTTTTTTAATTATACACATGAATTTAATTTGGATGGCGCGAAAACGTTTTTTCATACGATGAACGAGAATAAAGTGAACGTGTCATGTAAGATGTGAAATTAAACTGGCTTCTCTTCAATAAGCAATATTTATTTAACCGAATTGGGAGAAAAGGAATCTGATAATGCAGAGATTATCGATCTCGATCTAAGCTAGTATTGATTAAGAAAGACGAAATTAAATTGTACTTCACAAATCAAAGCTTGAGTAATATCCCCGATACGATGGGTAGTGCGGGTACACTCTTGAATAATTCCTATATGTTCGATATTTCAAGCATCGAGAGCACAAATAAACTTATTAAATATATAATTGATTACAAAGACCGTCTTAATTCTTCATAACGTTTTACATTAGATTGCCCTATGTAAAAGCATTTGAAGATTGAGAGATACGTTTTGCCAAATATGTATCGGAAATAAATAATAAAACGGTACTAACATTTAATTCAATCAATAATCATTAGCATTCTAAATGTTCTTTACAACCATTATAATAAAATCAAGTTTTATAACTGGATAAGCAAGAATCCCGCGTACAGAAACTTGAAATGCAACTTACGTTAGCATTGGCGTCGATTAGGCTGCAGTTCACGAGGCTGTGTGTAGTTCTCCTGAGCCCAGCCACTTGCGCCCGCAGTGTCACAGTCCGGCCTGAGCTGCTGGTGGACAGACCGACGCTCATGGCCACGTCCAGGACTGATGGCTGCAGCGAGCCAACAGCTGTGCAGTCTGCACCAACAGCAGGATTATTTTAGTGACTTTTCAATGAATTTATGTGTTCAACGTGTTGATGTTAATTAGGCAGTGTGCGCGACGTTTATAAGTATTTTTGACCTGGAAAAAGTTTTTAAGACATAGTTTACGACGGTTAAAAGTCTTAAGGTCATGATGTACGGTGGTTAACTGGTTACACGTTTTAAGGACACCTGGTGCACTACGGTTATAAGTTTTTAAGTTTTGGTGTACGACGTTAGAAGATTACGAGACCTGATGTACGACGATTATAAGTTTAAAACCTTGTTCTAGGACGATTATGAGTTTCTGGGGCTTGATGAGAATGTTATGGCTTGAGAAGGCAAGCTAGTAACATTTTGTTGCGGTGATATGAGCAGGCGCAGGAAATAAATAATAACATAGATTAAGAAGACAGTTGCGGCTATAGCAAAAAGATTCTGTGTTCTTCAAATCCGAAGCAAACTTTGCCTTAAGACTAGATTGCGTTCTTATACCACATTATACATTAGATAAATCAAAACATTTCCCATATATCTAATGCACAGGAAATTCATGTCCTAAGAGAAGGTAAAATAATAATCCTATTCACACTGTACAATGCATTGACACAATCTTTGATCAGATGCACGATTGTACCTGCACTGGTATCCATCCAGCAAGAAATCATTAGTTTACAAGCATCATCTCTCACTGTTAAATGCGGGATCAGAAGGCGCCCGACATTTGCCGCATAAATCCGTCACTTTGCGGGACTGCGGGACGCCGTCACAGCCGACGCAGGCGTTGGTGCCGTCACAGACGCCGCACTTGTCGAGCCCGTGGTCCTTGGGGAGAGTTGTGTTGCCCAGCACGCAGTAGCCGCACCTGCGATGAAATACTCACACGTTATCCTCTAGGATGTGAGGTTATTATAAATTTTACCTGTAAATTGATAATAGACTTGCTCAACATTCTTAATTTAATTCAATCTAATTCTCTACAAATAAAATTGTGATCAGTCAAACAAAATAAGATTTAATGATTGTGGCATTCAAACTAACAAACGAAAGTACCAACTTTAAAATTACAGAAATTTTGCAATTAAAACACCGACAGCATAAATTAAAAAATTGTAAATTAAAAAAAACTTTAATTTGATTAGATTTAGAAGTACAATGTAAGATCTATAGAGAATCATTACAAAAATTATTCATCTAAGCTAATTGACTTACGCATTGATGCTTGCATTTGAGCCGCGCTGTCCATCACACATGACAGCGTCGGAGAGACTCATGCTGCACACGACGCTCGCAGCGCTCGAGCCTGGCGTGATGCAAGCGCCTGCGCAGTTACGCACGCTGCTCAGCTGTACGCCTGTGTTGCCTCCTACGCACTTGCCGCAGGCGAACACCGCGTCTGCGGCAGACAAGGTTCATCTCACAATCATATTGATTACAGCTGCAACGAGTTTTTTTATAAAACGATAAGCTAAAGCACAAATAGAAACCAAGTTACGATGATTGGACCAAACTCAGTTATAAATAGATTTAATGTGATTTGCTTGAAACAAAAAAACGAAACAAATGGTGAAGTGATAGGTGGTAGATACTTTCTTAGTTAAATATTTCTTAATATTCAGAAATTTCTACTTAGAAGTGTAGAATGATCATAACTGTCTACATGCTTTTTGGTTTTGACGGACTAACGGTAGATGTTTCGTGAATTGAATAAATTTTGATGCGAGGCATAAGAATAATTACTATATCATTGAGATATAATCAATGAGAGGCCATGGATCCTCTACAGCAGAGGTCTCAAAACTACGGCCCGCAGCTAGGTTCCATCAAACCCGCCTAGGATATCTCGTAGTTCAACATAATATGTATAAAAATCGAGCGTGGCGTTTATTCCTGGTTACGCTTGAACTAACAGTAAAGGGGCGTGACCGGCCCGCGAAGGTTTCAGAAAGCTTGCTTTTAGCCAATGGTGAAAAAAAGTTTGGAGGCCCCCGGTCTACAGTCGAGCTTCACTCACTGCCACCGACGTCTCCGTGGCAGTCAGTGCAAGTGGAGTTGTTGCCGCCACACACGCCACACGCGTCTCTCGCCACCGCCATGTTGGCCTCGATGACAGCACCTCCGCCACAGGCTTCCCACTCAGCCACAATCATGGCGGGGACTAGCGCCCCGCTGCTACCTCCTCCGCACTGCAGTGCGCATTAATACTTATATTAATGACACTGAACTACAGTGAATATATTTACTATTATATGTAAATGTTTTATTTTGAGAGCTTGTCTATTCGCGACGTTGATAGGTGGAAACCTACGTCTACTGTAAAATATGATTATGAATTTTGTCAATTTCGGCTAATCGTTCGCCCAGGCACCCCATGCCAAGAAGAGATTGGGCAACTTAGAGCCGCAGAAAAAATAATCCAAATATCTGATTTAAGATCGTATTTATTATTCTTTCTATCTTGTGTTAAAAAATTATGATACGACAATTGGTACCTTTTACCGATTATCAGGATAATAAAGTAGGACAAAATATTGTCTTAACACATCAAGTCGTGAAATTCCTGTATCAGCTCTTCATTCCGGGAACTGATTTGCATGGAACTTTTTGTTATATTGTATCAATATAGAAAATGTTACTAGGCTGACCAGAGGACAGTTAAAGATCTGGACGTTCTTGACGACAGCGTTCTGAGTGTTCTGTACATCGCTCAGGTCCCAGGCGGTGAACATAAGCGACGTGTGCAGGATGGCGTCCACTTTGCCCCAGGGCCGCGCTAGCGACGCGTTTGGTAGGAACCGAAGGAAGGCAGACGGCGGCAAGAACACGCCAGGAACCTGGCAAAAGAAATTTATTTGCCATTTGTTTCTTTAAAATCATTTGGTTTCTTTTTTCATTAGAAAAGAGCTAGATTGTGTAGGAAGAATATTCCAATATTAGTCAATTGTTGAACGAGACTGTTACGACAAGATGTCATTTCCACAAATAAACTGCAATGCTGTCATATACAGATTTTACAATCGCGCTTGAAAACGAATAATTTATTAAAACCAATGATATTTTGATTTCTAATTTACATTTTGCGACGAGAAAGAAACAGCCGAAACGATTTGGAGCTTCAACATGATACTATATAATCGGAACCAGGTAGTTTATTAATTAAATGAATTGTTCAGATAAATTTCATCAGTAAATACCGAATCGTTACCAAACTTGTTCATGTTCACCAAAACGAATACTTCGTATGAAAGGGAAATGAATAAAGAAATATGACAGGTTCACTTCCCGTCCGTAATATGGAAACAACACCTAACAAGAAATCAGGCCTCAAAGATAACCAGATAAGCTAAGATTGAGCATAAATTTTCCATTTCAGCTCTAGACAGAAGCACAACTAATGAATGAAGTATCAATGCCGGCACACTGACCATAGGATAGCCTCTGCTGAGCTGCATTCGGCCGTCAGTTCTATTGCTGTAGGTGGCTTGTAGCTGCCGGAGCGCCGCGCGCTGCAAGGTCTCCAGTTGCTGCTGCTCTGTGCTGGTACTACGCATTTGCGCAGACATCTGCATCATTGAACAACAACTATAAACTGGGGGCGTAAGGCAATAAGTACCTAGATCGATACTTTTTGCATCAATACTGATACAATCCAACACATCTTCAATCTAATACCCATGTAGAAGTGATCAGAACTATGAAGTGAAGGCCTCTTTAGTAACAATTAAGGCGTGCACAACGAGAACGTCGAAAGAAAAACTTAAAATAGTGTCATCCAAAATTTGGGTGCCGTATTGCGCAATATATTACAAAATAATCATATCTCGGAAAATTTACAGCATTACTTCAATAAGCTAAAGAAATTGATTTTGTAACCCAACATAGTACGCACCCTCGCCGCAGACTCCAAGTTCTGACGACACGTCGCGTCCGCGATGACGGCCGCCGGGTTCTGCTCCAGGCTGCAGTTCGTGCCCAGCAACGTCTGCTTCATGTCCACGAAGCCTTGGTATCCGCCAGTCAGCACAGGCTTGTCGATTGGCAACTGGTTCAAGTTATCGATCTGGAATAAAAACGTTGGTGATTTTTTACAGCGAGTTTTTTCGTGAAATGCATTTGCTATAACAATTGAAATAAAATTTTGAAAATAAGTATGAATCCAAAGTTTAAAATAACTACATGTTATTTTTTCCCATTATAAACACCAAGCTTCTATGAGTGTGACACCCTACATGATGTACAGGAGGATTTAACTCACAGCAATTGAACACTTCAATAAGGGAGCAGCGTGAGCCAATATTTAAACCCAGTTTTTCAGAGTTGTAGGCACGCACTCTAAGAAAAATTCAGTGAATCAAGAACTCACTGCGATCCAATTGTTGGCACCCGCCGTCCTGTACTGCCAGCGGCCCAGGGGGCCTTGTTTGGCGTGTAACACGGCCATCCCCAAGCCGCCCCCAGCGTCTACGTCCTTGTAGAAGAGCGAGCTCAGGTTCGCAACCGAGAAACCAGTTTCGATATTTTGCTGTGACAGCTTTGGAACTGAGCGGAAATTGACGACGTCAAGAGAAACCGGGGCGTCATTTGTTCCTTGAACCTGAAACAGAAAGTAGATAATGTCTACAATTAATATGCGTTATGAATATTTTCCAAGCCACCTTTTTCGAAATTTATTTGCTGAAACTTCTATCAAGCAATATGTCATTTAGGTCACGCGAAAAATTAACGGAACTCATTCCCGCTTGATCGTGTGCGCCATACTATATACGTCGAGAAGTTGGGAATAATAACATTATCATCTCTACATCTTTAGTAATTATATTAAGATCCTTTTGGTGAAATGTCAAGGGTTTAACTATGATCCTAACCTCGATAGTGACATTGCGGCCTCGCTGGTAAAGATAATAGGACCGAGGTCCCGGCAGCATGTCGTCGGGCAGGATGGCGACGGTTGAAGCGTTAGGGAACTGTCCTGAGCTGACGGAGAGCGTCGTCCTGCCCGCCATGTTCGGGTACGGGATCAGCTTCAGCTTCACCCTGGACAAGTCAGCCGCTGTGCCGAATGGCACTTGCAGTAGCGAAAACTTTGGGATGCTCGTCCATCTGCACGGCAATGAGAGTAATTTTTCGCAGGGAGCATTAAAAATATACCTAGTTCCTGAGCATGTAATTTGGTGTAGAATTAGCATGACTATTTTATCAGCTTGGATTTAAGGTGGTAGAGAAATGAAAAACTTCAAGTCATAGATCACTGAGTACACGTACAAGCGATCGTCGGTGGAAAATGCGAGCTGCACGAGAGGCTTGGCATTATTCATGTCCGCGATCTTGAGTCTGAGGGCAGCAGGAGGAAACCTGGCTGCGGCAGGGTGCTGAGTGAGGGCGTAAGTGGCGTTGTCAAGCTGCGTCAGGAAGGTCTTCACAGCAGGGTGCGTGAAATCCAGCAAGTCAGAGTTCTGCAGCGTCGAACGAAGTTCTGTGCAGATCATTTATGAATTAGTTATATTTTCATTCAGGCTAGTTTGTTGAAAAATGGAAATTTAGCGCATTGATAACATTTTTCACAAAAATTTGTCCTTTACATTGCAGATGTTTGCTTTTAGTTGAAAAATAAGGATTATTAGCCTAAACCAATTCCTGCAAGAAATAAATTCATTTTGAACTAAATCTATCATAATTTTAGATATAAATTTGGAGAAGTCCTGAGTTGAAGCCTCAACATTATTGACAGAGAGCCTAAAATGTAAGGTCTCGTCGCTACAAGAGAGTTTCAAACCATAAGTTAGTAAATATTCCCATTATCTATTATTTAATTGAGGTCATCGAATGAGAAATTTTTCGTCCCACAACTTATTTAATCTGATTCCCTGAAGCCAAGGAATCCGGATAATTGTTACAGGCCTAAAACAATCACAAATTTTGTGTTTGCTCAATGGAACGACCAATAGTCCATTAGTCTCGTAACAAATTAAAACTACTCTGTACTTTTCGGTTTAGGTTGCATAGTTTTGGAACAAATTTTAGGACCTGCACAACTATGAGGAGCAAATTGGCTTCTGAGTATTTCAAATTTTATCCTCGAATCATAATTTGATTTTTCTAATCATTAAAGTTGAGTGACGGGTAATGTTTCTAAACAATTGCGCGCTGAAAATTTAAGTGAACTTCGGAAGCGAAGGGGCGAGAAGATGACTTGCCAGTATTATGTAAAGAACACTTGAATCAATGCGCATGTAAGTGATTGAAGTCATTACTCTTAGCAAATACATTTTAATAACTTCAATCACTTCAATACAGCAAATACATTTTATCGACTGTAACTCAAATAGGCTTCATTTTAACACCGGAAAAATAATGTACGGCATATATTTTTTCAACAAATAAAGCATCTCGAGTCATGAGAGTCAATTCATGTAACTGGTCTTAATTAAAACATCATGATAACGTAGCAAGGCCCTCAAACTGACTCGGGGCGTCCAGCCATGGCTGAATGTACTCCAGGGGCGGGCTGCTGACGCCGACGAAGGCGTCCAGGGAGACGAGCGTGACCTCGTCTTCCAACACCTCGACGTAGGCAGCGGTGAGCTTCGTAGACATTGGGTATGGGGCTGGGGCCACGAGCTGTACCACGGACCGACCGATGCCGCTCTCTAAGCAAACAAAGGTGAATTTGCGACATGAAACCAAAACTCAGACAGAAAATTAATAAGAAGCCCGAGTGGAATACTTTCAGCATTCAATAATCACAAACAAAAGAGTACACAAACAATCAATAGAACATTTTTTATTAAAAAAAATGGTAAAAATAAACGATTAATGAAAACAACTTACCTTTGAATGTGACATTTGAACATGGGTTGTTGCGATTGTGGAATTATTCTCTCAATTATTCACATTCACAAGATTTATTCCTATTAACCCTAAAGTTTAATGTTTATAATTATGTATGAGTATATATATTAATTAAGTATGAGTTTATAATTAAGTATCGATTTACCATATATATCCCCGATATATCTACTTCATTATCATATCCCAGTCAAACACGATGACAAACGTACGGTCAATAAGCCTGAGGAGAGCGTAGGAGAATATCCTGTCATCCTTTTTCTCGTCCGGTAGGAAGCGGAAAGGAGTTTTCATGGGCAGGTTGAAGATCCCCTTCAGGTTCATGTCCGTCCATACGTCGTTCTGCTTCGTCTGCCACGTGCCAGGATAGCCGGAGGCGTTCACAACAGACAGGGACATCTGACACGCACACGGTAATTTATTATTAGAAAAGCTTTAATCACATAAAAGATCAGAAACATTTAATTGGACTGTAAAGAACTGCGAAAAGCACAAATCGTACAGCAGGTCACTGCGTTTATGTAGATGTAAGAATTAAAAAAGTAAACTGTAAAATACTGATGAACACTAAGCCAAGAACTAAGATAACGAAGAGCTCCTAGGAATTATTTATTGAAAGACGGAAAAAAAACAAAAGCCAATTACAAACGAGCTGAAGAAAATGTATTACGGAAATAAAATCTCACTTTAAAGAACTAGCGAACGTGCGTTGGAAAAAAAGTAATTTCATTATTACTCAGGAGCGGATTATATATTTAAATATTTTTAAAGCTGATTATTTATGAATTAACTCCAAAATGTTCTGATATAGTATAGAAAAACGTTATCTAGAGTCTGAGGACACAGAGGCAGGGTCTGTAGGCTAACATCGAGCTGCTGCTGGGTGAGACCGTCGCCAAGGATGAGGGCGAGGGTCGACTCGGAGGGCCTGAGCTGCGCGTCATCCTCGCCACCCACGTAAGCCACACTCGGCATCATCCACGGGCTTCCACTTGTGTAGGCTGGGGCATGGATCAAGTGGTTACTCGTACACTCCATCATACGTGTACGCTAACATCAAGAATGAGATGAGTTAGGGTGTTCAAGGTGTGTCATTTGAACAATGCAACCCATACAACGTCACCAAATGAAAGTCGAGGTACCATTGCGAGTTCTTTCAATGTTTTAGCTGATAATTGTTTAGGTTATAATGAAAATGCAGTGCAAAGTCATTATAAAAAATTATGTATTAAAATCATTTGTTTGCTTGAATCGCAAGTTAACCAGAATTTAAAAACAAAGCCCTGTATATATTCAAGCAGAAGCCTAGTCTGAATGCCACTTTTAGCTCCTTTCCTCTTGAAATAGTAAATAGATAGGCCGTTTACTAGCGTTAATTTCATGTCTTATTTATTTATTTTCCGCATTGGAACATGACAGTGCATTATACTTTACTAATTGATTTATTTGGGTTTCTAGGACTCAACATATTCTGAACAGAATTTTGTATTATGAATTGACGATGGAGCTGGACTCCGAAACGTTTTCTCTTATAAAGATATGGTGAATTTTTGTGGTATTTTCTTTGCTTTTAAATTCCTAAAAAATTAGGTGTGCAAACCATCGTCTGATGACGACCACAGCCATCCATTGTTCCCTGCCTTCATTAAGTCATTGTCTCTAATTAGATCTTGTGGCGTCAATGGTCCCTCACCGGCAAACTCGCAGTCGTCAGGTCGCGTGCACTCGTCGCGGGCGATGCAGTACACGGCGGTGGGGCCGCACTTGAGGCCACAGCGCTCGCCCACGCGCAGGCATTTCTTCGTGTGCTTGCAGTACCTGAATAGCAATGATTATTCCGCATCAAATTCACCAAATGCTGTATCTGCATAATATTTTCTTTTCGTGATACTCAGACACAATTTTAGCTGAATTTGCAGGATGTGAAAAATAGGGAGTTTGTGTTTGCAAAAAACGCCTTTGACGTGGTAAATCGTTCTTACACTTGTGCGTAATGACTACTTGACTTCATCACATAAGAGATAAAAAATATGAAAATATAAAAAAATCTAAACAAATATTCGAATTATACTTCCAATATGCTTTCAGAGCGGATATTAAGATGCAAGATATTAATCATAATTTTCTGATGCCTAAATCTTTATCTTCATTTGCATGTCATAATTCAACAGCATAACTTGAGTATCTTATATACCGACTCGCATTTAATATCCCTAATTAAATTAGTGGCTTATTCCTTCAGCAGTGTGAGTGCGTGTACTCACAGCGTGTAGGCAGGGCACTGCTGAGTGCCGGCGGTGCTCTTGCACTGGCCAGAGCAGCACACGGACAGCGGGGGACAGTCCGACGGCAGCTCACACACCACGCCCGTGCTGTGCGTGGCGTTCGTAAGCGCGTCACACACAGACAGCAACGTCGCGTCGTATGAAGAAGCTGCACCACCCGCCGCCACGCACTGTTTGTGCCCAGTGTCTGTGCACGTCAATAACGGCTTAGGCTTAGCTAACGTTCGAACGTTATTCATAACAACTTATCGTACCTGTGAGTTATTGGTGAGCATTGAAGAGAAAACTCGTTATTTTAGTTGCATCATACCATCAATTATATAATTATTATTTGACCAAGTATCTAAGTATTATTGGCTGGTTTAAATAAATAAATAATTCTCAAATTGATTTAATCTATTCTAATGCAAATAAATCCTGTCTACGTTGTATTAATACAACTAAGCCTATAAGAAGTCTTAAACATCTGCCATACGTTGCATTGATATACTATGCACTCACTATAAACTGCTTGAGGTCAGCACAGCACAAGACATTTCTTCAGTCATCCCTGGGCTCATAATAAATTGTCCTAGTGCGTGGACACCAAGAAATTAATTTCACTCTCAGTACCACCAGCAGACCTAAACTTATCACTAGCAATAAAAAGATGTAGGCGCTCACTGGGATCAGGGCAGCAGGCGAGACCAGCTGGACAATTGTCATCCAGCAGGCAGGTGGTGAAGTTCAAAGCTGGGCACGACGGAGTAGAGTTGTTGCCAGAAGTCTGCAATATACGTACTTATTATTCATATTCTATTCTTGAGAGGTAATAGGTTCATTCATGGGTACTTACCCTCTATGAATGATGTCATGCATTTATTTATTCTCGAGTAAAAATAAATTTTGGAAACATTATTTGAAGACTAAAAAAGCTATGCTATCTAGACCAAGTCAATCGAAGCAGATTTGGTCCACAATGGAATCTAAATTTCGACTAAATACATGATTGTAAGGAAGTGAATTAACTTGCTATATAAGTCAATATTATGTCAGGTCTCCAATTATAAAGTCTAGTTCCTTGTACCGATCACTAACTATATATATAATGATATGATCGCGAGTTACTCGAGTTGCGATAGGTGATAAAATATGAGCAGAAAGAATAATAGAGAACATAAACTAGGCAGGCTCACCACTGCACAGAGATTCTGGCACTGAGGGTTGGAGCCGCAGGCGCCTGAGAGAGGGAGACACATGGACTTGAGCGAAGCTTCGTCCAGCTCGCCCCCCGCGAAGGCCGGCATCCCAGGGAACACCGACCCCCCTGCTCCTCCAGGTCTGCTGGGCAATCTGGTGGTAAATACAAGAAATTGTGCTGCTTTTATAACCATTCAGAAGCCGTTACTGTGAAGTAGAGATGATTTTGACTGAAATTGGATAGGGAAAATAAACTGATTTGAGGTAGGCAATTTAGCTGATATCAGTCAAGGATGCTCTGATATCGTGTAGAAAATATGAATCGATGTCGAGTTAGTGATATTACTTGTCAGGTAGGAAATATTTTTATCAATTGGTGGGCACTAGACATGGCTTCACTCTGAAGGCGGTTGATACGTTCCACTCCCGTTGGGTAAAATTATTCCCATCCCATCAGCTAGCATTATTCACCTCTCATCAGGTAGCATTATTCACCTCCTGTTATCTTGCATTATTCAGCTCCCTTACTGGCAGTATTATTCACATCTCGTTAGCTATAAATATTCAGCTCTCGTAATGGCAGTATTATTCAGCCCCCGTTACGTTGTTAACATTTCTACCTGGTTAGTACTCACAAGCTAGCAGTGCAGCCAAACTGCTCCAGCACACACGCGCCCACGGACATGCAGTACGTCATCCTGCGCGGAAATACAAGAGAGAGCATAGCAAATTCGCTAATGTATACAAATAGTTTTAAATTATTGATTTCAGAAAAACAGAACACTCGGAGGACTAAAGTTTCATCGGAGCAGAGTAAATGCCGATGATTATAAAAAAAATTGCTGATTAGATATAAGCGACAGCTTGCAGTCAAAAAATGGCGACCATGTTGGCTTTTCAAGGCTCAAATTGGTTTTTCTAAAAGCTTAAAAGTCTGAAATGTTCCAAAATTTCCTGATGTCAGTAATACTCTGAATTTTAAACGTATTTATATATAAATTAATTCATTCAATTTGTTCAGGGTAGAACTTACTTAGGTGGGCAGGGTTGGCTTGGCGCGCTACAGCCTCCTTGCGGTTCACAACGCTGACTTGACAGGCAGAATTGCTGAGGAAAATATTTCCATTATTAAATATTTACGCTTAAAATTTAGTCAACTTCTAACGAGTGACAGAATTATATTTCAAGAACAAAATCTGTTTCATTGCTGACTGATTAAAACATTGCAGATTAAGTGTTGATACTCAGCGTTTAATTCGGGGAAGCACAATACCTCAATATATTTAAACCTTGCCGAAACTTGGACATATTTGTTCCATAACTTATTGCTTTGCTTACAGTAATCAATGCTGAATTGTACGATCTACCGGAACCTTAACCATTGACCTGCAGAGGAGCGTTCTGTGGTCGCATTCGCAGGCCCTCCAAACTTCGCGTTATTCAACCGTTTTCTTAAAATCGCATTTAAGAAGTAACCTCGTATGAGGAAAAACATTCTCGCGCAACCTTGGGAGCAGTAATTTTCAGGGTTGTGTCATCACAATATCATCGTGATGAAGACGCCTTCCCATTTCTGAGGCTAATAATGCCTGCTGGCCTTGAACCATACACAACAAAGCCCGGACACAACGCTTCTATTGATCGCTGTTCCATCAGCGGTGGTTTGACCTGTGAAGCAGTTAATGTAATCCTGCAATTATCAACACTTTGCGTCACGTCATACTAGAAATTAAAATTTAATAAAATAGAACCATGTCCCATAAATTGATTATGTAATTAAAGCACTGATATGTCCACCTGTGTCAGCGAGTGTGACGTTACAGTTCTTTTACAGAGGAAAATCCAATAATTTCTACTAGATAATTTAAAAATGTAAAATGTTCTGATAAGATGTTACAGTTAAAAGAATTATATTCGGCTGCGCGCAAGACAAGAGCACCTCACAAACAATGCACAAGGTAAATTGGAAATATTAATTACGCACATAACTAGAGAGAGCAAAGAAACCAGCAATTTTTAATCGGCTTTAAAAGTAAAAAGCTTCGGTGCCTCCTCAAGTTTGACTGCAAGAGTTCGGAAGCACGAGTAGCGCTTTGTGCTAAAGAAGAGACGTAGTCAACTTTTTATTTGGGCCATAGACTCCAGGAGTGAAATCCAATAAGAAGAGGCAGAGAGAGCATAGATTCGCGATGAATTATTCAGCACGCTGAGCTACTGAACCGAATCTCTTTAGGGTCGTTCAATGACGACCAGATGGAGTGCAATCGAGGTCAGCTCATTAAAAAAATATAATCGATCCATTTATTCTTATTACCAGACCCAATTGTAATCAACCGCTCATCAATGTATATGAAATCGCAGCCTGCATATGAAATTAACCACATATGCTACTTTAAAAAACTATCAGAAACTGCGATAAAATATCAAATTTATCATACTTTAAAGACAGGTGAAGATAGCTGGCGGAAAATCTCAGGAAGAGTTTCTAATTAGTGCAAAAAAGTTACAGTTTAGAGCTTAAGCAACATTAAACTAGGGGTTAAAAATTTGAAACATTCCGACAGACAATATTACGTTAAACAGTTAATTATAATTAATAACCAATTGTCTTCAAAAAATATATATTTTCCAAGCATCAATGGAGTCGAACATGAAACGAAATATATTTGAGACTTAACTAAAAAAACATGTCTCCTCGTTAGGGGTTTTTCAGTGAATAAATTTCAAACCAAATAACTAAAATAAATGAATAAAGTGCAAATTTACAAAGCTTAAAATTGCAACACCAAATCAATTAATTTCAATAGTTGTACTGCATAATGCATGGCATGCAATATAAAAAGATTACTTTTTAAATTAGAAGGTAATTAATAAAAGGCCCTCGAAATGGGAAAACCAAGCTAGGCTGAAGCATGCGAGCCAACCTTCAGCTTTAATTTAAAAACTGAATCGTAATTCTGAAGATTTGCACGCGTGCTGAGGAAATGTTATCATTGTTACCATGTCTATAACCGCCATAGGTAAATAGTGTGTAGAATAATTTATTCTTTTTTCGGTGCTCGATGGTTTTACGCCATAATCTTAGCAAAGCACAAATAATCATAATAATAGCAATGATCATTTTTTGGGGTAAAGAGAGGAATAGCAAGAAGCTAATTACGATCGCATATGGCTCACCAGAAAGAAAAATAAAAAGCTATGGACAGGAAAACGACACGGAGTAAGAGTAGTTTCAGTGCTCATGTTATATCTAATTGCTCTACTCGGACATACCTTCTCTCTGAAAACAATGATTAAAGTAATAATATTACTGAAGTATAAACAAAGCTTAACTTCAAGAGACATCATAAATGCTGCTCCTACAGACCATTTAACGCGGAATAAAATAATGCCAAGCGGCCGACGAATACGAAAGCAGCGTTCAAATCTACGAACAGCTTCTTGACTGAACGAAACTACGAATGCAAACAGACCTGGCCTGGTGGACAGGCGGATAATCCATCAGTAACACGTATGGATGGAAGTATGGACAGAGCCATCGGTCTGGCCACGGCGGCCAAGCGGGGACACAAAGACCGAGGAACACATCGACGCCAACGAGTGCAATAAAACTGTTGTGTGGCATCAAACATTTGAGGCATTAATGAGAAATTATTATTTGCCGTGAATAGTTCGCTATTTTTCAAGCTACATGCGTTCTTTATTTTTCTTGTTAAATGTTGTTCAAAAGGCACACACACACACACACGGCTTGCGCTTGTCATTGAGATTAAAGTAGACATTGAATTTATTCGGTTAATTTAAATTATGAGCAATTTCGGAGAGAAATCAATAAGAAACGCTCTGTCAACACCAAGCCTTCAACAGACGCTTTGTCAACACCAAGCCTTCAACACTCATTGTTGAACAGTGTATTAATACTAATATCATACCGGCAGGTAAATTTCGGTAAGAGAAACAAACAGAATGGAAACTTACTTGGTTAGAAGGACAAGCCGTGGTGTTGCTAGTGGTGTTGCTGGTGGTGCTGGAAAACGTGCTGTTATTGCTGGTATCGTTGCAACTTCCGACCTCTTCACAGCTTTGTGATGACACACAAAACTCCTGTTGCACCCGATATATAATAACACTCGTGGCCAATCGGAAAATTTAATCTTAATTGATTTTTATGTAACCATAATCTATTTAGACCGTGATTGAAAACAAAAATCATTTACCATTCAAATCTCCACAAATCATGCTTCAGAAATCATTCATTTTATTTCTGTCCTAATCGCTTCGGATGTGCGAGCAAGCTACACAATTCAAGTAACTGGCACTGCAAAATTTATGATCAAACTCACAAGCTTGTTTGTCGAGATACTCCTCATTTGCTCTCAAGTTTACTTTCACGACATTTAAAATCAGTTGTATCCAAAGTCAGTTTAGTGGCTTTGGTTTATACTATTATATCAACGCGCTGTTCGAAGACTTCGTACAGAAAAGTTTCTTAATATGTTGAGTGTTTATTTTGGTGGCATCCTGTGTTCACGTATGAGCTGTGTTAACTCGTTATATTTTATGTGATTATGACAGTCTGCTTTAAACGACTATAATGCTCATTACCAAGAGCCTTAACTAGGAACCTCTTATCAATATTAAAAAAATTTGCTTGTGCTTTGGTTTATCTTTGTGCTTTTTAAGGAAACAAATTATCAAGAATGTCCTTTTTGATTTCGAAGTTTCTGATCATAAATATTTTATCGTGTTTCAATGTTCATTGATGTTAATGAGTTAATTAATTTATAAAATATGTCATTAATTAGTCGTTTAGGCATATATAGAGCTGTTGATTGTCCGGCAACAAGACGAGCGCCATGCAAGACATTTGAGTATGAAGCAACTCTGTCTCACCTCTTCGCCCACTCACGCAAGTCTAAAACCATCACCTACCTAGTATACCTAACTGCTTAACTGCTTTCCATATCTTGATTTGAAATATTGGAGTCAACAATTGTGCGAATAAAGGCTGTTTTCGGCCGTAAAAAATGCTCAATATGGTATCGAAAAATTATTGGTGCGTAATTCAAGACGAAAACATGTGAAAGATCCTTCAATGTAAGAGGACCGAAATACAATGCCTATGATTAACTGCTGGTTGATACACAACCGAGGCGATTAAGGTTAAGTCTGAACTTTACGCCATAGTTTCATGCAACAAATTTCATCTCAAATAAGAATTTTTTGACCCAGTTGCAGGTCTATAAAGGAATATGTATGAATTAAGAAAATGGAAGTTAAATTGATAAAAAAAGAAGCAATCAAATCCACCAATTCCAAATAAAACACAATACGAATACTATTAATATAAACACATCGTTGATTCATCCCGCGAAAGACAGACGTGACCAAAATGTGTAGAAAATTTAAATACCTGGAAATCATCCAGCTGCAAATATGTGCTCTAGTCACACACAGCAACACAAACATGTGTTTAACGACACACAACACACTCGGCTACCACAATTAAATTCCTGGAACCGGCATGGAGACGACGGTTATGACCACGAGCTGATGCAGGCAACCCACCTCGTCCAGGCCGCAGACTTGGTGGTCGCCCTCCTGCAGCTCGTCCTCGTCATGGCCGCCGCACTGGCCGTCCTCGACGCAGTCGCCGCTACTCGCGCAGAACACCTGGGCCGACATTGTCGTGATGTGACATTACCACTAATTGTAATATTGAAAACTAAAAGAAATAAACATTAAAACAAATAAAACAAAACATACAGGATCTACGCCATCAATTAATCAATTAAACTTTTCGATTATTAATATTGCCACTTCATCTTAACATCGTCAAGCATACCTGTCCTGGCCCACAGCTGGCCCCGGAGAAGCGGAACTGTGAGCGAGCATTCGCCGCCGTCCCACCGCAGGCATCAGGGGCCACGCAGGCGCCCAGCATAGCGCAGAACACCTGCGGTCACGTCAAATGATCATCTTAAGGTTATGGTGACATGATGAATATTATTGAAGTCAAATTGGATGGATGTATACTCATAATTGAAGTAGATGAAAACAACTCTTGAACTATGGCATGTTTGCTACATTCAAGAATACCTTTGCAATTTCGATACAAATAACTCGTAACTGGACGATTTACAAATAAATGGAAAAATTCAAATTGAAGCATCATCGATGATCCTCACTTGTCCCGGAGCGCAGGCCTCGCCGCGTTCGCTGCTGGAGACGAGACCGGCAGACTCATCACATCGTCCGGGCTCCGTACACTCGCCGCGACTCAGGCAGAACACCTACGGGAGTGGTGACACGGATACACGATATTGCGGTATAATATTCTCATCATGCGAGCCGTTATGGATACATCAGCTCGCCGAACATCTTATTGATAGTAGGCATCACAATTTCACAATGTGTGATGAAAATAAATAACAAATTGACCATTCGGGTACTAGTTTTCAACAAAATTCATTTTTAAGACAATGGTAAGTATTTTGAGAACCAAATGTCGAAATTTGAGGGCCATTTTTATAAGCACTATTGCACTGAACGAAATCAAAATATTCTTGAGCTAGAAATTTACGCACACAATTCATAGGTAAACAAATATTGGCCGAAAAATGTGTAACCTGAGAAACGCATTCATGTTTCATTCTAAATGAACAATTTGAAATTTTTTCCACGAACAAACAAAATCAGAAATAGTGTCACAATGAAAACTAATACCGATCGGATATGATCCTATCATTGACGTAAAGCGCTTATTACTTAAATTTTACCTGATCAAGTAAGCGTCGCGAGAAAAACATTGAGATCTAAAATATAATGAAGTAGAACTAAGTGGAGGTGAAATGGGAAAAATTTCATCCCATGGAAAGTGAAAATTTTTCTAAGTGGAAATTTTTTCATCCGTATGAAAAAATTTCCTTAATTCGGGCTCTGGACATTTTACTCTGTTATCACACAGGAATATTGTCATCGCACACATCTTTGCCGCCTCTACGCGGGACTCCAAACACTGCAACGCTCCACTAAATTATCACGATATCTGTTGAAGAAAACTGCCTAGCAAAATTAATCATTGTTATTAAGAATTACTCTCAATTTTTCTGTGTAATTCGTCCAAACACACTTGACGGCAAAGAATATCACCGATCTATGAGACAAAGCGGAAATAAGTATGAGACAAAAACATGCGTAAGAGGCATTCAGCCAAAAAATTTAAGAATTAATGTTTGTTATCATAATGGAGCATACCTGTCCTGGCCCACAGCTGGCCCCAGAGCGGGACTGTGAGCGAGCATTCGCCGCCGCCCCACCGCAGGCATCAGGGGCCACGCAGGCGCCCAGCATCGCGCAGAACACCTGCGATCCCGTCAAGTGATCCTTTTGCAGGCACGAATAACTTGTCGACTTGATAGTTATTACTCAAGTACTCATACTATTTAAATGACCTGCAAATCTCATTCAAAGCTAACTTTTTTGAAGGTCATTTTTGAAGCTCTATTTAAGTTACAACTAATTTGATGATTTATTAAAATGCTTCATATATGACATCGCCGATGATCCTTACCTGTCCTGGAGCGCAGGCTTCGCTGCGTTCGCTGTTGGTCGCTAGCACTGCTGATTCATGTTGGCTGTTGTCGGCTAGCACTGCTGACTCATCACATCGTCCGGGCTCTGTACACTCGCCACGACCGACACAGAACACCTATGATAAAGTGAAATTGGTTGCTATATGTGTAACTTATTAAGAATTACGGGTATTTAATACCATACGAAAAAATGGCAATAAAAATAATATTCCATCTTGAGGAATATTCGGATAAGTTGCAGTATTGACGAAACCCGTAGCAGTTCTATTCAAATTATCGTTAATAAATCCTCACTTGTCCCGGAGCGCAGGCCTCGCCCCGTTCGCTGTTGGTGGCTAGCGCTGCTGACTCATCACATCGTCCGGGCTCCGTACACTCGCCGCGACCCATGCAGAACGCCTGTGGAAAAGTCAATTTGTGTATCCTTAACTTCTATTTTAATAGTTAAATCTTTATATGAAATTCGTTTTGCTACCTTCAGAAAAATATCTTTTCATTAAAAACTATTTTATGCTGGTGTTCATTTCATAAAGGCTGGGAATCAAATTTATTTTTGATCCCATTGTTCTCGACCTAGTGGTTAAGATTCAAGATTAAAGAAACTTCAAACTGAAACAAGAATGTAACTTTCTAACATTGTTTAACTTTTTGTGATAATTATTTTTCGCATCAATGCAAGACAAGCCACTCCGAAAGAAAGAAAGAAGTTCTTCACATCGATTACTTTCTCATTCCTGGCTAGCCTAGAGTTGCCATGACCGACCCTGACACACAATCAATGCAGAGGTACACACAGAATGTTGCCCGGGGAACGGTCTGTTCCGCTCCATGCTCGCTGGGCAAAAATGCAGGAGAAACGGAATATTGTTGTAGTTAGAATCGTGACGCGACTGATTTCTTTGTCTTGTTTTAATGAAACACAACTGCAATCCATTGAAACGTCAGATCAAATCTTACCAGCGCTGTTGTATTAGAAAAACTGGAAGACAGCGCAAAAAAACGTTTGAAATAAATGCGGGTGTGTAGATTTTCTAAAGCATTGTTGGAGTCACCCACTCAAAAGAATCTGCAGACACGTTTAAGAGTTTAGGATAAGCCAATATCACAAATAATAGAATTAAAGAAAAAAGTATCATTTCCGTTCCCCAGAAAAATTTGCAGACACTCATTTGTAGCGATGAACGCAAAGATTGCACCATCGTGCAACACGGACGAATTCTTCATCACGGGCTGTGGTGATAGTAGTCAATCGATTGAAGCTAAATAAGAAGTTTCTAGAAGAAATTCACAGGCTGCCTAGAAGAAATGCATAGATTGCCTAGGAAAAATGCATAAACTGCTTAAAGGAACTGCATAAACTGCCTAGATGAAGGGCACAAACTGCCTAGAACAAATTCATAGAATGTCTATCAGAAATGCATAGGCTGCCAGAAAGATATGCATAAACTAACTAGAAGAAATGTATAGATTGCCTAGGAGAAATGCATACTCTGCATAGATGCCTTGGAAGAAATGCACAGATTGCATAGGAAAAATGCATAGACTGCTTAGAAGAGATGCATAGACTGTCAAGAATAAATGCGTAGCCTGCCTAGAAGATTCTTGATTAGCATTGATTGTGGTTGGAAGTCAACAATGGTAGAGTTACTCAGAGATAAGAGTGTGGTGACGAAATGAGATGATAGGAGAGTGGTGATGATGTGCAGAGATAGGAGAGTGGTGATGATGTGCAGAGATAGGAGAGTGGTGACGATATGTAGAGATAGCAGTTTTGTGAAGGTAAGATGGGATAAGTTAATTACAAGTAATACGAATGTCAAGTTATGTTTGCCGTTCTCCAAGCGAAAATATTGAACATGTGACATTTTATCGGTTATTTTGCATGGTGAAAAACTTTTAAGGCAACAAAATAACAGGACAAATCAATGAAAATATTTTATGTCTCGTGAATTATTGCATCGCCTAACATACGTTTTCGCTGTTAGCGTTACGGGGGAAAAAGTTTAAAGCCACGCACAGCAAAATTCTATAGTGGAAATATTACAAATTTTTTCCGTTTTTCTTCTTATTCGAACTGACCATGAAGCTAAGCGCAAGATCTTTTTGTATATTTATTGATCAGGAATGAAGACTTTTAACTCCCCTTAGTCACGAACATGTGAAGATTTGACCAGACTCCAGCTATAGTGTCTTGAACAAATTACGCTGAAACAGAAGTTCAGCAGCAGTGCGGCATAAATATTTGATCCAGTTTACTACTTCAACAAACACCATCATTCGATTCATTATCGAGCATATGCATGCCTTTGTCCACTCGCCATCTAGCTGGGCGTTGTCATGACGACGGTACAGTGTTTACCACCATACCGCAGTGCCCTCCGATAGCGGGGGCTACAGTTGCACCTTGTGCCAATACTTTAACTGGACTTTCTCGTTGTTAACACGATAAAAGATATGCATGTTTTTGGTAATTTTTACGACTGCATACAATTAAATTTCATTGATGGTGAAGGACATGTATTAGTACTCGAAAACCAATTGAACCGTCGTTCGGCGTACAAAATATTAACTCTGTTGTTCCCGAATAAAAATTTGCAAGAATCACTTACAATGCTTAATAAGCCACACGGCACCATACCAGGATCAAGACACTAGGCAGGACTCACCATGCCAGGCGGTCACTTGACAGGTCTTGACTCACCATGCTAGGCGGGCACTTGACAGGTCTTGACACACCATGCCAGGCGGGCACTTGACAGGTCTTGACTCACCATGCCAGGCGGGCACTTGACAGGCCTTGACTTACCATGCCAGGCGGGCACTTGACAGAAGGTCTTGACTCACCATGCCAGGCGGGCACTTGACAGGTCTTGACTCACCATGCCAGGCGGGCACTTGACAGGTCTTGACGCCCTGGTGACATCGCCGCGTGTCTGGCCGCTAGCCCCGCACTGCCCCAGGATGCAGCCGCCCTGCGCAGGGCAGAAGTGAGTGCCCGGCGGACAGGGGGACGCTCTGGGGCGCTCCTCGGACCTGCACCCTGAGGGCGGCACGCAGCGTCCCGTGCTGGCGGGAAAATATTCGCAGAAATAATTAATAAAATAATAGTGATAAACTCACATATTTGCAATAAAAATTTTTCTTGAGAAAAATTACTGGAAAAAAATTTAACAAATGAATCACAAGGTAATTTTCTCTTATTTTCAAAGGGTGTCCTAATAAGTCCTTCTCGTATAAAATTTGCTGCCAGTCAGCAACAACGATGCTCAATCCAATTTATATTCTTCTGACAAGTTATTTTCCTTATTACTTTGTAATATCATATAATTGAGGTAAATGTAACAGTTCTATTTCATTGCTACATTATTCCCAACAGATTTTTTATCAAAAGTTTGATGGACAGTCAAAGAAACCTTCACAAAATTGCTCTATCGTGTGTTTTAAACCCATTCACATTATAGTTATGACAATCTCTGAACCTTTTCACAAAATTATTAATTTTCTCACCTAAAACAAAAGATCCAATTCACTCATCATTTCTATATCCACCCTAATAACCGCTCACTCACCTAGCACAAAAGCCCAGCCCAGGGGCACAAGGGCCCGGCAGCTGGGCATTGCTGGGACTGCCCCAGCTCGCCACCCCGTCGTTGCAGGGCGCGATGCAGGCCGCTGCGGTAGGACAGAAGACCATCGTTCCACCGCACGGGACTGAGCGATCCAGCAGACTTTCATCTGAACAACCTGACGGCACGCACAGACCTTGGCCAGCACATCGTTCCTGCGTGATCAAAGGACATGCAACTTTGCGTTATTAACATCTACAAGAGGAATGAACTTCATTAACCTTGGCTACATGAGTCGTGGACGCGAATTATTTGAAGTCAGTGTCAGGATGAAGTGAGCTGTAAGGTTTGTCAAGAAAAACGATGTTGCTGATAGAGTCAATCGGATACAACAATTTGTTCCTGAACATGAAAAGCATTGCAATTACCCGAATGACATGAGAAGTGTTTTAATTGGCGCCGTTAGTTATATGTAACGAACTTATTAAACCAAGAATTAAATGAATGTGTGTTGAAGTGTATTCCATTAAAAGCCCATGTAATAAAAATGAATTACTGATAAGAACACCTTAAAAAATTTTCTGTATCTTTATAGTCTTTCATGGATTAAAATCCATGTCAAAATTTCATGATACATTTATACAGAGTCCAGGAATATTTTAAATTTTCGTCTTTATCATAAATACTCGTACTTCAACATTGGAAAATTTAATCAACCACGACACTGAATGCCCCAATAAATCGAAAAGTCCGTATATTGGTTGAATTCAAGCAGCATCTGAACTCCTCGTTACTAATCTGGCGATAATGTGCATTTTGCTTTAATTTAACTATAAAAAGTAATTGAACAATGGCTAACAATTACCGTAGACATGCCACTCATGCCTCACTTGATATGAGAATCCGGGGCCTGATGCCAAGTCTTTCAATGAAATCATGGATCTTCAAATGTTTATGATCATGCAAATAATATATTTTGAATATGAATAAATATTCATTCATATAATCATTCCTTTTCATTTCATTCATAATCATTCTTTTTCTATAACTTTCTTTTATCTCACGTGATCCGAATATTCAGAGATTCCACATATACAACAAATTTATTTGAACGGTAAAATAAAGAAATATGTTACGAGGGCTGCGAAACTTGACATAATCCCGGTTGATGAGCCAGTGACCTTGCGCAGTCTGAGGGCCCGCAGTCATGCAATGTGGTGGATATTACGGCATAAGAGAAACAATGCCAAGGACTGTTGGCGATGGTGTTTCAAAAAATTGACGGTGTTTCAAAAAAAAGGTGCAGCTATGTGAGATGGGTATGAGTGAGACGGTTTCAAAAAGTTTGGGCAAAGTGATTAGTGAGAGTAATCTTTATATGTACGTTTAAGTCATAAATTTAAGTCATCTAATAAATAATAAAATGTAAGTTTAAGTCATAAATATGCGAAAAGAGTGACGGAGGTAAATGTTAACATAACGATTGTTCAAGGTAAGTGAGTACTAATACAGTACATACATCAAAGAAAATCTTTAAAGGCTAAAGGGTACGAAGTTTGATATGGCATGTCTCATGACGCTATACCAACGTATTCAAAGCGCCGCTTATCAAGGAGACTTCACGGCAAAACTTCTAACGATTCTCTTTGCTAACTTTTAGACCAAGTCCAAACTTTTTGATTTATATATCAGCGTTTTGGCAGCACAAGAATATTACATTTTCTAAACTACACTGCGTTACTCCTAATCCTTAAGTGAAGAGAACTGCTCAAAATCCGACCACAAATAGAGCACGAAAGAAACAAAGAGGAAGCCGCGTAATTCATGTCGCATCCATAAGTAAACGATGCATATTATTTCGCCTAGCTACATTGTTCAAGAAGAACTTAGACAAATCACATTGTTTCGTTCATTTCATTTGACACCGGAGGTTCCATCGACAATGAAATTTTTTCAACTTCTGAATTACTTACAACGAAAGTTTTTCAAACTTTCATTCAATATCTAAGAAGTTTGGCGGAGAATAAAGTTACTTTAACTAGTATTACTGAGCTAACTTCTACTAAGTTGCTTCACCATAACAACCCATGACTTTTCTGGAACGCATCGCTTGTTGTTATCTAAAACATTCACTTGATGACGAAAAACGATTTCTTAAATTTAGTGCCTCACATGATTTGCTCAAGGTTGCTTCATAAAAGATAAACAACTCGACATGTTGACGGCATCTGAGTCGTTTCTAAGAAATACAAAGGTCGCGATGGCTCTGCAGTATATCCATCAATTGCTGAGCGAGAAATACAAGGCAGCTCAAAGGTTAATCGTTCGCGGAAGACTTATAAACAAGCTCGTCGCCATTGGTGAAGGAAGGAGTATTGACCAAACAGGCTCGCGATATAGCTCATTTGGAGGTCACTGCGCGCGTACTTTAATTTTGATGCTCGGCTCAAATAGCGCCTTTGTGCCCAAATAATGTCCACTCGAGACACACACAACTGGAATAACTTATGTTAACAGACAAAGATAAATGCAGAGCTTGCAGGTCTCTTTGACAAGGCAACACGCGGCGCGACGGATGGTGGAGTATACACATGAAATGCTATAGGCATTTGAAATTATTCTGCAGAAAACTCGAGTTATTTTCGCGCTAACACAAGACATGAACGTGTTCTAAATCACCGAGAGACAACCTTATCGTAGGCAAGATAGGAAGTGAAGGTTAATAAAAGTACACTAGATGTGATATATCAATTTTCCAACAATCAAATGAATTTCTGAGAAAACCTGAAATTCAAGATTAAAGCATATGCTAAAAAATACATTTTTATTGTTCAATTATTGTAGCACTTTAAATTAAGAATTTAAAAACAATTTTTCCGTCCGTTGCTCGGGCTGATTAAATCGATGTGGTTGAGCACGATCATGCGCAGACTCTACTCACCCATGGTTGAATTAATAATACTTGAATAAACACTTGAATTAATACATGTATTAATTCAACCATGGTACTCACCCATCCCTGCGAGCAGCCGTCCCGCGGCAGGCGCTCGGCTACCGACTGTAGAACCACCAGGGACAGCAGCGCCAGGAGGCTGCGCGTCATGCCTGCCGTGCACAAAACATCGCGAATTTAGACTGTCAGTGCCTGGCTTATTCGTATATAACAGGAGCATATAAGGAAAATATTGATCCTGAAGTCAGAGCGTATATGACATGAAAATAATACGACAAGCACACTATAACTGTACAGTAAACACGACTGCTAAGTTGTTTGGAAATTCTTTTATAGTATTCGGTGGATCCCTTCACATGCTGTTAACTATGGCAATTCTGATATTACTGACATTTTATTATCACTTGATTAAGGCGCAGATTTATTTCTGTAAGCAATTCACAACTGCAGAGCAGTCAACACTTTATTCTCTACGACACTGCAATTAGAATCTCACTCACAAAACCCAGAGCACAGCACTAACAAAGCTCAATACATGTATATAGCCAATATTTAGTATATATCATTTACTGGAATACACCCTTCCACCTAAACTTGATTATAACCAATATAATTTTCCTGAAAGGAGCCACCTTCTTGCTAACTAGAACAAAGCAAATGTCATCGACTGCAGCACATTGCAGTTATTTCGCCGCCTTACAGATCACACTATCCAGTGGCATAGAGCTCGAGTCGTTCATTGAAACAACGTATATTATTTACCGACATACAACACCCCATGTTAACCTCTTTAACGCTGTACGGGTCTTTACTTGAAATACAGTGCATGACATGCACTGGAACGCAGCCCAAAGTCGTTCACTGGAACACATAGCTTGTTTATAACAGCCTAAACTCAACAAAAATGTTATTTGTTAGAACACAACGCGCGCGGTTTACGTGAACACATTTCATTTCATTTACTGTAACACATTACATATCATCAGCTGGAACACAGTTCATGCCATTCAGTGAGCTTCGAAAAATTGCACATCACACGCTCGGATTGCAACTATTTCCCTTGCTTGCAGAACCTGCCACTCTTGGAAACATGTCATTTGTTTACCTCTGAAACGCAGTAAACATCATTCACTTAAATGCATCGCGTGTTAACCTCTGAAATACATTCCATTTTTCTCTCTGCATTCCCGCTCATGTAACTCCCTGAAACACAACACACTTCACCCCCTGCAACATAGCTCAGGGTCAGTGGGTATAACTGGCAAACGTTACTTTTTGCCCCTCCCCCCAATATAATATAATATTGGGGGGGGCTTATATATAATATAATAGCTTGCGTGGCTCACATTACTTTTCGCCCTCTGGGACAGCTTGCGTGGCTCACATTACTTTTCGCCCTCTGGAACAGCTTGCGTGGCTCACATTACTTTTCGCCCTCTGGAACAGCTTGCGTGGCTCACATTACTTTTCGCCCTCTGGAACCGCTTGCGTGGCTCACATTGCTTTTCGCCCTCTGGAACACAGCTCGTGTCGCTCACAGGACCTCAACGCAGGAAAATGGCAAGCTTCCAAGATACACTGAGCTGTAACAGCTTTGTTGCTCTGGGTTCTGAGGTTATGTAAACAATGATTCAAACGTTGCCGCGATGTGATAGTTTTCTTTTGAAAGCAATTCATCTCAAGAATCCTAGCATCACCTGACCGATTGTTGTAGTATTGAGATGCATTTTAAAAATCAGGAAATCTTCTAAAACGGTAGAATGGAATGCGGAAACAAGTTTTTTTCGAATAATATAACTAGAAGAAAATGACGACGACTATATAAGTTTTTATTTACATTTTTTATAGTATTGGAGCATTAGTTTTCTTGTCGTTCTCCAGGCAAAGCATTCATACACATAAATGAACTATACTCATTCCTAAAGCCAGAATGTTGATATACTCACCAAGACTTTCCGAAACGTATCAGTTTATATAGAATATTCTTAACTAAAAGGTTCCTGTCACCGTTTTGTTTATTGATATAGCTAAAATTTATGAACTACCGTAATTTCACGATTGGTTCCGAGCGCAAACGCCAAGTCAATGTTCACTCGAAATTAAGTAAAAAGAATTCAGTGAAATGAGTGTCAAAAGAATTATTGACATGAATAAGCTGAGTCTTGTCGCATTGACAGTGGCTGGCCCACAGCATAAGAGTAAGAATCGTTGCACCTCTCACACCGACCGACTGGCACACACTGAGGGAAGAGGTCTCAGGTCCGTTAGATCGGCTGTCGCGTTCTGGAATCTGGACACCCGCGAGTCGAGATCTGGAGTTGGGAGACTCGTGTGTGTCGCGTGCTTAGAAAATCCAGTAACTCACTAAGTTTGATCTGACAGCCAAACGAGAGGAAAAGAAATATTATACGATCAAATTGTTCAATGCTGATGATGTACAGATCAAAACAAAGTTTCCTATTCGATAATTATAGATGAAAAATATTACGATAGGAACAACAAAATTTATACTCGGAGATTACATCGAGACTTCTAGTGTATCATGTGAATTGAAGTCATATTAAAATGTTTATAGCAAAATAACCAAAGATATTGCTACAAATTCATTCATAAATACCAATTAATCTCAAGTAGCAGAAATGTGGGTGTTCTTATCGCCATGGCAACGAAGCAAACAAAACACTCGTCCAATGCTTGAGATACAATTCATTACGTCATGAAACTTGACATTAGTCAGGCATGAAGTGTACAGCTACAACCCAAGTAATGCGATGTCGCCACACCACAAAAATAAGCGAATTGAATGATTATATATTCAAATTGTGCCACACTCAATGAAAATAGAATAAATACTTGAAATAATTTTCAATTAAGATAACTGAATGTAATACTCATCTCAAGGAGGCAAAAACTGTCCCGTATAATAATAATAAACACTAATAAGGATAAAAACGTGAAGGAGGGAAGCACATTTATTTAGCTGCCGGACACCTGAGCATCATTCAGGGGCGCCAGAGCACATCATATCTATGCTTTCTTTATGTAAAATAATCATCGAATTTAATTAAACCCGAGAGGGATCGGTCAAAAAAGTGATGGCATGGACATCATTGAGATCAACTATGAAGGTAAATAAAGGAGTTACACTGTAACTTTTGACATGTACGGAATCAGAAATTATTTCTTTGTACTCATACCTGCAATTAAATAATTTCTTCATTATCTTTAGTCGAGGAACCAACCTTCAAAAATAATATAAGCATCTAGTGAGATGAAATATGAAATCTCGAAAAATCAAAAGTATGCATACTTGCCATTTAGAAAATACAAGAAATTCTCACATAACCATTACGTCGTCTTAACATTAATGGCAGAACCTGAAAGTGGCTTTGAATTCCTGTCGGCCGAAACATTTATGTCGGGTACATAATGAACATTGAAAAATCTGAAACAAATTAAAAAAATCCAACATAATGAGGCGATATGGCGGCGTACGAGAGGCAACAAAACATCTCACCTGACACTCTTGTGGCAGCGGTCATTCGATTGCCTTTACCTGTCTTAACACTTACAAATACAATCAAAACTGAAAAATTAAACCGTGATTTATATAATTAAAGAGTTTTATCCAGTAATATCACGACTCGTGTAGTCAACAAGGAATTGAATCAGAAATGAAAGTTGAAGTGGCAATGCCGTCATCATTCTAACCTCCAGCCATAAAAACGAAACGCCAACTCAGCCATGTTATTCCTACGAATCCCTACAGTTACGGCAAAACAAAAACAGTCACGAAATATTTTAACTCTTCAAAGGAGTTCACAGATGACGAACGATAACACATTAATGCCACTGCAGAACATCTCACTATATACCCAGAACTTGTTGAGTTGTAATTATAAAACTTACTGAAGTCTCCGTTAGAAAAATTTTTTTTGAAGGAGCATGTGTTTGTCTTCAAGGCAATCATAACGCAAAAAGGTCTAGCTTCTTCATCACAGTTTTGTATGAAGCTGGAAAGTTGAATATTTTAACGCTCTGGCGTCCACATTGCGTTGCCCGCTCTCAAAGTTCTTTTTATTTTTAAAGTTCCACTGTGAAAAAAGTTGAAGGCATCTACGGCATCAACTTTGAATGAAAATCAACTTGGTCCTTTTATACAGTCAAGTTACTAGCGAAGTCAACAAATAACTGACAACTGATAGCGATAATCCTGAAACTTGTTCGGTCCCAGGCGTATTACTACAAGCCAGCCATATCCTAATGGAGTAAGAACTACAAAAAAGTTCAACACCGAAAGCGGCGGAATTAAATCTAAAAAAGCCTGCCGTATACATAAAACTATCCATCACTCAGATATTTACCGATGACACGTGAGAAGATGAAGTAAGTTACCAGGAAAATTTAGGAACTAACAGATCGTTGCATGTCCCATTAAATATAAAAACATGCCTTTCACGTCAGAGCCGACTCCAAACGACTAACGTGAAAGTCCGGTCTAGCCTCTTGTTCTCCGTACATGAAGAGTTTGCCTTGAACGCTTACAATAATATGGCTCGGCATCTCCTCAGGCTGCCGGGCACTGATGATATCGTCAACAGCTCGTTGCGCAACATTGCGAAATATGCGAGGTTTTCGTGATTTTTTTAACAAGGCCCTTTTCAATTTGACTTTTTCCAATCGTTTCTTCTTCAAGCTATTGGGGGATTTGCCAGTCACTCTAAAGATCTTGTGCGTGAAGGTCAGACTCTTATTGATTTGTTGGCTTGAAATGTAGCTTGTTGACGGTTTCTGAACATCGTATCCGCAATCGCGAAGCTCTTGATAAGCGTCCTCGTCATTTGGGAGTTCGACTATCACGGAGTCTTCCATGTCATCATCATCACTGAAGTGACAAGTTGTGGCCGACGTAGCATCTGACGAGAGACTCATGGGCGAAGTACTTCCCACGGTTGTTTTAAAAATACCGTCATTGTTAGAAATTTTGCAATGAGGCAAATGGCTCAACTGAACTGACGTACGGTGGTGCATGCCTGGAAGAGTCAAAGGTCCACGTTGCGCTGGACTCACCTCCTGCATCCCGACTTCTAATCTACGAGACATCATTGCGTTCTCACTCATTTTATTCCGGAATTCGAAGTATGGTATGAGTGACGTATTCGACGATTTCGTCGCAGTATGTCGCAAAGAATCAATATCACTCAAGGTTTTTCTGAGCTTCTCTCGTGATTTACTTTTCATTTCTACAGCACCTGGAAACCTGTCACGGTAACCATACGCTTCGTTTTGTTTAAATCTCTTCGAAAATTGAGGAACCACATTTTGTGAAACTCTCCTGTGAAAGGGTGCTTTTTGGGGCATAGAAGTTGCACCTCGCGAATCGGTCAGTGAGCATTTCAACTTCTTGACAGAGCTTCGCCTAGAAGAGATGGAGCAAAAACCGGCATGCAGTAAGCATGCCAAGTCACTACAGCGTAACACTGACAAATCGGGTGCATTTTCTGTGTTGCTACCTAATGATTGAGCGGGAGCATCTTCTGAAGGGCTTTCCTTGAAAAGAGAAATGGGCGAAATAGAATGCTTTGTGCCAACAGAAGGAACTAAAGACGATATACATTCAAACGCCTTGACGATTCCGGTGAAGGAATTATCAACAAAATCTGAAAATATATCATTAGGATTGAACGTACTTAGATCTTTGGGCGGAGGGTCCAGCAACACAGTGTTATCCTCTGACAAGTGACGAGATTCAGGCGAGTTGATACATAACGGGGCCTCGTGAGGCGACGCAGTACTGCTTTCTCCAATGTAAACCTGGGTTTCAGGAGTTTGTTGCTGAAAATTTTCAGTAGCCTTCAGATCATTCAACGGTGAATGCTCCAAAGGACCTACGAGGGTCGTCTTCGCAACTGAAAATGTGGGACCAATCGTTATTGGCACCTCAGGTGACACGTCCGTGGATGCAACGGAAGAGGTTCGGCTGTGGTCAAGAATGTTGTTCATTGTCTGACATTTACATGGAAATATTGCATAGGAATTAGAATGGTGAGGGCATTTAGCAGGAAATTGTGAATTGACAATGAATTCGTCTTTTGTACCGTGGCGATCGGCAATAAAGTGCTGAAACTTTGAACGCAATTTTCTTCTAGTTTCACGAAAGAAGGATGGGCGGAATGATGGAATTTCTGAGCAAAATAAATATCCGCGAGCCATTAACCAAGAGAATAATTCAGGAATTAAAAGTGGACTGTAGACAGGATGAAAATCTGCCATACTCTCAAATTGTAGCTCAGCTCGCGTGGACCTCTCATGTAAGAAAGATACAACACTCGAGAAATGCTTCTGAAATTTTCTAAATACGTCACTTCCTGTATGCCCTTGAACTCTGCCGTTACAGAACTTCTCCATTATGCGGAATCCATTCTTCCGGTAGCGCTCACCATCAATATTATTGCCTTCTACAATGAAAGGAAAATATCTCAAGATATTGCGAATGAGGTCCTTGACACAGCCGGCCATGTGAATTATTTTCGTTTCTTCAGTCAACGAGTTAGAAGCTTCGATCATCTCTGGTGATATTTCTGAGTTATTCTCCAGAGCTGTCATTTTCAAATCATTTTCAGGTTCAAAATCTTTTGACCGAGAACCAACGTGCTCAACGTTCCAGAATTCATTCTGCTCAATAGAAACTGGTGATCCTGTTTGACTATAGACCGAAGCCCAATCCTTGACTGCAGAGATAGAGAGTTGCTTAGAAGGAAACTCTCTAATCTGGCCTAATTCAGTACGAAAACATGATGTAGAGAAATCTATATGTTTGTGTTCTGGTTGTTTTATTTCCGTTTTAGATTTTGGATACAAATTATGACTAAAAAAATTCCCCAATGATGAACGTTCATTTTTCAGCTGACCCACACACGCCGCGTGAGAAGGAGCAAGTGCAGCACCCGAGCACGACGAAGGCGCTCTACTGGGGGAAGGGAGGCTGCTGCAAGACTCTGACGTACGCGGCAGAAGGTTGTGAGGGCCAGCTTGACGAAAACCCGGCTGCTGAACTATGGGCGCAAAGGAAATCTGCTGATGCTGGGGCACTGGCAGAGATGAAGGCATGAGTGTTATAGGCTGCATAATCGGCACATTATTTACCGGATGCATTAGCCCACTGCCGTTGACTGGATTGCATATCTGAATGGCTTCAGACATGAGATTATTTCCATTCACGAACACAAGAGAATCTTGACCAGGAATACACCATTGCAATTGAGAGGCACCTCCATCAACAAAGTGAGAAGAAGGCGTTTGAACTACATTAGGAACGAAAGTGTAAGAGGTTAGAGCATCAGTCATAGAAAAAGATGACGGTTGTACAACAGAGAGGCTTTGGTCTTGAGGTAGAATGTAATATTGACTGGCAGGCTGAGGACGCACGGCTGCAATAGCCTGAGTAGGAACTTTGGCTATAGGAACTACCATAGCCGTTGACTTGGGCGCCCCTGAAGTCACGAATTTAGTTCGTAGTGCATCTTTTGAAAGAGAATTTCCACGATGTAATCTTAAGTCTTCAGCAACTGAAGTTTCCACAAGAGTTTTGGCAGGGTTTGGTTGCAATGAGAATAGATCATGAACAGCAGGTTCTTCAACTGTTAAAATTGGCGAAGATTTCACACATGAATCATTTTTCATTGTCCTCACAACGTAACTTGAGGATACGTGGCAATTATCTTGGCCAGGGAAGTGGGTAGTGACTAGGGCGGATATATTTCTATCAGTAGTATTGCTGTTTTCACGCAAAGGCCCATGAGGTAAATTCTTGGACCCATCAGGAATTAAATTTGTATCAAAGCTCCTAGTGGGTGACCTAGAAACTTCTTGCCCAGTATCTTTCTCACAGTCGTCTTCTTGAACAATGTCTGACTTTAATGTTGAAACCTTCAATTTTTCACCAGAAACTGATACCGTTCTTTGCAGCTTGGTAGGCGACACATGAAGTACTTTAGGGTGATCATTACATGACTGAGCTTCTTTCTTAGCCAAGTTCAGATTGTTGGAAGTAGGATTAGGATGATGGTTGCAGCCATTGGTTTCTGCCGCCGTGCTCCGCGACTGCACCACCACCTCAATCGTTAGCTCATCCAAATGGATGACGGGGAACGCCCATGGGTCCACAAAAGCTCGCTCTGAAAAAGAAAGCAAATCATCATGGTAACAACAAATGGATCTAAATAATTCTTGATCAACTCACTGCAATGTACAAGCATTATTTAGGACTTAGGAGGCAAAAAATTTAATTGATAAAATTTAGCAGGATTACAAAATATGCATTTAAATAAGCTCAGTTTGAAATAACTTAAGCCTCAAAAAATGAATGCTCGTGAAATGATCGAAAATGATCATTAAATCAAACAATTTCTTCCACAGCCATTAGATATGAATTCTAAAATACCAAAAAATATAGTAAAAGATGAGATGCAACAATGAAAAACATAACGAAAATGCATACAGTTTAGCAGTACTTAAAATCAACTAAAGAAAATTGTGTGCAGCTTTCTGAAAAAATTTAAATTTTGAGATACTCTAATTTAAATCTCATAATAAAGAATATCTAATGAACAATTTCAAGTATAACCAGCTGGGTTGTGCTATCATATTTTTCAACACTTCTGCCTTCATGTAAAAGCAGTGCAGTTGTGATCCTGAATCTCCTGTGCAAGTAGCTAAGCAATGCAGCACATGAGGAAAGAGTTAAATATACAATGAAATCAAGTACCGGTAACAAACAATGCTCAGGTGAATATTAAAAAAATAAAATGAGAAATTTTCTGCGATATTCACTTATAAAGTACAGAAGATAGGAGCTTATATATAACAGCTACTGTAGAATGGGGTTACTTTGACTCCCGGGGTAACTTTGATCACTTTTCGTTTTTTTAACAAAAACCATCAAACCTCAAAAACTATTTGACATAGAAAAATTTTGTCAATGGCCATTGAAGGCCTAATACCTACTGAGGCTACGTAACACAAGAGAAAGATTTTAAAAGTTTGCATATCTAATAGGTTAAAAAATTAAAAATGTGACCCACGAAAAAGAGCTACAAGATAACATAATCGGATTGAGGATAAAATGCGTGGAGTGCGAGGACTTCAATTTGTGTTTACAAGCAAGTAAATGAATACGGATCCGTACTATTTAAAGCCTGTAGAAGTATCCACTCCAATTTTTTTTATTCTTGGTAAAATAACTCCAAATAACTCCAGGTTTTGATGCATTGTAGTAGAACTCTTCTAGTTACATATGCAAATGACAAATTTTAGGAAAGTGTCATAGTTTGCAAATGGGGGGCACCGCCCCCAATGGGGGAACTCTGACCACCTAATGGCAGCCGTGATGGGGTAAGATTGACCGGCTTGGAAATTAAGTTAAAATTACCATAGGTACCTATATAACATATTTCATGTTTGATACACCTATTAATGTTTTTTCTTTGTGTTTCAGACTCTACTGAGTCTTATATATTGTAATTTTAACTTAATTTCCAAGCCGGTCAATGTTACCCCATCAAGGCTGCCATTAGGTGGTCACATTTCTCCCATTGGGGGGCGGCACCCCCAATTTGCAAACTAAGACACTTTCCTAAAATTTGTCATTTGCATATGTAACTAGAAGAGTTCTACTACAATGCACCAAAACCTGGAGTTATTTGGAGTTATTTTACCAAAAAATAAAATTTATTTTACCACCCAGTCAAAGAAACCCCGAGAGCTGGGGTAACAAAGACCATCACTTTTTTTCAAATTACATCAAAACCATGAGAGGCAGGAGCCAGCAATTTATGGTGATTGAAGCTAGAGTATAGACCTGTATTTTGCATGTTTAAGTTTAACTTATCTAGTAAAAAAATGACATTTTTGAAAAAAATAGTCAAAGTTACCCCATTTTATGGTAGGTATGTCTTATGTCTGAATTAATTATTCAATCACTATTCAGCATTGCATGGAAAGACTATCATGGTTTGAGCTGGACACCAATTAAAGCTACTACAAACTTGCAAGGCGCTGAATAGAGTGAGATGATTTTTGGCGTTTCCGACTAGGTCCCTGAGCACTGCACAGAAAAAAGAGAACATTTATTTGATGAAAAAATAATCCCACAAAAGAAAAAATAATTAATCTCTGGAACAACTACCTTTAAACTACAAGACCTATTTACTGCCCAAATACTATAAGAATGAGTCATATTCTCAATTGAATCAGTTACTTTGATGCAATTGTCTTACTATTTTACAGTTAGAAAAATTGAAGGTCATATATTTTATATGTTAATGAATTAGATGAAATTTCTATAAATAAAATTTTCGAGTGTTATAAAGTCATGTAATATACAAGGGTTGAACAAAATAAGGGAAATGCCTGACATTTGGATGTTGTAATTTTTAAACATGCTATAAACAATTAAAATGTGACATTTCTGTGTTTTATTGTTTATTACCTATTGCTGCTAATGGATATTTTATCACTGAATAGATATTTACAGTATCCAGACCCATGCCACTGCATATAAAGAAGCTACACAAGTAGGTACTCAGATGAAATGTGGCTGTTGTTATATCACTATAATGTTGCTATTCACAAATACTTCTAGTAATTAACTGCTTAAGCACAATACAGCCAACTTTCCTAATGATAAATACCTAAGGGAAAAATAAAGTGGCATACTTACCAGACCAATTAGTCAGATATGATCCCAAGATATATACCTAATTGTATGATACAAGGAAATTGTATCAACAGAAAAGAAAGGATAGCCTGGTCACTGTTATTTGTAATATCAGTTCATGCAAACAAGCCACATGAGGCAACTACAAAAACTGAAAGTTGGGTGAAGAAATAGGTTGGCCGCCCTCTAAGGCAGTGGCTCCCAAACTTTTGCAGGCTGGCACCCCCTTGGCTCCCAAATGAATTTCTAGCACCCCCCCCCCAACACAAACGCAGACACATAATATTCATTTAGCGCACCCCTCAGACACAAAAAAAAACAGATTTTGAATGTTTACAAAAATTTACACTAGAAACCAAGAAGAGGTTCAAACGACCCAGATCTGAGTGAAAAAAAAAAAACATTGCTGGGAGCCATGTGCTGCACATGTTGTGTACAAATCATCAAACAAACATTCAAACTTCTGACTTTGACTTTGGGACTACCACCCCCTTCTTTCTCCCCCCCCCCCCCAGATCTTTTCACCACCCCCAGGGGGGTGGTACTGCCCAATTTGGGAACCACTGCTCTATGGTAATGTACCAAGCAGATGGAGCAAATACAACTGAATCTTGGGCAACTTCCAAAGCCAGATCAAGATGTTTAATTATTTAATTGAGGAAAAAAATATTGCCAAAATAAAGTTAAAGTTTAAAGTAATCAATTAATTAATTAATATTAATAAATTAATTAATTAATTAAAGTAAAGTAATTAAAGTAATCAATTTACATTAAGTTTGACTAATGAAATTAAAAAAAAACAGTTTTGATGTAGCACATGATTATAGTCCTCATTTAATTATATCAATCTGAAGGAATGCTGAATGAAACAAGTCTCATTAAAATTATGCCATAAATTAACCTAAAAAATTCATGACAAAACATAGCTGCAAGCATGAGGCTCCCTTGGACAAATTTACTTTTCACAAATATGCTCACTGCAATTAACTTTCTAGAATACCATTTTGATAATGCATCAAGATTGTGTGAAAATTACAGGCTGCTTAATAATGAATTTTAAAGCTATAATACATTCAATTACCTGCCAGTTCACTATGCATGCAATACTAACCTAAATTTGCATCCTGGCTGATGGAGAGGATCAGAAGCACCAACACTTGCAGAAGACTTGAGCATCTGGAACTTTGGTTAGTCTGAGCTGTTGTCAGACTAGAATAGTCATGTCAGAATCTCTCACTATAATCCATGTAAAAATATTAGAAATATTTTATAGTAACATTCTTCAAACAATTCAATGAATTATGGAACTTTAATAAATTACAGCTGTAAGTCAGAAACTAAGTAGTAGAATTTGCAAAATAAACATTTAGTCATGGCTTCCTGTAATTGTGAGAATTCTTTTAATTAAAGGATTTAATCAGAGATAGTTTAAAGTCTGTGTATTTTTGACATTGTGAATATTTAAATTAGAAAAAGAATTATTCAACATAATTGACAATTGATACAATCAACATTTTTTGCAAAGATATGTAGAGCTGAATCATTTTATATAGGTACATATATATATAATATAGGAGGTGTGCCCAATAAATAGGTTCCATGGGCTGCCACTGCTGCTAGACTGCTAGTATTCACAAAGAACTTTGTCAAGTGTATGGAAAAGAGTTTATGACAGTGTGAGCTCCAGGATGGTGTTGTTGGCAGGGGTGGTTTAGGCTACTTTGCAGCACACCCTCTTGTCCCTCTTAGATGTGTCCCCTTATCCCCTCTTATGTGTGTTACTGTGTGTTTTCTATTGAAGTGTTTAACTATTTTATAAATTCAACTAAAATAATTCTCATTCTTATCAGGTCAGGTTTAGATCAGTAATTGATTATCTAAATTTATGCCAAAAACTATTCTAAAGTGTGGTGCTGGATAAATTGCTGTCCCACGCTCCCTAGTTCCTAACCTCTCAAGTGATTTGCTGGAGAGCTTTCCCTAGCCTATAACCTCTCAAGTGATTTGCTGGAAAGCTCCCCCTAGTCCTTGACCTCTTGAGTGATTGGCTTTAAAGCACCCTGTGAACCTCCTAACTGACTTGTATTGGAAGCAGTTATTGGTGCGCATCTTACTCATTGGTTCATGTGCATTTTTGCTTGACATCATCTTTAGTTCAGTTTCAGTTAATCATTTTCACACATTTTCCTTTGTTCTGTCATTTTTCTGTCACTTTTACTGTATGAGATCCCAATAGTTATTAGAACCAGTATTTGCGTTTCATTTTCCTTTCCAACCTTTAGTCATCATACTAGTTAAACTCAATCTTTGTTACCAATTTAGTCAATTAAAGTAGGCGACGAGTTCGTCTCACCCGCGTTGAGACACCGGTAACAGTGTGCAAATGTGTCAGGAACTAGAAAGTTTTATTGTGCAATTTTTTTATACATTACCCAATTTTATAATGTAACCCCTCCCCAACCCCCCTAGTGTCAAACCACAGTTTTTAATAATCAGTTCACTTTTAATTTCCTCTTCTACACAAAATTGAAGCCAATTTCTTATGAATGATAATAATGGTATCCATGAAACTTTACTGCTTTACTTATAGGACTCAAAAATGGACTTGAGACTTGAGGTCCAAGGACCAGGATGAGTTTAAAATATGCGTTTAAACATTACTTTTTAGAGACAGCACTTCTAAAGAATCCAGTGTCTCCAATCTTACACAGGTATAATGAATTTTTAATTTTATTTTCAAATATTAAAAAATATAATTTAAAATTTTTTCATGCTTAATAAAAAATTTACATTTTCAAAATTATTTATTCTGTCAATTGATTCATGCATTGTCTCTGATTTTATGCAAGCATGCAAAATTTCAGATTGATTGAACAGGTAGAAGTGTGTTAAATATCAATTACTATAATTGAGAAGTGTTGTAATAAAAAGTCTCAGCTTTGACACCATGCTGATCTCCTGTTCCAGTCATCTATAGTATCTTCAATGCTTAGTTGTTTTTAAGCAAGAGATATGTAAATCTCGCAATTTTAAATCTCACTTATGGTGCCAAATCCAAAACACTGGAATTTATTCTGTTCAATTTTGCATTTTGGTAAATTTATAGTTTACACCATTCATATCTATCAATCTATCATCAGTGATCAGTCACACTCATTTCCCACCAGCCCACCCACCTGCTATGCAGGTTGCAGACTGCAGGTAGGTGGGCTGCAGTCAAGGTCTCAACAAAATTTTTAGTTAGAATAGATACCATCAAACAGGGTTATAAGGGCTGGTTTTCAGAGTTTTTTGTTAATAACTTCTTACCATGAAACATTTCATAAACAAATTTGAGCTCACTTTAGAGATTGTTGCGAGGGCTATTGTATGACGTCTCTGAAAAATTTCATATGCTATCCATAAGGTGCCAGATGCAAATTAAAGTGTCCTGAATTGCCCCTGAGAACAGGGTAATCCAGGACACTTGAAATAAAACTTAATTTTAAAATGTTTGAAGCATGCAAAGTGTACTCATCTATTACTAACAGTGCTTTGAAGTCCTCCTCTTCCTTTGTAGTTGATGTATATACATGTAGAATATATGATATTTTCTGTGATTTTTACTTGTGTTTCCATCATTGATATGATGTTAACAAACCCTTACATTACCATCAACCGGGGCTACTCGGGACAGACTTGATAATTTTTTTGTTAATAACTGTTAATAACTTCTTACGATGAAACATTTCATAAACAAATTTAGGCTCATTTTATAGCTCTTTGCGAGGGCTATTGAATGGCATTCTCAAAAAAATTCCATATGCTATTCGTAAGGTGCCAGACGCAAAATAAAGATTGTCACGAGTAGCCCCGTCAGTCGGGGCTACTCGGGACAATGGGAATAAAACTTCATTTCAGAACATTTGAAGCATGCAGAGCGTACTCATCTATTACTAACAGTACTCTGAAGTCCTCCTCTTTCATTGTAGATGATGTAGAGGTAGAATAAATGACATTTTCTGTGATTTTTACTTGTTTGTCCTTTATTGATATGATATTGCCATATACATTAATTACCGTATTATTGATGTGCAATTATCGTATTATTGATGCGATATTACCATATCCATGAACATGCCATTGAGCATTTACAACAACCTTGTCCACTGCAAGCTTCATATCAGCAGCCTTATAGCATTTTTTCTGTACCTGTAAGCTTACAGGACGGCTATGTGATGACCGATGATGCACTAATTTTTCGATAAGTGAAATTTTTTTCGCTGAGCAAGGAAAATGTGATCAATATTCTTTGTTTTTAATCATTTTTTTTTTTTTGTAATTGGAGCCTTTGCTAACTGAGGTTCTACCATAAATGCGTTTTTGGGGGCATAGTGGCAAAGCAGAAAGTTTTTTAGACTCGCTCAAGTTCAATTTGAGTGCTATAAGTAGACCAGTAAAGTACGGTATCATGGATACCAGCATTATCATACATAAGAAATTGGTTTAAATATTGAGTAAATGATCAAATTAAAAATGAACTGATTCTAGAAACTCTCTGGTTTGCCACTATGTTTGGCAGTTTGGGGGTGTCCCGAATAGCCCTAGGGGGGTGTCCTGAGTAGCCCTGCCGTGCGGAAATGGCTGCCATTTCTTTTTGGAATGAGATAGGCAAATTCTGTCAATTGCGTTTTCAAGCCGACACCTGCGTGCAACTTTTACGTAAGTAAAATTTTTTAATACGGCAAATATTTTTTTTGCTACATACCTCAGCAGTTGTAACTTTACAAAATATAGTTTTTCACCATTTTTTTCAGGAATTTTTCAAAGCAAGTAAATGTAGTATTTTTTGACTTCCTTTATACTACCTACATAAATAGGAAAAATGTTGACGTTTATGCCACTATTTATAGTTTTGCAATATTCCAATTAGTTTTGCTACTACAACAGTTTTACGCCGTGTCGGAGGCCTGTCCCGAGTAGCCCCAGTTGACGGTATTGTATTATTGATGTGATATTACCATATCCATGGACATGCCATTGACATTGAGCATTTACTATGACCTTGTCCACTGCAAGCTTCATATCAGCAGCCATATAGCATTTCTTCTGTATCTGTAAAGGTGTAAGTGTAAGCTTATGCCTTACAGGATATCTTGGAGCTAATTTGACACAATTTTAATTGGGTTACCTCGTTACCAGGCTACCAGCACTATGTATGACCATAGTGGCAACTGGCAAAGCAGAGAGTTTTTTAGACTCTCCCTCAAGTTCATTTTTTGAGTTCTATAAGTAGACCAGTAAAGTATCATGGATACCAGCATCATCATACTTAAGAAATTGGTTTGAATCTTGAATAAATGAAGAAATTAAAAATGAACTGATTCTGAAAAATCTCTGGTTTGCCACAATGCCACTATGTGTATGACATTACCAGCACTATGTCTATGGCAATGTCAAAGCCTAAGTTATAAGTTAATTTTTAAGTTATAAGTTCATTGGCAATGTCACAGACTCACAGTCATGTTATAACTTCAAGTTCATTTTTAATTTCCTCATGCTCTACTAGACACTAGTCTTAGTACAAGATAGTGAGTAGGCTACTGACTCACTGAGTAGATTATTCTGTAGATAGTCATATTTTAAATAATTTCTAATGTACGATAATGCCGGATTTTGTTGGTAGGCCTATCCAAGAAGATACTACCTAGTACCTACTAGTTAACTTATAAGGCTCTAAAATGAACTTAAACAAGTTAAAGTCTTGAGGCAACACAAAATGTTCTCCTACCCCTACGGCCTATGCCACTTCCCACTATCATTGATAGCTGAATGAGTGCCGCACTGCTGCCTCTTGGCATTGGGTCCAATCTCCATTCGCAATGCTGATTGCTGAGGGGCCTGAGGCTGCAAGCCGCTGAAGCTGGTGATACGGTAATCCTCTGGCTCTGCTGCAGAGTGCAGTGCCTCCGCAAACCACAATTCAAATCCACTGAGCCCAGGCCCCAGAATCAGAAAATCGCAAACTTTGAAGCATGATCGTTCATCACTTCATATTACAATTAGGGATCTTTAAATCATAAACAATAATTGTTATGAACAGCCGTATACCTTACATAATTCTTCGGTCTCGTGGGAAGTTTGGAACTACCTACCGTAAGTCGATTACTTTTGCCTCCTCATCCCGAACTACGGGTCCCGGGATCCCGCATCGGGCCGCTTCGGGCGCATCCGATTAATAATTATGAAAGATGAAAAATCAGAGTTTGAAGTTTTTTAATCACATGAAGAACTAAAAACTTGTTTCAAAACTCAAAACAATCGTGAATTTCTTCGTTTTTTAATGAAAGTTACAGTTACGAAAGTTGAAATCAAATATAGTATTAAAATCTAACTCTCCCCTTAATTTATCAATGCCAATGAATTTCACAATTAAAAATGAAATTTTCAGACTTTGCCTCGACGTGGTAATGCATGGGTCGCCTGCCGAAGACCACCACTGCCCTGGATGTAATGGACCATCATGATTCCTGCCTTCCGGAACGTAGCCTTCAACACTTCAAGCTGTCCGTATCTAGGCCGTGGGTACTGGGTCGAACCAGCCCTCGGTCGAACGGCCACTTGTCGAAGGACGATAAATTTTGGAACAGAACTATGCTATCTGAAACCTAACCTCAGATGCGGTGAACGTAAAATTACGTAATTTAACGATGCCAGGAAGTCATATTCGATCAGCGGCCTGGTGGTGCACGGCAGGTGGTGGTCAAGGCCAGAAGAGGACAAAGCCGAGTGGTGCACGGCTGATTGGTGTAGGTTCGGAGAGATCCAAGGCGTTCGATAGAGATGTCCAACATTCCACCACAAACATGGGAATAACATTAACAAGTGTTCTCACTGCAGCTATTTGGAGCTTCTAATTATACCTACCTATTGCAACTTTTAGATTCCTAAATGAAATATACACATCAGAAACTAAAATGCATAAATTTTACACGAAGACTTGATTCAGCAGAAGCACCCCCATAAATTTTGGCACAACTACTACTCGGTTGTAAATCGCTCAAATTTCTGAACGTGGCGGGGAATTCTCACATCCAACAAATTTTTACGGTAAAAATCGTCATGGACTCTACATTGGACCTCTACACATGTTTCGTGTCACAAAACTTATAACTTGGGATGTCATTTATGATCAAAGGAGAAAAATAAGACAAAACTAGTATATTTTACAGATCTTGAATGCCTTTCTTGTTTCCCAATGAGCTCTAATTTTATAACCATATAACGCAAATTTTTATGAGCAAGAGCGATGTTTCAACAGTATTTTTTTTTAGATAAATTACATAAACATAAAAATGTGTTGCCCAGAATTTAGTTATCGAAATGGTTTCAATGCGGTTTTATATTCTTTTGAATCAAGCAATAATAAATGCATTTGATTGAATTTTACTGCTTTATAATAGAATTAATTATTGATTCAATACATTAATTGTTAAATTTCTGTCTCAAAACGGCGCGTCTCGCCTATCGTAGAATTATTATTATCATCATCTTCATCTCAAATTTGACTCGCTTCTTCCCAACTAAATTGGCTTCATAAATAACAGATGACACCAACGTGTACAATTATTTCGTAATTTGTAATGGAGACCATGAAATTGATTAATGTTCTATTTTACATAATTTTTCGACTTTTACAGCACCAGCTTATGCCGATTGTTAAAATTGCTAGTAGTATGAGTTAGCTTTTAAAAAATCATATTTTAGAGGATGAATAATATTGCAGTTTACTATTATTTTGCAATAACTTTTTAAAAGAAATATTACTAACCAGATGAGTGAAAGAATGGTATTGTTCTTTTAATTCTGTCGAGATCAAATGGGCTGACACTCAAAATAGGCATACACCGTTCTAAGTTAGGAAACGCTACAAGTTTATGCGAGCTTAAATTTACTCAAGTCCCTCCTTCTTCTCTCTGATGGCTTCTCTGAAGCGCTCCTCCAGCAAGGAGAGCTCTGATATCAAATCTGTGATGGCGTGCATGAAGGCATCGTGGGGCGTGTAGTTAGTGTCTGCCGTCTGTGGAATATACCAATATAACAATACTAATCACAAAGACAATACTAATGTCACAAAGAATTACACTTTCAAAGCTCAAAGGAGAAAAATTTTTTGGAAGATTGACTTGAAAATCAAGGCACCCATATAATAATCACCCAAAGTTAGGGAGGTCCTAAAAGCTAAAGAGATTATTTTTGGCATCTCTATTGTGCACTGAAATACCTGATCTAACAAATGTCTGCTCTAAAACAATAACCATTTGAAAATTTTAGTAGATCTAGTGGTAAAAATTCACATAGATTCCTATTCTATCTAGACCCATCTGGTGAATGCTGCCTACAATACTATCAAGTAATTCAAGCACAAGCCAAACAGGTCATCTAAATATACTGATTCATCACAGTGATCTATTATAGGTACTGGTTGTACTTGAAAGATGGAGCTACAAAGTCTGGATATTAATTAATCTAAATTAATTAGAATTTTTAAAATCAATATAGAAACTCTGATTGTTAGTAAAATTTCAAATTTCATAGTAGGCTGATCCAGATACTTAGATTTCAAAGATCAATTAATTGCCTACAATTTGAATTGACTATAAGAATTTGACTCAAAGAAAATGCTGAAAAATTAACCATATTTTTATCGAAGCAATATATTTTAGGAATTTCAATTTTAAAATACAGAATTTTAATTTGACTTTTAAATCTCAATTTTCAAGTAGACCTGAGTTAAATTTGACCATTTTCAATTAAAATGATACTTAAAAGATCATTTTAACTCTCAAATAACAAACCATATTGGACTGAGAAAGAAAGCAGCAGCCAGCTGATACCAACCTGTATTCTGAGGACAACTTTGTGCTCAAGAGGGTGAGGATTTTTGTAGCCAGCAAATATGACACTGGGATCTTTTAGAAGTTGCATCCTGATCATATTACCAAGAGTGTGATCTTCTTTGTTGATGGTATAAATAGCAGCATTTGGGACCTATAATAAAAAAAAAACATTTAATTACCTCATCAAGATAGAACAATTTACAGAAACAAAGTAAAATGAAAAATTAGGTAACATAGTCCAGCATAAAATTCAGAAATTGTATAGATTAACAGGTATGAATGGCATTTATATATTGGATCTGAAGGCCTGGAACTAGTACTTCTCTTGACTCAGCTATTGCTTTGAACAAAGCAAATAATACCATTGAATTGATATCTACTACACGCATTATCATTCATGAAATTACACACAGAGTCACAGATAGTTACTGTATTGAAGATAACCATGATTGAATATTGTTTCTTCTTGAAATACCTATTTATTTCAACAAGAAATTTATGAAAAAAATTGAAATCCATCAGTTTTTGAAAATTAAAATCTGCCAATCATAAAAAATAATTATATAGATTTCATATTTGATAGAAAGTTCAATACAAGAAGCTTAATTAAATATTAAACACCAGACTGTAAAATTAGCCAGAGAATGATAATCCAAACCAGTTTTTATTAATTTGTTTAATTTTTGCATGAATGTGATTGCCAAAATTTACAATTGAAGAAATATACATTCACAAATTATAGAATGACCTATATGATACATGCTTCCACTCGTGCTTTTTGCAAAAAATTGCCACATACGGTATCTGCTCAAGGAGAAGGAATTATTAAGATTTACAAGGTAACTTTGCACATACCTTTGTGTCAATTTCCTTCAAGACCTTCTTTTCACCTTCAAACAATAAAAATGATTCAAATGTTGGAGGTGCATTCATTATTAAATTTGATTCTTATCAAAATCTTATCTTATCACAGAATCTGAAGAAAATTTAAAATTTGTCAGTTCAATTAGCAACAAATAATAACTTTGCAATTAGATTTTGCATTACAGTAATCACTTGCAAGCCCAAATTAATAATTAGTACACCACAAGTTCAAGCGCATGCAACCACAAGTTCAAGCGCATGCAACCACAAGTTCAAGCGCATGCAACCACAAGTTCAAGCGCATGCAACCACATCAATCATGAGATATGATATTAAGTAGGTACATTCAAAACCCCCTTACACTGAATATAATTTTTAAATAAAGAAGGTATGAGGCATAAGGGCAGTGTTTGAGCACCTTGCCATCTCAAGCAAAAAATTTCAGAAGTCATCTGTGCAATGATCTTTTTTATTTACAATATTAAAAAAAATGTTTCCCAGTATTGATGCTTGATGTGTGCATCAGGCTACCAGCCTTCTAGGCTTTATTTAGCTTTAAAAGAATAACCTGCATTACTCTTTTGTTGATACAAAATTTGCCTTATCACATTTAGATAATGGTGAGTAGCAAAGGAGAAACTTTTTAAGACCCTTTCTTTTTGAGCAGACCATTCAATTATCAGGGATACAATTATTATCCTATATTAGCTAACTAAAAATTTTTATCCATGTAGAACTAGAGAGTCAAATAAGCATTAAAGTTTCTATTTTTAATACACACAGCTATAGTTATTTTTTATTCTTTCAAAATAGATATGAATTTCCAATCTGTTTTTCTATTTGTTTGTTCCAATTGAGAATATCAGGCAGAAGTTTCCTAAAGTGTATCAGGCTGGTAAAAGTTATTGTTTCACAAGCAATTTTCCATAATTGTACATAAAAATAGGCTGTTTTCCTTATATATATTTTACTGAAAAATTGGGAAGAGGCCATAATAATGGGTAAAATTGGCCAGGTTGCCAGGAGTTTTATTCCAATTCATAGGTGGCTTCAACCCAATCTTTCAGTTAGGTGTGCATGTGTAAAGAGACATTATAATAATGAAGTCACAATGAACTTATGAAGTGGATACTTAGCACGGACCCAGGGTGCAGAAAGTGGGTGAATATTGCAAGATCTTTGGCGACGCATCAGCAGCAAAATTTACGCCTTCAGAAGATCTTGCCAATACATTTGGATTGAAATTGTTGCATTTAGAAATTACTGCAATTATTGCAAATCTAGAAGACTGCAAGAGCACACAGTAAGTTTTCTGGCACTGGTACGTCAGATGGATCAGGATGCAGTGAAGTTTGTCCAGAAATCAGTTGCAATGATGCAGTGTGTGGAGAGTAAGGGATATACTATCAAAGCTGTTGGCAGCATTTCCTTATTAAAAATTACCCGGCAATGCATCTTGAAAATGGCTGGCAACTCTATGGACTAAAAATCCATATATTGGCAACGGTGCGTGCACTGACATGGAATATCTACCATTCAGGCTATTACTAGAGATTTCCCACCATTTTTGAGATAGTAAAATTCCTGCTAGATGAATTACCCCCTACCTAATTATTGACAAATTTGCACTATCAGGCCACAAAATTACAGATCTATTGAAATTTTGTCCTCCTGGTGTAGCAACTTACAAGCTTTCAGTAACAAGTAGGAAAATTTTAATCCTGCCCTAGCAGTCTAACACATGTAACCAGAAACACCACCGCAATGTTGAAAGGGTTATGACTGTGAGTAGCATGCTGACTTTGCAGAAGGTTTTTGAAATGAGTTCAACACAAGGGCTAAAGAGATTCATTTTAGTCTGTTTCTAAATTCCCTTGTGGTGGAGGGGAGAGGATTAAAAACAAAAGAAACTTTCTGTGGTATACTGATAATCTCCAAGTGGAAGTGCTGTACGACATTCGTTGTACAAGAGCATAGAATTCATTCAGTCAAGGCCAGGGTACAGAGTTTGCAAGCAGTGTCACCAAGATATGGATTTTAAGCCCAAAATATCACCAGCTATTTTCAAGACGCGTCACCAGGTAATTTTTAATAATAAAGTGCTGCAAGCAATTTTGACAGCACATCCCTTACTCTCCAGTCTCCACGCACTGCAACACTTACTTATCGCAACTAATTTCCCGACAAGCTTCACTGCATCCTGATCTGCCATCAAATGGAGTAAAAAGGGATGGGTGGGGTAATAAGGGACAGTCCTCCAACATTTTGTAGAAATATTGTAGCAGCTAAACTAATTAAAATATTGCAAAACTAAAAATAGTGGTGTAAAGTTCAACATTTTTACTATCTATGCAGCATAAAGCAAGCTGAAAAATCATACATTTATTACCTCTAAAAAATCACCAAAAAAAGTGTAAAAAGTGAGATTTTGGAAAAGTACCTCTGCTAAGGTCTGTAGCAGAAAAAATATTTGTCAAATTGAAAAATTTTACTTACATAAAAGTTGCACACTAGTGTTGGCTTAAAAATGTGATTGACAGAATTTGCATATCTCATTCCAAGAAAAAATGGTGGCCATTTCCACAAAACAGGGTAATAAGGGACAACCCCCTGGGGTAATAAGGGACACCCCTAAAATTGCACTTACAGTAGAACATTAGTTAACAAAGGCTCCAGTTAATGAAAAAATCAATTAACAACAAATAATTTTTATTACATTTTCCTTGCTCAGTGAAATTTCTCGGTGAAAAAAATTTCACTTAATAAAATATTACTGCATCAGTCGTTACAAAATTGTACATAGAATGCCATAGATAGAATTGTGCACTGGGCAACAAAGAATGAAAAGTAATTAGTTAACCTAAACTATGATTTATTTCTCCAAAAAATTTGATGGTTGTCATTAAAATGTTTCTTCCTGTTTCAGCCTTTCAGCAACGTTTTTTACAATCTTTTTTTGTTATAGTGAAATCACTTGACTTGATTATAATTGTGCAAAATTACAAACCATCCTGTAAGCTTACAACCACAGAAGAAATGCTATATGGCTGCTGATATGAAGCTTGCAGTGGACAAGGTCATTTTCAATGCTCAATGGCATGTCCATGGATACAGTAATATCACATTAATAATACAGTAATGTATGGATAATGAAATATTCATCAATGAAGAAAAACCAAGTAAAAATCACAGAAAATTTCATTTATTCTACATTTACATCATCTACAAAGGAAGAGGAGGACTTCAGAGTACTGTTTTAGATGAGTATACTCTGCATGCTTCAAATGTTTAAAATTGAGTTTTATTTCAAGTGTCCCTTCTTACCCTATTTCCAGATTAATTCAAGAGTCTTTTATATTGCGTCTAGCACCTTACAAATAGCATATGGAATATTTTGGAGATGCCATACAAATAGCCCTTGCAATTTGCAAAGACCTTTAAATGAGCCCAAACTTGTTTATGAAATGTTTCGTGGTAAGAAGTTATTAACAAAAAACGCTCAAAACTGTCCCTTTTTACCCAGATTGACAGCATCTAATGTACCAGAAACATTACTGTGTGCACTTGCTCACAGCTGGAAAATTCCTATTTCTTCTGAAATATTGTGGCTCTAATATCATATAATTTTAGTAGGTATGAAATCTCAAAGCTCTAATGTCATGCATTTTTCTTTGATAGAAAAAATTGCGGTTTGCACTCCGCAAACATGTTTCATAAAATTTTCAACTTCCGCAATTTGCAACACTTCAACAATCCCACCAAAATATCCTGCACAACGTATGAACATAATAACAACAAGTCAAAGATGGAAGATATTAAACATTTCCTTAAAGATGGCATAGTTGAGGTCACGTCAGAGCGGTCAGACTGCATTATCAGGTGATCAGTCACCACTTAAGGGGATCGACCTGGCATTTTGAAAACTTCTACAGTTATTATCCGATTGTCATGAAACTTCACATACATACGTAAAATGTGAAAATAAAAACATTTTGCTCCTATGAATTTTTCGAAAAAATTGATAGAAAACGTGAAATTCATAGAAAACGGCTAAAAAGGGGTACTTCAGAGTACTTCAGATATCATTTGAAAGAACAGAATTCCAGCTTTAAGATGAGTAGAAAAACCGGAAAAGCCAAAATTGATCGATTTTAGCCAGGTCGATCCCCTTAAGTGAACTTGTGAAGACAACTGAAACAAAGAGTTGACTGTTTTTAGGGTAAAATTAGAGATTAGGGGGTAACACATGCACAGGACTTAGAGGTATGAAATTCACAGCTCGAAGAAATTAAATCACAACTCAAAGAAATTGAATCAAGGCTGTTAAATCCATAAAACCATGTCTCTAAAAATTTAGTTGCGGCTCGCCAAGTAGATATATTCCATACCTGTGCAGGCTGTCCTTGTGGTCTTTCAGATTTGCAATAATTTCAGAATTCAAAGTAATTTCTAAAATGCAATAATTTCAATCCAAAAGTGTCTGCAAGATCTTCTGATCTCTGAAGAGTGAAGGCATACCTAAATTTTGCTGGTGATATGTTTGCAAAGATTTTTATATATTCCCCTAGTCCCTTGGCCCTACTTTTTGTACCCTGGAGACTGGAGTCAAGGTGCAGATGTTATTCTTCAAGATATGTTATTCTTTAGACTGGGTTCAGAGTTCAGCAACAGTTCAACAGCTCCAGGAGACTGAATTACAACTTCAGAGGTAGGGTAAACGCGGTATATTCCGACACATTAAGGACGCATCGAGAAATGAAAAACTATAAAAAAATAACCATATGCGTTACTCAAGTTCTGTTTGCTTTATGTGACTTGCAAAACACCGTACAACGTGCCAGCAACAATGAAACGTCACAAAATGTTGCCATATTTATTTAAAAGCCTTTAGAATGCAAACCTACCAAAATACAAGTATACTTAAAGGATTCCTAATATATTCACAGACGTATTTAAAAGTCTCAAACCATAATATTCTTCCTATACAAACAGTTATTCACTATTTGGTAGAGCAAGGTCAACTGTCAAATTTGACACATTTTTCGATGATCTCACTGGGTAGCGTGCATTGTTCCTCTTTGGATCTCAATATTTTCCTGCTAGATGGCCCGGACCTAGTGTTTTGGCATTAGTTTGACGTGCAAATGTATGACGTCAACATTTCAACCATCAACGAACGCATGGAACTAAAACAAAGCTTAATATTAAGGAAAAACTAGAGAGGTGACGGAATTACCCACAATGTTGGAATATACCGCGTTTACCAGCATTGACAAGTGCCAAGTGGTGATATGGCTTATGACTATGAGTTTTGGCACGTGACAATGATGAGTTATTGATGACATAAATTCAAAACATAGAAAAGTCAGACAGCAAGTGACACTGGTACTGTTACGGTAGGCCTACAAGCCAGGCAGCCACTCTGCCCACTCACTCACTCCACAGTCTCCACTCAGTGGCAATGTTATCAGTACAGCCTACACTCACTACAGGAGGAGTGACCACTCACCGAGTACTGACTAGGTACTAACTATTGACTGAGTAGGTACTGTAGGCTTAGCCTACAGAAACATAGTGGCAAACCAGTGATTTTTTAGAATCAGTTTATTTTTAATTTACCCAAGATTTACCTAAGGCATTAAAGCCAAGGGTAAACACGGTATATTCCGACATCGTAGGTAATTCCGTCACTTCTCTAGTTTTTCCTTTATATTAAGCTTTGTTTTAGTTCCATGCGTTCATTGATGGTTGAAATGGTGACGTCACACATTTGCGTGTCGAAATACTGCAAAAACACTAGGTCTTGGCCATCTAGCGGGAAAATATTGAGATCCAAAGAGAGACAATGCATGCCACGTGGTGAGATCATCGAAAAATGTGTCAAATTTGACAGTTGACATGGCTCTACCAAATAGTGAATAACTGTTTTTATAGGAAGAATATTATGGTTTGAGACTTTAAAATATGTCTGTGAATATATTAGGAATCCTTTAAGTATACTTGTATTCGCTGATTTCAAGTCGTAAATAAATTAATAGATGATTAAGTTGAGATGTTGGATTTCAACACATGAAAACTAATTCTGACACAACTTGAATTGGACACACACAGATCGTTCAAAGCTTTGTACAAAAATCGAAATTTGCTCAATTAAAAGCCTAATAGCTGTTAATTAAAACGTAATTAAGTAGTATTCAATATTCGTTAGTGTTCTAATTCAAAGCCGTGTTGTATCCCAATACAGCTCACACAGCAAACGGAATTTGTTCTAATTCAAAGCCGTGTTGTATCCCAATACAGCTCACACAGCAAACGGAATTCGAACACGTGGATGTCGTCAATACGTATCAGTTAAATTTGAAGCGCTGATGCAATACAACTCACCACGTGTCGGATGTTGCCACACAAAGTGACGGAATATAGGAATTTGGTAGGTTTCCATTCTAAACTAAAGGCTTTTTAATAAATATGGAACATTTTGTGACGTTTCATCGTTGCTGACGCGTAGTGAAGTGTTTTGAGAGTCATGTGAAGGCAACAGAACTTACGTAACGCATACGTTTTTTTTTATAGTTTTTCATTTCTCGATGCGTCCTTAAAGTGTCGGAATATACCGCGTTTATCCAATATCTTTATTATCTTATGTATGATGATGCTGGTATCCATGATACTTTTCTGGTCTACTTATAGGACTTGAAATTGAACTTGAAGGAGAGTCTAAAAAACTTTCTCAGTCTCTGCTTTGCCACTACCTAGTCTGTACCATACGTGAGTGATACAGACTAGGTTGTAGTACTGACTACTGAGTGAATATAACAAAGTGTTGCTTAAATATTAACAGTAATACTTATAGTACCTACTAGTTTCGTAGATATTCTAAATCTAGTAGGCTATTCTTCCTCTGGATTTCAGTCAGGCGTCAGCAGGTCAGCTAGCCTACTCAATAGGTCAAAAGTCTTTACTCTTTCTTGCAGAAACATGTGAAATTTTAGTCTAAATTACACAGAGTGCGGCAGCAAATTTCCTTCTAATACGGCAACATCCTGTATTATATGAAGGCAAAAAATGAAATACCATCATGCTTTATGATAACACCGGCAGGCGGCAGCAGCAGGAATTACGGAGAGCAAGGCAGCAACAAGAGACGGAGAAAGACCGTTTTCTGAATTAAATCGCATTATCGCCAACTACGGAGCAGTCCTGCTGTAGGTGTAGCGGATATCGCAATAGTCTGAATAGAGACGTTACGATATTCAGTCCGACACTATAATGCATGGTATACTTGTTCAACCATGCTATAATGCGTGTGAGCATTCGAGATATTTAGGAGCCAAGACACTAAAGCACGAAGCCAAGAACATATAAAATAGAAACAAAATAACTTCGTGTATTTATGAACATTGCATAGTTATAGTAGATGGATTTGGGGCGTGGTGACTCTGAGAAAAAGAATTTCAGGGTCAGGCCTTTGCAACGGCCATCAGCCACGCATCACATTTTCATTTGTTAGTAAGAAGAAAGGGAGACCAAGCAAGGTGGAAGCAACATTAAAGAGAAGAGGCTAGAACTAGAAGAGTTGTGAAAGTTTGTGTTAAGGGTGAGATGTAATCAAGGGGGAAGAGAAGTTCAAGGGGAAATTCATTGGTTTATTATTGCTATTTGTCAATTATTGCACTGTGTATTTGATAAATTATATTAGCTATGGGGCCTCTTAGGCCCTGAGAGACTATTTGCGATATTATTATGGTTTGGTTATTTCAATTTTATTATTGTTTTATACTAACTTTTTTTCCATTTTAGATTTACTTTCTTCACGGGTATTTCATAAATTTGCTGAAACCTTCCATCGTCAACCACGGCTATAGTGAGCAAATTCAAATAATATTACACTCACGTTCTTAGAATATTGGCATAGAAACCGATTCGTGGGCGATCTATTGAGCCGCTTAACCGTAAATCCTGCTACATCTCGGTTCAAAATTGTACACCAAGTCTCTGGATTTATTGGACTAGCCAAGTCGTGGCCGTCAAAATCTAAAAACGTTCTAAGATAAATTTACTTCAAACCTTCCTTCAATGGTGAATGGACCAAATAAAAAATTTCCACGCGAATCATTAGATGAGGTTAAGTACTTTCATTTCAAGGAGTAAACTCAATAAAACTTCGGTAAACTTTGTTTTATTTCACCCCTTAATTTTACATTTAAAACGAAGCTAAAGTATTAGAAATACATTTTGCGTCAACATTCAGAAGATCAATTGCGGAGTCGTAAACACTCCAGGTAAATCCAATTTGAACCATAGTTACTATCAGTACATAATTATAGAAACTACATTTCAAGAACAGCAACATTACCAAAAAAAAATCTTCACAATACGCACTGAACGGCGAACGCAATTTTGAAACTTTAAAGGTCGACAAGATTTAACTACAATTGTGAATTATTTCCAAGATAATCCGGCCTCATCTACGTGCTTGTGCCCAACAAAGTGTCAATACAAATACAACGAGACAGACAAATCATCCGCGAAACCCTGAATAAAAGAAACTACACACAAGGAGAAATGGTTGTCAGTACGAACCGCTACTACGCAACATAAATTCTCATTAACTGCATGGATCTTCGGTTACACATCTAAAACAGGCGTGGCTTAGCCTCAAATGGAAATCTAAATATAATTTTGATACGAAAATATCGTGGCAATGTTACGATTATAATGGAGTATACTGCAAACATCATACAAGAGTTGGCAAATAACACAATAACTGGACATTAGAAATTGACTAAACACTAACCAACGAAATAGTTAAATGAGAGTAATGAAAACACTATAAGTACAATATTATTGCTTATCTTAACCATCATAAGCTGTAATACACACCCGATAACATAAGCTACGGATTACTCCTCACAGTGTGTGATCCACAATTTCTATGAAGTTATTTTGTGGATTATACACAAAAAATGTTTCAGCATAGAACCAAAGAGTAGCAACTTGTGTTCCGACAACAAGAAAGGGACTCGGCAGTGTAGCTATGATTAGCGTGTAAGAGATTCCAGCATTTCAGCCTTATTCACAATGAAATATTCATACAATACCGTCGTAAGAATTACAACTAAGGAGTGACACACTCGCAACTCGATAAGAATCTTCTTGCACGACAATGTGGTGCAAAATTTTTTTAATGATAACTCTTGCGGAGTGGTTTGTAAAGCCACACAAGCAGATAAATGAAGTTATATTAGATGCTGGAGACATGCCGGACGACATAAACAAATTAAAATGAATATGTATATTCCTCGGATCAGTAAAATATATATTTTTTAATATTTCCGCTCGAAGTTGAAACCATTACAGTATAAATTAACTCTTCCATTCAATGACACAAATTTCATCAAAAATATTCACCGTGAAAATTAGGCTTCTACCTGTTATAAATTGATAAAAAAAATATTTTCCATACCCAAGAAAAGGCTTCAAAAAGTCGAATAGTCATGAATAAATGATACCAAATAACTAGGCGAAAATGAGTGATGAGCCAACGAGTCATCTCGTTGATAAGTCGCCTATTTTAACACTAATGTTCACCAGACAGAGGCTACTTTACAAAATTTTATTTGCAGGTGAAGATAACGAAGCAACAATCTGTCTTGCTCGTCAGTGTGCGAGCAGGAGAAAAACTCACGGTTGAAAAACAAAGTCGGGCGCTAAATGCAATGATATGACTAAACCGCTCAGAGAATGACGACAGTGCAAAATAGTGATGAAAGACACAAATGAACCAAAAACCTGACAAAAGCGGAACGTAAAAAACAGGATTGTTACAAGGAAGTTCTGATTGTCAAACTAGGAAATCAGACTTAAAATATACAAATAACTATTTATTATCAGTGGTCATCAGATGGGAGTGTAGAAAGGTTACTCATTCATCTTGGCTCGCGAATAGAGTTTTTCAATTTGTTTCGGATCACGCACTTTCAGATTCCTCAAGTACGTTGAGAAGGCAACTTGTTCCTCGGGGTCAAGAGACGTGAAGTTGCGCAATAGCTCCACCATATCTTCGAATTCCAAGGAGACATCTCTGTCAGGTGATTCATGCATTTCAGTTACATCACGAACTTCTTTTTCTGCAGGTTCTGGATCAGTTTTGCCCACCACTACGTGCCTTTCATCGTCAGAGTTATCAGAATACCTCGAAGCAGGCGAATACGGTACGTCATCATCGTCATCTTTGTTTTCCTCAGGCAATGAAAAGGTATCTTCAACCTCTGATTTTATCTTTCGTGAAGTCACACCAGAGCTGGATGGTGTTGACTCGATCTTTTTCTTGGCACATTCAGAAGACGCTGCTCCAAGGCCTTGCGATTTACACTCCGAATTAGAGCCAATCATAGTCGTATTTTTCTTCGTAACAAATACAGGAGCCTCAGGGAACATATTAAAACCCGGAAAATTTAAGCTGAATTCCGAACTACCACTTGCACTCGAAGTGCTTGCAGTGTTTTTAAGCGGTGCTTTCTTGCTGGCACTCGCACTCGTAGTTGCAGTTTCTTTAGAAACGCAAGGCTCGCTGGTCTTTGGTCGTGTCAATGAAGCAGGTTTGTGTAGAAACTGATAAATGTGCGTTGGACCTTTGTTCAAGTCACTAGCTGAGGTGCGAACGGGTGACGGCATATATAAGCTATCGGATCTCAGTGAAAGAGACTGCCAAGGACTTGGAGGTGGAGTAGCAGCCACTTCGGGAGGCTTCCATTCTTTCCTATTCACGGTGTGTTGTGGTCTACTTGTACTTGGAGTGTTGAACATTGTGGAAGGAGTCACAAAATTATCTTCGGGAGACACTGAATTGCGTTCGGAAATGGTTGGTGGAGCGATGAACGAATCATTGGAACTTCCATGAGAAGAGCTCGTGCACGAGGTAGGGGTTTTTTGCGCGCGAGTATCAATAGATGAACGAGGTGAACGGGGTCTTGGGCTTTTTGTACTCATTTGAACACCTTGGCAAGTTGGCGTCTTAGTTGCATTAGTATTAAGCCTATCTTCCGGAGACCGTTCCCAGCGGTTAGAGCTTGGAGGAGCAGAAGCGCAGGTTCGACTTTGCAAGTTGGTAGACGTTAGCGATTCTTGGGAAGCACTTCTTGCATCGGGAGTCGCAGTTTTCATAGTCGCAACCAACAGATTTCCAGGAAACTCCTTGGACGTGGTGAGCAACTCAGTAAATGAGGAGGGTGGAGGCAATCCCCGAATCGGAGTGTTTGCAGGCTCAATGGGAAGTTTATGGGGACTAACTTTAGTTTTAAACAAAGTTGTGTTTTCAGTTGGCCTGACGGCAGTTGCGATGCCAAGTGATTGATCTAAAGTCTGCGATTCAAAATTACTAGATGCACAACCAAACTGCCCAGCATGAGCACTCTGTCCCAATGCGGAAGCGTTGTTGGGCACGGGTGATTTGCCAGAAGCATTAAATTTTCCCGGAGGGCGCAAGAGTTGACGACTAAATTTGTCAACATCGTCGCTAGAAAACTCGTCCGCTATATTCTTGTGATTATTCTGCACGAGCTTCACGGCAGAAGGTACTATGTCAACTTCCTGAGCACGGTTCTGGAAGTTTGTTGAGTGTGTTGAGCTGCCAAATTTATTCACAAACGATTCTCTACCATAAACATTTTGACTCGAAGGAACACAAATGGTTGAATCATTAGAAATTTGTGAAATTTCCATAACTTGCCGAGAATTCACAACCGGCAACACGGGCATGGGTTCATCAGTCGAGAGGAAGGGAAGATGAGAACGAGTGCCGCCTGGCGGGCCAGAGGAGCACAGAAGAGGTCCAGGGCTACGCTGGCAGGAGGAAGCTTGGTCTTTTAGTGCTGGAGAATTGAAAGACCGACTTGTTATGGTCCTCTTCAATGAACCAGGGAAACTGCTATTGACAGAAGCTATGGCTGTACGTCCCGCGCCATAAGATGGCGGGCTATTAATATGCTTGGTGACTTGGCAAGAACCTGGCTGGGAAGCTAGTGGAGTTAAATTACTTAATTGCAGCCATCTTTCCTTGACAGGACTTCCTCCGGTGGTCAGCCGAGCAGGAACAGATCCACCATCATTATTCTCCATTTTAATGGCTTGAATTTTCCGCATAGGCACATTGTGCTGCAAATGAGAATTGCTTCCTTTTGGTACGAATCCAGCGTGATTTTTGGGAGGAATTCCCGAAGGAACGAAAGTTTGTACTAAGCCGGGAGATGGATGTCGCATGTTTATTGGAGGCACATTTGGCTTACAAATTTGAGGGTTTTCAATGAATGATTGAGGGATAATGGAGGAGGAAGCTACAGAAGGGTTATTCAAAGGCTCAAAATTTCCAGAATTATGGCTTCCACTATTTCCGGATGGAGGAGTGAGAATGGGAGGGGGGTTTTTAGTCAACAAAGGGGACCTGGAATTACGAGGTGAAGTTTCACTTAAAAGGAGTGGCAAGATATCAGAGGGCTGAGGTCCTTTAAACGTAGGCTGGGATTCTTTAGGGACCCTTTGTACATAGGGTTGATCGCTCAAGTTCGCGTGACCAGGTAGTACTGGGGTCGTGGCAGGTCGACGGGCTCTATCCCCGAGCCAGGGTTCTGCGGTAGGTCGAGGGCCGACCGCGCTCCTCTCATTCTTTCTAATGGGCTTCAGAGGAATATCGGAGCACTTAATCTGGCTCTGAAACCCATCATTAGTGGGACAAAACAGCCGATTTACTCTCGAAACCCGATCAAGATCAGCATCAAAATGGCGATTATCTGGAGGACCTTGCGAATGACATGGTCTGGGATCAATGGAATTAAGAGGCTTAAATTCGTCTTCAAACTCATCAGGTGCAATTTCATGGTCTCGATTCTCACGGAAAGATTCAGAAGCCCATATAAAAATTTGCTTTTGATCCCGCGTTTCTGATTCAATCGAGATTCGACGAGAAGTTGTTTCGTCACATTTTCTATCATGATTCATGTCATCTTTCGATGCATCAGGTCGCGGCTGCCTCATGTCCTGGTCAATGTCGAGGTTCATCGCGGCAACCATTTCATCGTCAGCCGGAGACCCGGGACCGAATGCCTCTGGTATCCGAATATTGAAAGTGTCTAGTGTATGTGCAGGCAGCCGCCTAAGATCTACATCCCCTTTGTTGTCAGAAAGACGTGAAGAACTACGAGCCTGTCTGACAGCATCATTGGAGCTTGCGAGGTGGTGATTTCTCTCTGAAAATGCATCGCTGCTTAGATCGGGTAAATTATTGTGGTCAGAGTACGTATTTCTTGGGGCAAAAACATTTGCACGAGCACCTGGTAATCTATGACTTGACCTTTCGCCAGCATCTCCTCTGATATATAGAGTCTGATTACATTCACGATTATTTTCAGACCACGATTCAGAACGACGGTTGAAATTCATATCCCCTTCACTAGACTCACGTCGCTCGGCATCGACACTGACAGCTATTCGTGGGTTTCGAGTTGAGCGATGTAGCGGCACATCTGAACGCGCGTTTGATGAATTAGCAGAACCAGCAGTAATGTCACCCACACCAGACTTGCTAATGACAACGCTAGGCGTGACGCTCGCCACTTTCCTCTGGTCATGCAGACGGTCAAAAGGTTTCGTGGGCAGAGGTGGTAGTCCGTGGCGATTAGGTTTGTTGCAAATCCTTCCAACCGAGACAGGTAGCTCTGGGCACCCACTACCGCGAGCCATCTTGAAGTGCTTGCCAGCGACAGCAGTCCCAATTGCTTGTATGAGATGCGAAGGCACGGAAGGCTTTCCTTCACAAATTAAAACATTTGTGATAAAACGACTTATTTGCTGGGCTGTGAAATCCAAGGTACTCCGTGCCAGAGCGTTGATGTCAAGACCGAGATGATCGTCTCTTTCTATATTAGTTGAGTTCTCGACCTCGATGGTAAGTTCAAACAATGAACGTTTCATCTGGTCAATGCGGGCATCGTCCACAGAGCCTTCAAGCTTTGTTATTTTCTGTTTCAAAAGAGACAGAAGCGCAATATTATCAGAGTCATTAAAAACTGACAGAGGATTACCTCCTCTCTTGAGGAGTTCTGAAGCTTTCCGGTGGATAATTGGCAAGACCGCTCCTACAACACCGAAGTGAAAATTAAATTCACTCAACATTTTCAAATTTTCAACAACTTTCAAACCGACGAGTGCACCTGCGAGAGAAGGGATTGCCGGATATTCGTTTTGAACATGTCTTTCCAAGGGTGTTATCTCCTTACACTCGTCTGATGTAACAATATTAGCCTTGTAAGCTGCATAATCTGCCTCAATGTCAAGGGTAGGAGTGATTTCTCTCTCGCACGACGTACGCTCGCTCTTTACAACTGTTGCCCGTGTCTCCTCATTAGGGGTGCGTTGCACAGGCGTGACATTCTTGTTCAGTAAATTATGTCTAAACTCTTCCACATTGGATGACGAGCTTCCTTTTTGTGACATGAAAGTGGCATTCGCGGACAGTTTTGGCATAATTTGTGACAATGTCCCGGCCCGGGTCGCTTCTATTTCACAAGATTGACTCACTTCAAGTCGATTAGTATCAGACACTTCGCATGGCTGACAATTCCCTGAGCCGGTAGTTTGTGTGTTCAGGCTAGGCTGTTGAAGGTTGGGCGAGAGCGTATCATTAGATGCTCTACGACCAGACTCTTCGGCTCGTCCACTGCGCTGCTTAAGAAATTCCTCCTGTCGGCGGAAGACCTCGTCTCGGCTCACATCGTCTGTGCACACGCAATAATATAAGCATTAATAACAATGAATATTAATTCTAGATACAATCAAGTATCTAAAGCGTTCATGGAAGAATGCTGATTAAAATGAAGCATCACTCATATAAGGAATGTATCCTCTTGACTGCTGATGGCATATAAATTTTAGGCAAATTTGACACATAATTAAGAAAAAGATTTCCTGTGTCGAAAAACCAACTTTCTGTGTGTCGAAAGGCACAGTTGTCCCTGTATGGACAAGAACCAGGAGAGTGTGCCAAGGAGCAGCACAGATAACGCTTGTAGTTCGTGGGGTGGAAGAGGAACTCGAGTTGGTTGTGAGCAAACTTGCAGTGTATGCCCTGATTACAACATTTCACGTCCCTCCAGCGGTGTTGAAAATGCTGGAATACGTTCCTGCACTTGATGCCCCTGAAATAAATTAGTTTTTCAGTGTCCTCATAGCGGCTATCGTGTGATGACCTGTTAGTTCAGGAAACATTTATTGCAGCCTTCGTTACCAGAATTCTGGCAAAATTTTAATCTTGATAATTTCTTGAGAGCTCTAAGTTTTATGCAAATTGTTTTGGTGAAAAATTTTCAGGTGCAACAGTCATCGGAAAAGGAAACGAGAATGTACCGTATAATCTTCTTCAGAGGCAAAATAACTATTAACAACGTTCAAATCGTTCTCTTGTAAAAAAATGCATTCTATGAGGGAGAAAAAACCAACCTGTAGGTGCGGTAGTCGCGTATGAAATCCGTTTCATCGTGGAAATATGAACATGATGGCAAGCGGCATGAAGACTGGTCGGGACAAAGGACTTTCTTGAACTTCAGCAAGTTGATTTGCACCTCTGGGCAATATCGGAGCAAGACATGAGAACCAATAGTTCCTTAAGAAATTACAAGGGCACATAATTAAGAATATTTATGACACAAAATGAGTACCTACCATAACACAGAATCAATCACGAATAACACCATTAACTATTACCTATTATAAAGATTTGACAAAGCAAGAGCACAACGCACCTGGGGGTGGAGTGTGAGATTCAGTCAGGCTAAACTCAGGTTGTATGGTTGGTGACGCAATAGGAATGGGAGAAATGATGCTGGTGGCAGACGTGCTGCAAGGTGCAGAACTTCTGATTGCAGCCGAAGTCTTGCCTAGACCATGCAATACTCTGCCAGAAGCTTCAGGACTAACGTCAGTAGCAGGGCAGTTAGAGGACACGAGAAGAGTATTAGAGTCATTTTCATTTACGCGATCAGGAACAGAATTTGTGACGGAGACTTGTGAGGTAGGTAAGGTATCAGGAGCAGTGGTTGTTCTATAACTTTCACCTTCTCGTGCGGAGAGACTACTGAAGCATTCATCAAAGGTATAGTCATCGTCCTGGAAACTCTCATTGAAAGAATCGTCAACATTTTCTAATTCTACAACAGGAACAGATCTTGGTTCTTCTTTGATAGCAGATGGTTCAATATTCTCAAATTTTGATATAGGCGGAAGGAGAGCCGAGATTTGGTCTCCAAATGAGTCAACTAATCGTGCAGCATCATCAGCAGTGCTCTCTGAAGACATGAGAGGCTTACGGTCTTCTCCTAGAGCATCACCAAAGTCAAAACCTGGTAGACAGGATTCTTCACACGAGTCCACAGGTTCACTTTTGATCCGAACGCTACTGAAGTCACTTTCAGCTTGCAGATTTGTTCCAGTGTCTTCATTATTTTGATTCCTCCCATCTTCTATATTTCTCTTGCTTCCGCCTTCAATATTTGAATTGCTTCCATCTTCAAAAATTTTCTTGCTTCCGCCCTCAATATTTTTATTGTTTCTTATACTTGTTCCCTTTTTTGAAGCTATCATCAAATTTCTTTGCAACACTTTCAAGTCAGGCTTAATATCAACTTCTGCAATGGGGTTAGATGTCCCTTGTGTGGGTAGCCTTTGCAAGCTCTGAATATTATCAGCATTAGATGAAACTATGTTTGTCAAACTATTCTGAGATGTTGAGTTATTTGAAAGTTCTGATGTTGTGACATTGGGCAAACATGGAATTGTTTCAGCAACACTGGTTGGCACACTACTCTCCAGTGTAACAGACATATCGGTGAAGTTCTGCACATCCATTCCTGTGGAATACTTTTCTACAGACAAATCTGAATTAGTGACAGCATTTTCAAGGATGGGAGGCAATTTTTCTGTCACAGCCAAAGGCACCTCATCACTTTCTCTGGACTGGTAAATAATTTTGGTGACATCTTCAGAAATATGGGATGTTGAGTTCCTTTCAAGACACCTCGTTGTCTCATCAATTAACTTGTTTTTGCTAGGAGCTGTTTGCTCTAAAGATGTGCAGGTAGTGGATAGGTTTGATGATGCAGCAATGCATTCTACTGATGAAGAACACGGAGTGTCCATAGCTATATGCTCATTTTGATTAGCAACAATTTCATTATTAACAACAGGTGTTTGCACTAGATCATCACCCTGTTGCATGGTCTCACAAAGCCCGATTATTGAAGCTAATGACTGATCACCAATGTCTTGTTCAGTAATAGGCTCTAAAGATGAAGAATCAGAGACTTTTGTGAGGCATTTAGCCATTGACCGTGTCTTACGTCTCGTTACAACACCGCAATTCTCTTGAAGTTCATCTTTCTTGGCAGCAGGCTTGGTTTTTTTGCGGCACATGCGACTTCGAGGGTTCTTCCTTTTCCTTGGATTAGCACTGCCCAGTGTACTTTTTCTATTGACTAAGACACTGCAATGGTCATCTGAAATAGAAGTGACTGTAGCTACAGGAGTAACGGTGTTATCAACAAAAGCTGAAACACTCTCATTACTGCTCGGTGGGATGGCAGGCATTGTTTTACTGCTGCCAAATGTTGGATTAACATCCTCGCTAGTAATAGAGTTTGTGGGGGCTGGAATAACCAGTTTCCCTTCATCATTATTAATGTGGGAGCCAATTTCTGAATTGCTGGATGAGGTGGCAACAAAGACGTTCTCGGCGACTGACCCAAGAGGAGCCACAGAACTTGACGTCGAACTCTCGCCACCAACTAATGCACAGGCATCAGACACTACCATTGGCAATTCACTTGTACAGGAGGTTTGAGGCAAGGGAGTGGACGCATCAAGAGATTCTATCAATGGAAGCGATGAAATGAGTCCAGATGAATCTGAAATCGAGAAAATTTTTAATAAAAGTACAACCAGTAGCAGTAAGGTACTACACTTTCTTGGATACATTCTAAATTATCTGCTGGTTAGTCAGTATTCAACATAAGCAAATGACTGACAATTAGTGCCATAATGCTACTGGAAACACAATAGACATTCACACATAAGATGATAGCACAAACACAAAATGTCTTCCAACTATCATCCATCTCAAATGATTTGGGACATTTTCTGCCTGAAAAAGATAAGTATAAAAGAAGTATTTACTTACTAGACTTTAGATGGCTATAGGCTGGAGGTGGTGTGAAGGATTGAAAACCTTCATTAACTAAGAAGGTCTGAATTGACTGCAGACACTGGACTGTTACGTCGCTGTGAAGGACTTCTGGAGGCAGGGCTGTTTAGAAAGAGAACTTCTATTGCATCCTCACTCAAGATCACAGAATAATATATACAAAAATTATTCAAAAAATTAAAGAAATACACATCATACATTTAGGTTAACATCTGCTAAACAGATCTTAAAAAAGTAAAGTTCACTATTATTTCATCATATAATCTACCTATCATGTTAAGTAGCCATCATCACGAGTTTGCAATGGCCAACAGAAAGAGGTGCATTGACCATTGTTAAAAACTTCAATTCACTGGAAACAGTAAAGGGTTTCTTATAAATATTCAATTTCATGCTTATCAGAATGAGATAATGAAAACCTAAGATTTGCATAAAGATTTGACAATAAAAGAAGTGAAATGCTAGTTGAACAAGTTGGGACACTCCCCTTCTTTTGATGAAGCAGACCAATATTTCATGGTTAATTGTGTTCTACAAGATAGGCTTTCCCTAACTGTAGTCCCTTCTTGTCTCAACTGCAGTAACATTTCTCAATGCATTTGCAGTTAAGAATATCAGGAGTAAGCTTAGTATTTTACCTAGAAAGAGTAGAATCATACCATTTTCATTTTAATGCAGTTGTGTTTCTAGATTTCATAATTACCAAAAACACTTGACATTCAAAAAAATTATGTTGCTAATAACTGGTTACTATTCATAATAATTACTGATAATTCAACAATAATCATTTAATTTTAAAATTTTCTTAAATTAAAGGATTAACCCAATGTCTCATACCTTGTGGTACTGCAAAATTTTCTAGTAAATAAAATTTTCAAAACTGCGAAGGGTTGCATGAAAATTTGTTTGCCATGCATTCAAGCCTTTCACCAAGTCCAGGCCTCACTATTGACAACTTTCAACGTCAGTGCTATTACAGCACTGTTGCAAAGATGGTCTTTAGAGATGTGAAAAAAGCTCTTTCCCAAAATTGCGCAATATAGGTGAGCTATAAATATTATATTATATTATATTATACTAATTTTTGCAGATTCTGGGGGAAATGCAAGTTAACAGATATGTATGCAAAGTTATATGTAGTTAGCTGAAATTATTCAAATAAATCTCAGACACTGTGCTAAATTTTGTATTGGGTTATGTACAGTGGTACCACATGGTACTGCTAGGAGGATTTGAGTGCAAATATCTTTCAGTATACATTTTGTGGGTTTTGCTATCTGAATGAAATTTAAAGCAATCTAATTATACCAACAATGAAAATGACATATTTTAAGAACAATGTGATGGTCATAACCTCCCTGGAGATGACATATAATAAAAACCAAAATTGAAATTGAAGCAACAATGTAGATCAGCTAGATCTGGGCTCCAGAAATGAATTTGCATAAGGAAATTATCAACTGATGTAACAGATACTCATTCACTTGAGTCCTTAATTGATGAGTGGAAAAGAGCAACATTGGAAGAGTTAAAGAATACATTTGAGACAGAATAGCGGCAGCTGTAACCAATGGAATTATTCTGAAGCAAATAATATAAATGCATATTCGGATTATTACTCAAGAGACCTGTTGAATAACTTGAATTATTTGTGAACAAGGTTATTATTTTGCTGCACATAAAGAATGAAATGACCAGTGAGGAAATACAAAGAAATTGGCCTGATTTGACTGAGGAAATTTACAAACAAAGAGTAATCATTTTAATATTGCTATTTAGTGTGTATAATCTTCTTTTTAGTAAGGCGTATTGGTGGAAGTTAGCAGATATTTTTAACTAAGCAGTTTCCATTGCAATGAAGCATGACAGACTTGATAACATTATGAAATTATTTTATTGCACTGCTGTTAATTTAGAAAAATTGAGGCTCTAATTAAACAACTTTCATGCCTTGAGGCATCTAATTATACAACATTTGAGAAGCAAACTTGTGTTTCACTTATTCCCAACCTCAAAATTATCTCAGGACAAGTCAATTGAAAAACTTTCTTTCTCAGATGGAATGGGTTACATTTCAAATTAAGTTTATTTGTCCTTGAGGAGTCTCCAATGGCTGTTGACTCTAAAATCATCTGAAGAACATTCACTTTATACTCCATGTTCCACTCTAATGGACATATAAAGTTACCTAAACCATTTTATCTCTCTCCATCAAGTTTGAATTTCCAAAATCAGACTTTCTCAACAATGGCTGTCCAGGGATTTTTGAGATTGTACAAATATAAATCAATTCCTTCTGACATAGAAGCTGGTCCTCTAGCAGCATTATTTTTTTATTCAATAGTTTTATTAAACCAAACATATTGTTTAATAATTCTTTATGTCCATAAATTTCTGGCAAAATCAGGACTTGAAGCTGCCTTGCAACAATCAATCTCTAATGTTTCTATAATTATATAGGATCTACGACAAGTGTCCAGAATTCCCTAAATTTGATTAATGCGGTTACATAGCCGATTTATTATAACAGCTTGAAGTAATTTAGCAGTAAAATTACATTTACCTATCAGTTAATAAAGGAATTGAAATATATTTTTCTATTCAACTTGATGTTTTTATAAGAATGACAACTTAAATTCAGCAATGTCCTAGAGTTCTTGGATGTAAAAAAAAAATAATAATACTAACAACTGAAGATAAAGTGCTTTTCTAATAGTTATAAACTATCCAAGTTGATAGGTAGTTAAGGCTTTCTACATTTTAGATTATTGTGCTTTTAGTTGTAACACCTTCCACAGAAACTTGAAATAAATACCTATATTAGAAAATTGATAATATGGAAGCATGCTGATCAACTCTCCATCAGTTAAAAAAAGTTAATGCAGATCCTTTGTATCATAAAAGATGTTTATAAAGCGAGATGATTTTGCATCAGAAAATTTATAAATTTTTTCCTTGAACATAATTTAAAATGAATGTGATACCGGTAGCAATTTCATGACACTCAACCATAGACAAACTTCAGCTGTCAATAACAACTCCAGAAACAGTCAAACTTTTGGCAGTTTATAAGAGCATGCAGTCCCAAATGCCACAAACCTAGTAGAGCAGTAGAGGCAGAATCATTGCGAGGTGTGACACTGAGTTTTGTCATGCCAAGCATGGCACCATTGAGCACCTCAACTGCTAACCCTGCTGCAAAACTCCCTTGAAGGCACACCACACTCAGGCCAGCTGCACATTGATAAAATATTCATGAATAAAATGAATGTTGAAAGTGAAATTAGTGATGAGACACATTTTGCATTAAACCAGCGGCAACATCATAAGTCATCACCCAATTCAGAAGAAAAAAAATTAATATTTAAGATAACTTGATTGCTCAAATCAAACTAAAATTCACATTGAAGATAATTCATTCAAAATATAATTCATCAAATGAAAACAAATAAGAATGACTCACAGATACTACATATAGGTACCTATGGCAGATATAAGATACAAATACTAGATACCGGTATACAAAATTTGTAATAGGTATACATGGCAAATTATGTATATACCGGTACATCGGCGAAAGAGACATGGCAAATTATGTATATACCAGTACATCAGCGAAAGAGACATGGCAAATTATGTATATACCGGTATATCAGCGCAAGAGACATGGCAAATTATGTACCTATATACCGGTACATCAGCATAAGAGGACAAATTCCAAATTCCTGCAGTATATCTTACCATTGGGTTGCAGCTCATTACCATCACAATCTTCCCAGTTGAGTACCTTGCCACAGAAGCCAAAAATCTTGATGATTTGAGCACTTGAAAGCAGAGGGAAGAAGTTGACAAGTTGTAGCTCCACACATTGAGAGAGATCACCAAAAATCATGTCAAAGAAAGAATCACTAGGAGCAAATAACATTGCATCTTCTTGCAGAGCTGGCTCTCCCATGCAATCTTCAAATAAATTTTCCACACTTTTTTCAATTTCTTCTGACATAATAGGTAAAGCATCAGCAGCAGAGGAGTCCAAAGTTTCAGTTTGCTGAAATTCTTTAGAATTGATTGGAAGAGAAGAATCTAGTTCAAGTGAAGCTGATGCCATTTCAGAAGTAGACAATGAAGAAGTGTGCATACAAGCCATATCAGAAGCCACCAAATTAACACAGCTTTCATTAATTATGTTGAAGGAAGGAGATAAAGTTGAAATTGTTTGAATATTGGAATATGATTGGGTAGAGGATGAGCTCAAAGAGTCTGTTTTAGAATGATCACTTGATGCAGCATTGGTGCAACCAACCTTCAAGGAGAAATCGGTTGCTTCAGTTGAAAGAATGGCTGAAGGTATATCTCCTAATTTCTCTTTCTTTATTTTGCTTGTTCCAGAAAAACTCGGACGAATCAATTCAATTTTCCGTTTCTTTGATCTTGTTAACAAATTAATTTTTGGGGAGTTTGGATTCAGACTGGCAATTTCTGGTTTTTTAATTTCCAAGCTGGTTTTTGGAGCTTCCATCAGTGATTCTTTAGTCAATAAATTAGATTCCAGAGGAGAATCTTTACAAGAAACATTCAATGAGCTCTCAGCATCTGTTTCTTCAATCTCCTGCTTAATGACCTTTTCAGGCCAAGGTATAGGTCTATGAGAATGGATCTTGCATCTGCCTTTAGACTTTGTTTTTTTCAATGGAAGCTTAGAAGTTTGTTTCAATTTAATGGTTTTCTTCAAATTACATTCCTTCCTAACCAATTTCAATTCTAAAGATGTCCTCTTGATGTCAGGTGAATTTTCAAAACCTTCAAATTGATTCTCAAATGAGCTGTCCACATGGCCACTATCAACTGTGGCTGATTTCTTAGACTCTAATTGTGTGGAATTCTTTTCTTCATTAGGAGCAGAGCTTCTGGGTACTTCAACATTTTTGTGCTCAATTTTAAGACAACTTGTTCTCTTAATAGGAAATGCAGGTTTTTGACCTCTTCTGCAAGATCTTCCAGACACAGTTGGCATAGGCATTCTACTTGATGACTGATGGGACATAGCAGCCCAGTGACGTGGAACATTAGACTGACCTAAGCTGAACCGTGTGTTATTAAATAAAGATGGTTGCACATGGACAGGATGTGGACCAAAGTGATGGAATCCAGGCACAGCATTTCTAGGTGGACCTCCTCTTAATTGTTGTGCCTGAAAGAAACCTGTATTCCCTTGCAATAAACTTGAGTTAGGCATAAAATTAGGATTGTTATTGCCAGGGAATCTTGGATGGCGCATCTTGCAGTGTAAGACTGGCACTTGATGATAATAACACAAACTAAATTAAGCCATCAATTCAAAATGCAAAGCGAGAGCCAAATAAGTAAATTCTTGCGGAACTGCACAAGTCACAACATAGCCAATTGGTTAAGTTCTGAAAAATAGAAAAAATATTATGAAGCCAGTTGCCCAAATACCTACATTGACTTGTCAATCACATGTTAAGTTCACAAGGATTGCAATTTCCATGTGAATTATACAGTAAATTTTTTGACAACTAATACAAGTAAAGGATAAAAAAATGTGGCTCAATTGTGAAAATGTAAATCAAAGCTGAACATAATTAAGTAATGTGTGAAGAATTAAAAAATCACAAACAATTCAAATTCAGCCAGAACCAACTGGATTACCTACACTCCATCATGGCAGTCAGCAGCTCATGGTTAAAGCATCAGAAGGTTAGTTTTTCATTACAAATTGGATCTTCTAATATTTATTGCAAATTCAATAAGGTTGGCTAACATGAACTTCATTAGAAACCTACAAGTTTTCCAATGCTTTCATTGATATCTTTAAGTCATTTATTATCTAAAGTTAATAACAATGTAAGGTACTGAGCTAAGTATCAGAGAAGTAGTACCAATCCATCTAAATAATGAAAGAATAAAACAAGTGTTAGCACTACTATAAGATTAATGCCTGAATATAATTTGGCTGATCCTGATTTCAAACTCAGAAGAACTTTTTTTTGGTGGTTTGAGTAATAAAAATTGGGTGGTAATTCTATCTAATGTTAATCAATATGTTGTATTTTGAAAATATTCTTCATTTGAATTTATGTACCAGATATACAGTGTAAAATTCACAGAAGAAATAAAATTAGATTGGCTTTGAGAGAGTTTTGGGTGGTGAAAATCCAGAGTGAAGGTTGATGCAAAGTTAGGATTGTGTTTATTACCAGATAATCTTATTAGTTGAAATTTGACTGGCAATTTTGTTTTTTTAAGTCTCAGAAATTAATGTCACCATCTAATTTTCAAACATGGAACCAATAATTGAACAACCATTGTATATAAAAATTTTGAAGGCCTATTAAGACCAACAAGAGTCATATTCATTCTGTTAGATTACTGTAAATAAAAAGATTTCAAGTGAAATTGGGTTTTATTTTAATAATCACAGAACCCTATGTAATAATGAAGGCTTGATGCATATACTTTTAAAAAACTAGATTGAAATGAAGTAAAACCACCAAGTACCAGGAAATCCTAATGTTTCTGTCAAGAAGTAAAGTAATCATGCAATGAATGGAAATGTATAGATATGTATTTACTAATATCAAATCAATTCAGGATCTTTGACAAGATTTATTAAGGGACTAGTGATGTATGTTTTTCACACAGATAAATGTGCACTTCTTTAAAAAATTTGTAAATATTGTTGCAGGAAGATGTGCCAAAGTTTTTTATTCATCTCAGAGGCTAATCTATCATGATGCTCTCCAACCAAAATTGATTTACCTGGGATGATGGTATTTTTACAATAAATTCGTTAAAATAGGTACATTACATTACATTACTTTAACACAAATTTCTGCTTTCATCAATTATTTATGCAGGGTTATTTTATATGATGGATTAAATTTAATAAATTTCTATTTATCTGGGTTGAAATTTGTATTGAATAATTTACACATTAACCCATTAACGCCGCTTGGCAAGTACACTTGCCACTTGCAAAAAATGAAATTACTCCAAAACTACGAAAGTTGAGGTTTGAAATGGAGTCTCACGGTAACAAGACGAGTACCAAACGCATTCTGAATGAGTAACAGCGGTGTCAGGCGCTTCATGCCTGCCCAGTTGGACTTGGAATTTGATGGTGTGAGCCATGGTGCTACTACGTCATAAAAAACGTAGGTTGTCACTTGTGTCAGCTAGTTAGAACTCACTACTTTAGAGAACAGTTTTCTCAAACAAATGTCCTAATGATATATATATGCAATTTTGTGATTCTTACATAGTATGACTACTATATTGTGATGTGAATATATGTGGCAAGTGGACTTGCCACTCGGATATAAAAGTAGGGAACCGCTTTTTTCCAGATACCAACGGGAAATTAGTATTCATTTGTTTAACTCTTATTCCAGGTTGTCTCTAGATGAAATTCATGACTTCTTCTCATTGCAAGAAGATGCAGACGACCAATTTGAAGTCAAAGTAGCAATAGAGCCCCCAGAAGAAACGCCTGAAGCTGCAACAAATCATTGCAGTGATGCATCAGACGATGAAGTTATGTGCGATCCCGAGCACCTTCCAAGGAGAATTTTGCCCGCTAAAGTTCTAAATGAATCTGTAAATGACAGTCAACTCGAAATTGTATCTAATCCAACCTCAACATCTACCAGCCATGGATCAAAACGTCAAAAAAGGGTGATCTACACGTGGCATACAGATAAAAGCAAGATTGAAAATCTAGTGCTGGATTTTAGCAATGCACCTGAGGAACAGTTAGTCAACGCTGATGAAACATGGAGATTTTTGAGGAACACTTTTGGACACAAGATTATATTGAATTTTTATGTGAACAAAGAAACTATGCTCATCAGAAAGGATTCCCTTGTAGCGATCCAAATGCCAAAAACATGAAGGTAATTTTGGCCATTCTTATTCTCTCATTGTACAATAAGGTTCCTCACAGAAGACTGTATTTGAGTGAGTTACATGACACCCAAAATAAATTTGTTATGAATTCAATGAGACAGGATGCCTTTGATCAAATAATTAGATGCTTGCACTTTGCAATACAAAAATGAATGACAATCGATTCTACAAGGTGCGACCACTTTTTGAACACTTGAACAATGCTATCAAAGATGGGAAATGTTGTAAATACTACAGCGTTGGTGAAACAATGGTTCCATATTATGGAAGACATGGTGATAAGCAGTATATTAGAGGAAAACCAGTGAGATTTGGGTTCAAGCTTTGGGCAATCAGCACGTCTGATGGGATTCTGCGGCATGTTGAGCCCTATTGTGGTAGTCATTCCAGAATTTTGGATAGGGGTTTTGGTTTAGATGGTAACGTTGTGCTAGAAATGATCAACAAAGTGAATATGAAAGCCGCACAGCACGTTGTATTTGACAATTTCTTTAGTTCAGTTTCATTACTAGAGAAACTTGCACAGAGGAAAATTGCTGCTACTTGTACTCTAAGAGAAGACCGACTAACTGGTGCCCCACTAAAAAAGAGAACCATTTTGGAAAAAGAAGAAAGAGGAACTAGTGATGAAGCATTCACAGGCTGCATCTTGGTTGTAAAGTGGAAAGACAACAAAGTGGTAAGCATTGCCTCTAACAAACTTTGCGCAGATCCTGCAAAGAAAGCAGAAAGGTAAAGGTGGAATCAAGTGGCCAGGAAACATATTTATGTTGACCTACCACGCTCAATCTACGTTTATAACCAGCACATGGGTGGTGTTGACCTATTTGATCAACAAGTAGCGGCATACCGGTGCAGAATAAGATCAAAGAAATGGTGGTGGCCTCTTTTTGCTTGGACTGTGAATGCACAGGTGGTAAATGGATGGAGAATTTCTAGGAAAAATGACAAGAAAATCAGCTTATTAGATTTTGCTTGGCAACTGGTAATATCAACTCTGACTAAATATGGGAAACCTAAGATAAAACCAGTTCCAGTTTCGATGCCTGTTGTGAATGCAGTGCGGTACGGCAGTCAGCATCATTGGACCTACAAAGGCAAAAGTCCGTACAACAGATGCCGCGAATGTGGCGTCTGGACCATTTATTTTTGCAGTGTGTGCAACATTCCTGCGCACCCAGAGTGCATGAAAACCTTTCACACAAAAAAATGAACTTTGAGTGGGCAATACATGCATAGATTCCATTGGCAAATCTGTTCATGTACTTTAGATATCTACCCACTCTGGTTATCTCTTCTCTTGGACATTTGATTTTTTTATAGCTGGGTGGTAAGTATACTTGCCAAGTCTGTATTTCGAGTAATAATGAAAAAAGTTGAATTTTTTCATCACAATACTTTAGAAGAATCCTAAATAAATCCCTTAAATGGAAAAAAGTGTTTTAATAAGCCACAGGGAATTGTCGGCATTAATGGGTTAATGGGAAGAGAAGGATTCAAAGTTTTTAACATTACTTATTTTAACATCTAAATGGTAGCAAAACTTGTCACACACAAGAAAGCATATCTTCTGTTGCAGAGGGCAAAGCAGCAGTGACACTGTTCTTTGGATCAACCAGAATTACTATTAGATGTAGGATGTTGTTTTTGATGTCCCCCAAGCTCCAGTTTCACCAGGAAGCCCGTGCTGCGCAGGAAAGCCACCACCTGCTGGTTTGGACCACAGCTGTGCAACAGATGTTACGCCTGCCCAGAGCCTGAATGCAGCCAGCTCCGGGCACTGAAGCAGAAGATGCTTGATGGTGCAGGGGAGTGCATGACATTGGGGGCACAGGTCTGAGTGAGTGCTGTCCAGGTGGTGTTTGTAGGAGTATAGTGAGGGATGGTGACCACAGCAGAGTCTGCTCATGTGCACCCTGTCTACGCAGTTCAACTGCTGTTCCTTATGGCTGATATCTAGTGGTGTGTTGTCAATGATGCTGTTGATTAGTAGATTTAAGAGTGCATTCTGGGTTAGGTGTGTGTGTGTGTGTATGTTTGAAGAAGTTGGCTGGGTCTGTGGGTGGGGGTATGGAATTAATTATTGTGAGATACCGTCAACCGGGGCTACTCGGGACAATTTCGAACGTTTTTTATTCATAACTTCTTACCATGAAACATTTCATAAACAAATTTAGGCTCATTTCAAAGCTCTTTGCAAGGGCTATTGCATGGCTTCTCCATAAAAATCCATATGCTATTTGTAAGGTGCCAGAAGCAAAAAAAGAGTGTCCCGAGTAGCCCCGTCGAATAGGGCTACTCGGGACACTTGGAATAAAACTTAATTTTAAAACATTTGAAGCGTGCAGAGTGTACTCATCCATTACTAACTACTCTGAAGTCCTCCTCTTTCATTGTAGATGATGTAGAGGTAGAATAAATGACATTTTCTGTGATTTTTACTTGTTTTTCCATTATTGATATATTACC